CAAGGTCTCTTCCCATAAAAAACAAGAGACAAAGCTAGGGTGTAGCCATCTCAAATAATTTACTTCAATCCATATGTGACCTGGGGGTTACCAATCTGCAAATCAATGGGACTGCACCCAGAGATCTGGAGCATTTGCTCCCTTGCAAAGCTCCCCCTCACTCCAAGCAGCGTTGTTTCATTGCGTTGCACCGATCCCGGCAGGCCGAGAGCCGGCACCAGGTAGCCCCCGAACCTGATTCCAGGGCCCCTTTTCTCTGACTGCTCAGTGAGCCAGAGCAGCCCTGCCCTGGCTTGCTCCCTACCGCGTCCATGTCCTGCTCTCCTAGGCCCTTGTTTCACTGTCCCCACGTTAATAACAGCCCCTACAATTCGCCTGGGCTCTTGTGAAACATTTCCTGCAGGAAGTGAAGAAGCCACACCCTGCCGGCCGGCCCCGGGCAGACCTGCGGAGGGCCAGGTCCCCTTCTGGTGACAGTCTCATGCATGCATGTGTAAGTTAGCACTGATCCACATGGTGTGGGGACGGTCCCCAGCAAATGTCTGGGAGGACCTCCCCGGGCTGGAGTGGGCTGACCGGATGAGGTTCCAAGAAAACTGAGAGGAAGAGATTGGGGACGGACGGGGTGTGCCTTCCATGTAGAGGGGACTGTCCTGAGAATGACCCCAGCTGCAGGGGAGCTGCTGGGAAATCCAGTGAGACCACAGGACACGTGCAGCTGCGTTGGCAAGAAATGGAACTGGACTTCCGGTCAAGGTGGTGGGTCGGTAAATGTGGTCTCGCCTCCTCCCACAACCAAATAAAAATGACAACAAAACTACAGCACAGCCATCATTCAAAACCACCTGACATCAAGCTGAATTAAGTCCTACAACTGTGAAATTAAAGAAGCAGCCACATGAAGACTGGTAGGAGAGTGGAGGTGTGTTCGGGCTGGTCCCACACCGACGTGTGGTGGATAAAATTAGGAGGACACCTCTGCTGTCCTCCCTGAGGAATGAGGGGTCCCCGTCCCACACCAGGCACCCAGCTCAGGGTTCCAGGGCCAGAAAGAGAATCCCCATCACTTCTGGCTAGAAAACCAGAGGGAACTGAGGCTCAGAGAGGCTGAGGCTTCTAGAGCCCCAGGCAGCTCCTCTTAAAGGGCCCGGGCACGAACTAATCGGACTCGCTCCCTCTAAGCTCCAGTGTTGGGGAGGCGGCTCGAAAGGTACCAGAGACATACAAGGAAGAATTGGGGCAAGGGCTAGAGAGGCAGCTTTCTCCTGGACAGACTTGCTGTCAGAGGCTTTTGTTCCTTTGGGGAGCCCTTTCCCCCACGAGGCCAGCAGATGGCAGCCATATCTGGGACTCCAGCACCTTGGCTCACACAGTTGGTCCTGCCCTGGTGATTTCCAGAGGCCCTGCCCCACTCAACTTTCAGGCCCACCCAAAGTGTTACCAGTTGCTTTACCATAGGATTGGCCTGTCTTGAATCCTGCCTCAGATTTTCCTAAAATCTCTCAAGCAGCATCTGGTATCAGCGAGCCGCATTCCTCTCGTTAAGTGTCCCCAGCCTTGGTTCACAATTTGGCTTTGCCTGGGCACCTCCAAGCCCAGCACATGAAGCAACCATCTGAAAACTGCTTTGTAGTTTATGCCTGGCAGCCCCGGGTAGAACTCAGACAGTGGCTGACCTGGCCCCAGAGCCAGCACCCCCAGTGGACAGCTTCAGACCACGTCGAAACACCACCACCCAACCACTTCCACAAGCCACACACTCAAGTGCTGGACTCAGTGGTACCAGAGCCCTGCTGCAGTAAGTCTTGCTCAGTGTGGCGGGCCCTGCGCAGCTGATCCTCCCAGGGAGTCAGAGGCCAGTGGTCAGTGGGCAAAGCCAGTCCTTGCAGCTGATCAGCCTGAGTAAATCCCTCCCACTGACGTGCCACCAGCAATCATGACTCAATTACAACAGAAGGGTATACAGTCCATACGAGGGGTGCACCTCAAGGGCCCAGCTGGGAGACCAGGGAGGCTGTGCCACTGGACCCTACAGGACACCTACCACAACAGGCCACCCTAGGAAGCCCAGGAGACATAGCAACTCTACCTAATACATAGAAACAGTCACAGGGAGGCAGCCAAAGTGAGGAGACAAAGAAATAGGTCCCAAATGAAAGAACAGAATAAAACTCCAGGAAAATAATTAAACAAAATGGAGATAAGCAATGTAACAAAACTGCTTATAAGGATGCTCAATGAATTTAGTGAGAACTTCAGTGAACTTAGTGAGGGCTTCAACAGCATAAAAAGGACCAGTCAGAAATGAAGGAGGCACTAATTGAAATAATGAAAAATTTACAGAGATTCGATAGTAGAGTAGGTAAAGCCAGGAAGCAAACAATCGATTTGAAATATAAGGAAGCAAAAAACACCCAACCAGAATAGCAAAAAAAAGAAAAAGAATCCAAAGAAATAAGGATAGTGTAAGGAGCCTCTGGGACAACTTCAAGCATGCCAACATTCACATCATGGGGGTGCCAGAAGGAGAAGAAAGAGAACAAGAAATCAAAAACTTAATAGAAATAATGATAACACAAAGCTTCCCTAACTTGGTGAAGGAAACAGACATACAAGTCCAGGAAGCACAGAGAGTCCCAAACAAGATGAACCCTAAGAGGCCCACACCAAGACACATCATCATCAAAATGCAAAAGTTTCAAGGCAAAGAGAGAATTTTAAAAGCAGCAAGAGAAAAGCAGTTAGTTACCTACAAGGGAGCTCCCATAAGACTGTCAGCTAGGTTCTCAGAAGAAACTTGGCAGTGGCAAGAAATATTCACAGTGATGAAAAGCAGGAACCTACAACCAAGATTACTCTATCCTGCAAAGTGAACATTTGGAATCAATGGACATATAAAGAATTCCCCAGACAAGAAAAAGCTAAAGGAGTTCATCACCACCAAACCATTATTATATGAAATGTTGAAAGGTCTTCTTGAAGAAAAAGTAGATCAAAAATATGAAGAAACAAAAATGGCAATGAATACATATCTATCGACAACTGAATCTACAAACAAAATGAGCAGGCAGAACAGAAACGTTCTCATAGATACAGAGAACATTTGTTGGTTGCCAGACGGGAGGGGGGTTGAGGGGATGGGCGAAGAAGAGAAGGGATGAAGAAGTGCAAATTGGTTGTTAGACGGACAAACCTGGCAGGGCAGCGGGGCAGGGGGAAATAAACCAAAGAACTCCTATGCATATGTGCATCCCCAATGGACACAGGCTACAGTGCGGGGAAAGGCAGGAGGGGTGTGGCATTGGGGAGGAGGGGTCAATAGGGGGAAAAGGACAATCTGTAATACATTCAAAACTAAAGATAAGTTAAAAAAAGAAAAAGAAGAAAGAAAGAAATGGGGCTGGAGCTGGAGCCGGGCGGCAGGTCTGGTCTACAGGACCCGAACGGCAGAGCGCGAAGGGTATCCCGGGCGGGCCGGGCCAGGTCTGTGCTCACAGCTGACTCCATGCACAGCTGAGCAGAGGCAGGATGATTCTGGAAAGCCCCAAGGGGAGCCAGGGGGCTAGGAAGCCTGGCCAATGGTCGCAGGGGAGTAGGCCGTGGCATGGCCCAGTGGGGTGAACCCGGGATCTGGGAGGCCGCCGCGGGCAGCCCTCGAGGCGGTGTGGGGGCAGAAGGTGGGGCGGGACGGCGGGGCGGGGGGCGGCCCTTATGCACTGAACCACCTGCAGTTGGTGCGGGGCACTCGGGGGGGTAGTGGCTGATTTGTGAGCTCCCCAAGGACGGTGATGTGCGGGCAGTGGGAGGGGCTGTGTGGGCGTCCATCCCGAGATGGGCAGTGAATGGCCTGCTGTCATTCCGGGGACAGAGCTGGGGACGCCGCAAACCAGCCCAAAGGATTCCCCAGGCTCATCCCTTCCAGAGCCCCGCCCCCACAGAGCCCCTCCCCGGCCGTCCCTGGGCACGAGGTCACCTTGCACGGCCAGCACACCCGAGGCAGGGCACCCAACGGGAAACACTGAGGTTTATTTATTCATTTGTTTATTTATTTTAGAAAGAGAGAGCGAGAAACCTTGATGAGAGAGAATATCGATGGGCACGTCCTGCATGCCCCCCACTGGGGATTTGGCCCAGGACCTGGGCATGTGCCCTGACCGGGAACCGAACCAGCGACCTCTTGGTGCAGGGTCGACGCTCAACCACTCAGCCACACCGGCTGGGCTACATATATACATGTTAATAGAAGAACATTATAAAAACATGTAAAAAGCCCATTATATATATAAATATAAATAGGTAAATAACATTACAAAGGCATGTAAACATTTGGTCTCAATAATTTTAAATTTCAAGCATTTAACAGAGAAAAGAGACAAACGACAGAATTTATATGGTAATGTTATTCATAACTCACGGGGACAATAGTGAGGTGTGGGGGGGAATTGGGAGGAGGGGTGTTGTCCAGGGGGAAATGGAGAAAAATCTGTGACAAAAATTATTTTAAAATAATTTGAAATTAAAAAGGTGTCTGTCACTGGCAGACAGTCACTGTCACCATGTCCAGTTAAGGCCACACTCTGGGCCTGGCACAGGGACATCACAGCAACTCGTAGATCAGAGTCGGGCGGGGCAGAAACAACCAATAAAGCGAATGGGGAGCCCACGAGGAGCAGCCGCCGGGGCGCCAGGCAGTGCCGCCGTGTCCTGCCCGGGCAGAGAGGCCTCTTGCAGTGACCTCCCCACGGGCAGCTTTACACGGACTCTCCTCAGACCAGACGGGGGGCTGGCCCATCCGGGACTCATGAAGACGCCCATGGGACGCACCTGGAAAGAAGCTCCTAGCCCTGGCGCTTTGGCTCAGCGGTTAGAGCGTCGGCCCACGGTCCAGAGAGACCCGGGTTCGGATCCCGCTAAGGGCATGTACCTCGGTTGCAGTTTGTCCCCGGCCCTGGTTGGGTCGTGTGGGTGGCAACCACTCCATGTGTCCCTTTCACGTCGATGTTTGTCTCTCTCTCTTCCGCCCACTCTATCTGAACAAAATATTGAAAAATGTCCTCGAGTCGGGATAAAAAACAAGCAGCTCCGACCCTCCCGTTAGGACACTGCATGACGTCACCAGGGATGATGAAAACCTTTATTCTAGTTCGGGGTCTCTGCGCGACTACCTATGATATTTGCCGCAATCAACATGTTTATAATATTTTGCAAAGGCTCATGTAATCCCCTTTGGTGGAAGACGGCCATGAGTCGGAACACATCCCTTCCCGTATCCTCCTTCAAGCAGACAGTTATCTGATGATGCGGTTCCGTCAGAGTCCCCGGGTTGTCATGATCACAGACCTCAGCGCCGTTTTCCTCAGTGCCGACAAAGTTCATGTATATCTTCCAATCGTGTTCTGGAAGCTTCTGTCTGAATTCATGATAGAGCGTATTGATGGCTGACGAGAGAAAACCAGGGAGGGAGACGTGGCTGAGACCTCCCAGGTACACATCGCGACCGCGGTCACTGCTGCTGCCTCTGGGGGCCTGGAGCCAGCTGGCACAGCATGCCCGGGGCACGCGGCCCGGGCCCACCCCAGCTGACCTCGAAGAAGGGGCCCGGCTGCGGGGCCAGGAGACCGTGGGCGGCCACGGCCTGGCGTGGTCCTTGCCCAGCCTTAGCTCATTCCTACTGGAGCCAAGAAGCCTGGCAGAAGAGGCTAGGGTCCGGGGGGTCGATGCCCCGGGGGGAGAAGGGTCCGCGGAGGCTGGCCCTGACCTTCCTCTGCAACGACACCAGAGAGGCTGAGAGGCCGGCAGGACAGAGGAGGCTGCCGCCAGAGGAGCCTTGTCGAGGATCTGAGACCTGGGGCAGTTCTGAAGAGGACTGTCTGGCTCTTGAGTCTTAAGTGGGGTGGTGTCCCCCAGCTGTTAGGAGGAGGAGATTACAAAGCCCCCCGTAGGCAGCACGTGCTCACTTCAGTCCTGCCTCGGCCCCAGAGAGAGCATCACTGCCAATAGGGGACCCGCGGTCACGGGCGACAGAGACACACGTCCCTCGCCACGTCCATCCTTACTTAAAATCACGAGCAGTCTGAAGCGAAGCCTTCCCTCATCGCGAGCAAAGGCCCGCGTTCCCTGAAGTCACCAGTGAATGCGAGGAAGTAAGTCTGAGGTCCCCGGAAAGTCCCCCGAGCTTCCTGTGGGTAGCCCAACCCCCTTCCTAGCAGTAAAGACATCGGACCTGGACACTCGCTATACACGAAGAATTCAGAAGACTTACCATCATAGGACACGTCCTTCAAAAAATACTTTTGTTTATATTCCTGCAGAGAGAAGAGACGAACGTTGATGGAGGAGAAGACAGCGGTGTGGCTGTGTGGCTGTGTGGGAGGGGCCGGGGGGCAGGTGGCCTCCATGACCACTGTCTGGATGTGACCGGGGGGAGTCACCCCCGTCCTCCCAGGGGTGTCAGACAGCGCACAGCCCGCCCACCTGAGCCTGGGGCGCCACAGCGCTGCCCCACGGTCCCTGCCCCAGAGGGCTGGCGTCCCGGGCCCCGCTTCTCTGAGTGTGGCCCCCTGACTGTTTCCCAGACCCAGGTTCCTGCTCCCCAACCCCAGGAGGGGTATAACAGTGAATGATGTCACCCAGGGCTGACGTGTCCCCCGTGGACGACAGTAAGGGCAGGGACACGTGTCTGTAGAAGGCTTGTGAAAAGACAGAAGTTTCTAGTCTAGGAAACCAGAGCACATACTGGACGCCAGACAGGCTGAACCCGTCGGCCACGGTACGGAGACGGCGCCCTGGGCCCGTCCTCCCAAGGAGGATGTGGGGTGTTCCAGGGGGCGCGGCTGCCTCTCTGTCCTGGGGCTCAGCCTCCGAGCAGGGATGGCAAAGGACGAGGACCGCACTCACACCAGCCCGCAGGGACCGGGACCCGCGCCCTGCCCGGCCCACACCGCCCCGGCTCCCACGGGCCTGGGCTTGAGCGTGTGATTCTGGCTGTGAGCCCTCGGAGAATCAGGCAGAAGACACGCCTGGTCTCCCTGAAGCGACAACAGGGCACACACCCCACCGTCCTGGTCTCGGTGGCACCAGGGAGTCGCAGTCCCCTGGGACAACAGGTTGGGTTGGGGACTGGAAGGTTTGAATTCTGTGGTGCTGTTGGGTCGGCCCAGGAAGGGGGGAAGGGATTGACGACACCACACGGTGGCACCGGGCAGAGCCGTGAACTCAGAAAACGCTGGACAAGTGCAAGGCCCTGCGTACCTACTCCAGGCGACGAAGGGAGGCCCAGCTCAGGGACCTGTGGGCATCGGAAAAGCCCGCGGCGCCAGCTGTGGGGTCGTCTTGCTTCCTCTGGACACCACCATCGGCTCCACTGCCTCCCCAGGGTCGTCAGAGGGCCCCGGGCAGGGCCGCGCCCCAGGAGCCAAGGCGGAGCCCCCCTCCTCCATCAGTGGTGTGGTCTCCACGCCGGGGGCTGGTGGGCCGCTGTCAGGGTCCTCGTTGGGCTGGACGCTCTCCCGTGACTAAAGGACAAAGTCATTCCTTTTGGTGACACGAGTCCACCGCACAGCCCTGCCCAAGCCGCTTTTGGGGGCAAAATGCCAGGTTGTCTGATAGGTCAGCCCGGGCCGTGCAGTTTGAAGAAAAATACTGCCTGGGGTCAGGTCCCAGCTCTGTCTCCAACTGCTTGGGGGATCTCAGGACAAGTCTGATGTGGACTGAATGGTGACCCCGGGAATACATGTCCCCGTCCTAACCCCCGAGACCTGAGAATGGGGCCTCATTGAAGTAGGGGCTTTGCGGACGGGGCCCTCCACCCTGCGTGAAAATGGGCCGACACCCAGGGGCTCCTGGGCAGCCTCAGAAGGAGCCACTCGGAGAAACAGACCCTGGGGAGGGGCCGAGCGAGGATGGAGGCAGGGAGGGAGGCACCCACAGCCACGGGCACCTCCAGGAGCAGCCAGGAGGGCCGGGAGGAGCACCCCAGGACCTCAGAGGAAGCCACCCCTGCCGCCACTGGGATTTGGACGTCTGCCCTCCAGATCTGGGAGGCAATAGTCCTATTTGTTTTTCCTTCATTGATTTTAGAGAGAGGAAGGGAGAGGGAGAGAGAGATGGAAACATCGATGGTCCAGAACATCGACTGGCCGCCTCCTGCACGCCCCCCACTGGGGATCGGGCCACAACCTGGGCATGTGCCCTGACCGGGAATCGAACTGGCGACCTCTTGGTGCAGGGTCGACGCTGAACCACTGGCCCACGCCGGCCGGGCGGTGAGTTCCTACGTTCAGGCGTCATGTCCGGGTCTGGCCCGGCAGCCCCGGGAAAGGCGTACAAGCCTCTGCCTCTCTGAGCTGCTTCCGCTCAGGGGCCCGGACCAGCCAGATGGCTCTGTTTCCAGCACAGACATGGGGGCGCTGGGAAGGGACGCAGACGCCACCCCAAAAGCTGAGCTGCGCACGCAGGGGGCCTGAGCTGCCTTGCACCCACCCTCGGTTGTCTGCACTGCCCTCCAGGCCCGATGCCACCACTGGGAACGTCCAGGGCTGATACTTACACGGACATGGCTGCCTGGCTCCCCCGACCTGGCTGAAAAGCAAAACGTAGAAAAGGAAATGAAAATGCAGCCATGCACCAGGTAATGACAGTTTGGTCAACCACAGGCGGGCCACACACCACCGTGGTCCCATCAGATTATAACGGAGCTGGGAACCCCTATCTCCTAGCGACGGGCCCTGTCAGGGCAACAATGTATCTCTGGCGAAGCCGGAGCACAGACCTCCTGCTGGGCCCTCAGAGGCGGAGCAGCACAGGGGCCCAGGGACGCAGCCCGGAGCCTACGGAACCACTGGGTGGCCGGTCAGGAGCCACCACACGGTCCTTTCCATCGCTGCTCTTAGTGTCCTCTCTCCAGGGGAGGCACCGGAGGGACAGCCGTGCTCCACGGGCAGCAGCCTCAGACCTCGCGCCCGCCCCGTCCGTGGCCCGCACCATGGCCCTCGTGCTGGGTTCGAGTGCGCCTCTGCTGTGGTCACACGTCGCACAGGCGTGCAGCCCAGGTGTGCAGTCGGCGCCCGCTCCAGGTGTACGCGCAGTCTGTGACTTCTGCACGCGTCACCAGACATGCTCCTCAGCGTGTGCCGCCCTCACAGGGCACACGGCCATAGTGGATGGTTCTGGACGGGGGTCTGGAGGCCCCGGCCTTGCACTCACCGCAAAGAAAGTGTACTTACTTTTAAAGCAACGGACCACCTCCCGGATAAGCTGCACACCTGTGAACACAGGGGAGGTGAGCTTCCTCGGGGCACTCACCCCCCAGCACCCCTGCTGGGACAGCGGGGGTCTCCCTGCCTCCCGCCAAGGGCGCCCGGATGCCCGTCTGCAGCCAGCTGCGCCTGGTCAGGGGCACGCGGCCATGGCCCCGGCCCGGGCAGCAGCTCAGAGGCCCCAGCAGACAGTGAATCAGCTGCCTTTTACATGAGCAACGCCCGGCCCGGAACCTCTGGGTGCCCGTCCCCGCATCAGAGTCCTGTGGCTGTCGATCCTCTGTCCCCGGGGTAGCTCCGCCTCCTCTTTACCTCGTTTTCTAAAGTAGTAGGCGATAAAGAGGCAGAAGCCGACGACGAAGGTGACAAAAACGATGATGATGACCATGTAGTACCAGGGGATCCCTACAACGAGACCACTGTCAGTGGTGACTGGATTTCTGGTCAGGTTTCCTGGGAGGGGCAAACAGGGCGCTGTGGCCGGGTGCACACGTCCCCCGCCCGAAGGACACGCTACAGAACAGAAGCGCTAGCTCGGAGCGAGACAGCCGCCCAGCTCCGGGCCCCAGCCCTCCAGGTCGGGGCAGGACGGGCTCCGCCATCCCAGCCCGAAGGGCCGCAGACCCGTCCCCGTTCGAGGGGCGAAGGGCCTGGTGTCTCAGATGGGGCTTTGCTGTGAGTGGTCACTGACTCCTGGGCCAGCAGGAGGTCAAGCCAGAAGGTCAGGAAGAGGGAGATGACAGCCCTGACTGCAGCATGGCCTGGCCACGGTGGCCAAGGGACAGGGCAGGGGCCACCCCAGGGGCAGTTCGCTGAGACACTGGGGAGACCTAGTCTCACCCTGCTGACGTGACAGCCCCAACAGGAGCCTAGACACAGACACAGGTGCGGGGAGGTCACCAGGCCTGTGGACACTCGGCCACCCACGCGGGAGTGAGGAGCCCCCAGAGGCCCTTCCGCACGGTGCTCTGGTCCCTCTGACGGCTTTTCCTTCCGTCTCTCATCGGGCCTCACTCATCTCTTATGTTTTTGGCATAAAATATCCTTTCAGTGTTTCTGTCTTCTGGAATCAACGTTTAGTGGCTGCTAATCGTCACTTGAGCATATTTTTTCCTTTGATTTTTATAGAGAGTGGAGGGGGGGGCGGAGAAACATTGACGTGAAAGGGACACACCAATTCATTGCCTCCCACACACACCCTGACCAGGGCCAGGGGATCGAACCTGCAACCCAGGTGCATGCCCTTGACCGGGAATCAAAGCCAGGACCCTCTGGGCTCGTTGCCAACACTCTGACCATTGAGCCACATTGGCCAGGGCTCCAGTCAGGGTGTTTTTTATGAAAATCAACAAGCCAATTCTGAACCGCAAAAGGACACCCCAAAGTCCAAGGGGAGCCCCGACAATGCAGAGATACACAAGGGGCAGGGCTAAGGACACACGGGTGCTGGGTCACGCCCCACGGGCCCCGAGAGCGGGAAGGGCCGTGTCCCCTACATGCGCCGGCCGCAGTGTGGATGAGACAGCACACGGAACAGGACCCTGCTGCACCGTGAAGCCCGGGTCCGGGGCCTGTGCCGACCGGAGAGACAGCTGCCGGCAGAGCGCGGGATCTTCCCGGGATGGGCGACGTTCCTCCCTCGGGCTCAGACAGCACCGCCAGGTGGGACAGCGTCACGGCCCGGCCCTGCTGCTACGCACGACCTCAGTCCACCAAGCCACCCCTCCAACGGTTACCAAGGCCCCTGCCCACGGGAGGGGACACAGGGGGAACTAAGCGCCTGCATCCAGAGTTTATACATAGTTACCAATGTTTATAAATTGTTACAAACTGCAAGCAACCTGATACAAATATAACACCTTATATAAAAATGGGACTGAGTGCGTGCGGTGCGTGGGCCAGTGTGTGCATCTTTCCCTTTCCCCCACCCCAGTCCCTTTCCCCTTCTTCTCTAACCTCCTACCCCACCCAGCCCCCCTCCTCAGGGGGCAGCAGGGCCGCTCCCTCTATCCTTCCTTCCCTTACCCACCTCACCCACCCTTATTTCTCCTTCCCCTGAAATAAAAAAAATAAAAATGGGACTGAGTCCTGGCTGGTGTGGCCCAGTGGTCAGAGCCCAGAGTTGTAGGTTGGATTCCTGTTCGAGGACACGCCCCTCGGTGGGCTTGACCGCAGCCCGGTGGGGTCGTGTGGGGTGAACCGATCGATGCGTCTCTCTCACGTGGATGTTTCCCTCCCCCTCCCTTTCTGCGTATCATTATATAAAACAGACGTGTCCACCATCACACTACCGTACAGAATAGTTTCACTAAAAATCCCCGATGCCTGCTATTCATCTCGTTAAAAAAAAAAGGCATGAGCCCTGGCCGGTTTTGCTCAGCGGTTAGAGCGTCGGCCTGCGGTCCGGAGAGACCCGGGTTCGGTACCTGCTAAGGGCACGTACCTCGGTTGCAGTTTGTCCCCGGCCCTGGTCGGTAGTGCAGGTGGCAGCCACTCGATGTGTCCCTTTCACATCGATGTTTCTCTCTCTCTCTCTCTCTCTCTCTCCCTCCCACTCTACCTGAACAAAAAAAAAATGTCCTCGGGTGAGGATAAAAAAAAAAAAAAAAGGCATGAGCCCTGGCTGCGTACTGGGGCGCACGGGAACCGAACAAAGAATGCATAAACAGCCCGGCGGTGTGGCACAGGGGCAGAGCGTCGACCCTGCACCAAGAGGTCACTGGCTCAATTCCTGGTCAGGGCAGGTGCCCAGGTTGTGGGCCCGAACCCCACAGGGGGGCATGCGGGAGGCGGCCAGTCGATGTTCTCTCTCCTCGATGTTTCTATCTCTCCCTCTCCCTTCATCTCTCTCTAAAGGAAAAAAAAATCAATAAAGAAAAAATGCACAAATAAGTGGAACAGCAAATCGGTGTTTCTCTCTCTTGCTAAAATCGATACATAAAATCTAAATAAATGGGCACCATGCTTGCACAGACTTCACACGAGAGTCCAAATGGTCTGGGCGTCCTTTCCATCCCTGGCACGGGCCCCCCTCAGGTCCCCATGTCAGTCACATGTGAGATTCCACAAGGGCCGGGACCTGGCCCAGCATCCGGGACAACGTGGCAGAGACAGAGGAAATGGGACCGGTGGGCACCAAAGGAGGGGACCCGCCCTCCCTCCCCACTGCGATCCTGGAAGGAGAGGCAGGACACTCCTAGGAGCAACCCCGTCACCCAGGAGGCTGAGCCTGGCCCCCAGAGCCCCAACGTGGGGAGCGAGGAAGGAGAGGCACAAGCAGTCCCCACGAATTTGGTGTGAACGCGGCTCTGTGGACTGCGGTGCTGGCTGACAGCCAAGCGCGCCGTCTGTCCGGCTCTCCCAGCAGCAGCGGGCCATCCCGACAGACAGACAGCAGCACCACAGAGCGGGAAGGCCGCCCTGGGGTCGGGGCGCCGCCCCAGCCGGGGGAGGTGGGATCCGCGCTCACCTGGCGCTGGGCTGGGTTCCGTGGCACAGACAGTGTCCCGTGTGGCAGTGCATGGGTGGCGGGTGACGCCGGGACACCTGAGAGGAAGGAGTGAGGACATTGCGGGCATTACTTCCCCTTCCTAGGAGGGCCCGCAGCCAGGCCTTTCCAGGTGCTCGGGCCCCAGCGGGCTCCGTGAGCGCGAAGGTGGGGATTCTGATATGTGGGGAAGGGACACCCTCTCTGTTCCTGGAAAAAGCTGTGTGTGGCTTGAGGACTGGACCTGCTGGGGCCACACCCCACTCACAGGGACGTCAGCCCGAAGGTGAAGCCGTGGAAACAGAGACAGGCAAGCACATTGAGAGAAGCAGAGCCCTGATCAAGCCTGACCTGCAGGCAGCCGTACTTTGGACTTGTCAGGTACAGAACAGACAGTTCAACATGGTCTGAGTTGTGCTGAAGGGCCAGCAAGGCACCTCACAGAAGTGAGCTATTTTGCAAGTGGCTTTACCACTGTCTCCCCAGAAGGTCCCCCCAAATCCATGCCCACCGGGACCCTCAGAATGATTTTTGGAAACAGGGTCTTTGTGGGTATAATGGCAGTAAGGTGAGGTCACACTGGAGTGGGGCAGGACTTAACCAACGACCACCGTGCTCATAAGAGGAAACCGTACGCAGAGAGGATCAGACACAGGAAGACGTGAAGGCAGAGGTGAAGGCAGAGGTCGCAGCAAGCCAAGTGCGTCTACACCCCAAGGAGCGCCGGCGCCACCCACAGCTGCGGAGGCAGGAAGGATCCTCCCCAGAGCTTTCGCAGGGGCCTGGCCCTGCCGACACCCCGAGCGTGGACTCCTGGCCCGCAGAGCTACAAGGAAAGACACTCCTGCTGTTGTTAAAGCAGCCAGTCGCGATGCTGTGACAGCAGAACTCAGGACACTCCCTCGGGGACAGTGGCCATCGGCGGTCCCGGGCCGTGCGGCCTGCTCCCCCTGCCCAGAGCGCCCCTCCTCCGGCACTGTGGCCCCAGTGCGCCCGCCCTCCCGGGCCCGGGCTCCACCTGCAGACCGCAGCGGGCTCAGCCGTGGTGGGTCTGAGCCTCGGCGGGCAAACGGAGCAGGGCCCCTAGGGCGGCCGCAGGTGGGGCAGCCAGGCCATGTGTTTGACCTAATCTTCAAGGTGCCTGCACGTGGCCGGTGCTACCATGTTGCAGATAAGGAAACTGAGGGGCAGCTCCGTCCGTGACCCAGAGCCAGCGAGCACTGGGGGGGCGAGCGGGGACCCCCGAAGCCGGTACCTGGTACAGGGATAGCACCTCTCCGGGCAGTTCTCAGTGTCGCAGTAGTACTGTCCGGTCTTGCATTGGCATTGCTGGTCACTTGTCGGGGTGCAGTTCTTCACCACCTCCTGATCTGTTTGAGGGAAGGCGGGGGTCCATCACCCGGGCCGGGTCTCCGTCCCCACCCACACTGGCCCCATGGGGCGGCTCAGTCACAGGCCCTTTCCCTTCTGACATCTACAGGTGACGAGGTAACAGCCAAACACCCTTCCTGCTAACTGGGGTGTCTGAAGAGAGGCCAGAGGGTGACCCTGAAATCAAGGGTGACTTTGGAGAAGCTAGTGGGTAACCTCAAAATCTGGGGTGTCTGTGGAGGGGCCAGAGGGTGACCTAGCACCTAGGGAGGAAATACCCCCGAATTATTCTTTTCTTCTTTGCCCCCTCAAGGAAGCTCAACACCACTCTGTGCTCCACACAAGTCACCCACCAGAGAACGGGACCCAGAGAACCCCAGGCGCCTCCACAGTCACAGTGGACACCCCGCAGCCCCCCCGACGGCCTCCGATGGTGGGCCCTGAAGCCCCCAGCTCTCAGCTTTACAGGGGGCGGGTTTTCAGATCCCTCCGCCCGGCAGCCCCCTTCCTCTAGCACACGGAGAGAACCATGAACTGACCTGAGACAGAAACACAAGTCGGGTGGGGCTGCAGCCCCGGCCTGAGGCCCGGACCCACCCGAGCCGGCTGTCTGAGCTCCCCCTTGACCAGCCCTGCCGGGCACGGCTCCGGGCTGGCTCTCGGCTCACCCCTGTGCTGGGTCCCGTCCCGCTGTCTCCCTGGGGCACCGAGCAGTCACATGGTGCTTCTCCCACTTCTGTGCGTGGGCACGGGCGGCTCCTGGGGCCACTGCACACTGTCCCCGGCGCGGAGCTCACCCGGGGCAGAGCCCCCCAGGTCTAGACTGGGGCCGCGATGGGGGGCAGGTTTGATCTTCCCTAACTGAGCCACGGGTTCTCAAAGTGCTGGGCCTGGTAACACTTGTCCCGTGGGTTTAGGATCCTCACTGGCCCTCGCCCACGGCCACCAGCTTGGACGCAGGCTGCGCGGATGTCACCTGTCTCCAGCCCGCGGGGCCGTGTGCTCCGGGGTCACTGACAGGCCTTCCTCCCTGCGATGTCTGTGTCTCTCTCCCCTTGCATTCATTATCATTATCATTATCATTATCATCATCATTATTATCATTATTATTATTTTTTATCCTTGGGTGAGGACATTTTTTGGTTTTTTGTTCAGATAGAGTGGGAGGGAGAGAGAGGAAGAGAAAAAGAGAGAAACATCGATGTGAAAGGGACACATCGAGTGGCTGCCACCCGCACGACCAACCAGGGCCGGGGACAAACTGCAACCAAGGTACGTGCCCTTAGCGGGAACCGAACCCGGGTCTCTCCGGACCGCAGGCCGACGCTCTAACCGCTGAGCCAAACTGGCCAGGGCTACTCTTGCATTTTAAAAACCTTCTTAGTGCCTTTTTTTGTTTGTTTGTTCTTTTTTTAAGAAAAAATTTTTTAACATTTTTTCTTTTTTGATTTTTTTTACAGAGAGAGGAAGGGAGAGGGAGAGAGACAGAAACATCGATGAGAGAGAACATCCATTGGCCGCCTCCTGCACGCCCCCCCTGGGGATCTGGCCACAACCTGGGCATGTGCCCTGACAGGAATCGAACCAGTGACCTCTTGGTGTAGGATCCACGCTCCACCCCTGAGCCGCAGCGGCGGGGTGTCAGTGCTGTCTTTTAGGCGCCCCTGCGTGTCCTGGACCACGTTGTGCGTGTGGCTGTGTCTTGGCCATTCCCTCCGCTGCGTGGCTTCACTTGTGACACTTGGTGAACTCGCGTCTGTGAGCGCACCCCAGCATCCGCCGCCCCCTCACCTGGCGCGATCGCCTTTGGGGTGACTCCTACAAGCCAGGTCCAGGGGGGCCGCGTTGAAACCCGAGAACAACCCCCCCCCCCTGCTGCAGCCCACTTACCGTCCCTGCATTTGGCACAGGTCTGGCACTGGGTGTCGTGGTTGTGATGAGCCATGAAGGTGCCGGGCGGGCACGGACTGCACCGTGTGGCCTGGCTCTCGGTACAGTCGGCACTGACATGGTGGCCTGTGGGAGGAGGGGACAGAGGGGAGGAGGGGCCCAGGGCACAGACCCGCCCTGGTCCCTGAGGCCTTTGCGGGAGGAGGTCCCCCAACACCTGGTGGCCAGTCCCATGCGCAGTACCAACCCCTGCCTCCTGGGAACGTTCTGGACTGATGCCCGGCTACGTGTCCCAACCTGGGACCTGACTCACTCTCGGCTTTTACAGAAACCCTGCACCTCCGGAAGGAGGGGTGTAGAGTGGGCACTGGAGCCCCCCTGAGACCCTGCAGATGCTGGGGATTCCACCCCACGCGGACCTCCGGCCCGCACACACGGGGGCACAGGTGCCCGCCCGGCCCAGCGCCTGACCGTGCGAGGGCCGCTCGCCGCCAGAGCAACGGGCCTGCACACCCGCCCAGCACGCAGACCGCCTGTCGGACCGGTGGCGCCTGGGTTCCTGAACGTGCTACTTCAGGGCTTGTGCGGCGTGCACGCCCCGGAGTGTGCAGGAGGAGATGTGTGCAGTGTGTGTGCTGGTGTGTGTGCAGCGTGAGAGGCCGGGTGTGGGCCTCAGTCCCTGAGCCGGGGCCCGGGAAGGTTCAGGCTCTGGCTGAAAGGCGGCATGTGCGTGGGGGATCAGACGGTGATGGGAGCAGGTGTGTGGTTGGCCCATCAGAGTATAGAGCCCTGAAGGCAGGGCTCCCTGAAGACCTGTGCACACCCGCCCGTGTGTGGGTGGTGCACGTGGGGACAGTGGCCTTGGCCAGGCTGCACAGCCGGCCCAGCTGCCTGGCACGGACTGGCCATGCGGGGCCTGCAGCACGGGGGCAGAGCAGGCTGTGGAACCCTGGTTCCCGGCTGGTTTATGGGCCGATGCAAACCATCTGAACAAGGGAGTGAGCCTCGGTGGCTCTGCTGGGCATGCGGGCGGTGCCCGCCCCCCCCAGGAGTTCCCACCCTCAGGTGTCTGTCACGACTACCCGGACAGGGGTGGGTCAATGAGGGCATCTGGCCTGGGGACGTACCCCACTTCCACCCACCAAGCCCTGCTGAGTGAGGACACAAACCCCTTGTTCACAGAGCCCCAGGGCAGTGCAGAGGACAGGAGGTGTGGGCAGTGGGCCGAGGTAACTGAGGAAGAGAGGCCCACCCACCAGGCTCCACCCTCCCCGTGTGGCCTGCAGCTCTGATCAAGGAGCTGGGCACCCCACCCCCGGGTCAGCTCTGCTGAAGGCTCAGGAACATGTCCTGACACTCACCAGGTGGGCAGAGGTCACAGCAGAGACGACCCAACGCGTACTTATTTCCATGACACTTGGTCACCGGGGTTGTCACAACCTGCAATCGGAAAGGAGATGGGCTTTACCCACAGGCCTCTGCTCCGGACGGGTATGCGTGTCCTCCGCAGGGACGGTGCTCCGCACAGCCCTGGGCCCCTCGCTGGGTGCGCTCTGCGGGGGCAGCTCCTGGGAACATTCTCAGAGCGCGGTGCCTTGGACGTGCTACATGGGGTGAGTGTTCCGTGGGGGCATTTTCTTCTCTGCCCGGTGGCCTGCATGGATGTCACATCTGCCTGCAGGGTCGGAACCAGCACCCGCCCGCCGTGGCCGGGACCAGGCCCTGAGTCCTTTGCTCCGGAACGCAGTTCATCGTCCCAGCAGCCGCCCTGCCCTCCGCCCTGCGCTGCCTTCTCGTCCGAATGCAGCCCCGCCGCCCTTGCGGGACGGTGCCCGCCAGCCCTGCCGCGGCCCTCTCGCCCCACCGGGGCTGCTCCCTCAGGCCCATGTCTCTCCTCTCGGGCCTGGCTCTTAGAAACCGCCCCCGGCTAGACAGTCCCTCCACCTGCAGCCTGATGACCCTACGGCGTGGCCCCGGCCGCGCACGGCCGCCCTGGGCCGACTCATCGCCACCCTTTTCTCTGGCGCTGCTTCGTCTCGATCATACTTTCCCTTCGATCCGTCCTTTCCTTCTCGTCCGGCTCTTGTTTTGTTGACTCCGTTTCCCCAGATCCCTTCCCCCGTCACTGCAAACCCCTGGGGACAGCGTTCCTGGTTCAGGGCGCCTGGGACAATGAAGGGCGCGCACCCGAGAGCCCAGTAGCTGGGTTTCGAGAAGAAAACCGTCTGCAAACAGCACAGGAGGAAGGGTCTCAGGTAAGAACCAACGTCCCTGACCCTGTAGGGCACCTGGGGAGCTGGGGGGGACCTCACGGTGGGGAATCCTCGAGCACCATCCCAGCGGTCATCAAAGTGCACACACCCGGAGCGGACACGCAGCCTCCCGAGCTGTCTCCTGAGGGCGCAGTGAGAATGGCCCCCCGCTGGGGCGTGTGGGCCAAAACGCCCTCCTGGCATTTATTCTAAGAAACCACCGACCGTCCAAGTGGCAAGTCTGTTAAATCACTCGTCACATGTCAGCCGCGGTCAGGTTGAGGAGGAAAAGAAAGCCTGGGCAGAGGTTCTGACCTCAAGACCGAGCCAAGGTCACAGCTGCCAAGACAGGAAGCAGCCTAGAGACCAACCCGAGGTTCCCGGAGAAGATGTCGCCCTGAGTCATCTGCGGGGAGCGAGGGAAGGGTGGGCTGGTTTCCTTTATTGTGTGCTTCCTGGAAGGCATTGTTTCATCGGGCTCACAGTCACATCAAGCAAAGGCGACCACCAGAAAGGCTACGGAGCCATGTGTAGGTTCTCCCCGCCCTGATCACTCCCACAGTTTCCACAGGAACTTTCTCAGTCTGAGGTTCTTGCAACACGGACCTTTAAACATGAAAAACCTTCAAACAGGAAAAATCTCAGTCCCCCTTTTAGAACAGGAACAAGGCAAGGATGCCCACTTTCACCACTCTTATTTAACATAGTTCTGGACGTCTTAGCCCAGCAATCAGACAGGAGGAAAAAATAACAGGGATCCAAACGGGAAAGGAGGAAGTGAAACTGTCATTATTCGCAGATGACTTGATACTATATGTAGAAAACCCCAAGACTCCATCAAAAATTTACTAGACTTAATAAATGCATTTGGCAAAGTAGTAGGATTCAAAATTAACATCAAGAAATTGATGGCCCTGGCCGGTTTGGCTCAGCAGTTGGAGCATTGGCCTGCGGTCCGGAGAGACCCGGGTTCAGTTCCCGCTAAGGGCATGTACCTCGGTTGCAGTTTGTCCCCGGCCCTAGTTGGTTGTGCGGGTGGCAACCACTCGATGTGTCCCTTTCACATCGATGTTTCTCTCTCTCTCTGTTCCTCTCTCTCCCTCCTACTCTACCTGAACAAAAAAATGGAAAAATGTCCTCAGGTGAGGATAATTAAAAAAAAAGAAAAGAAAAGAAAAGAAATTTACGGCGTTCTCATACACCAATGATGAATTCACAGAAAGAGAAACTAAAAAAAGAATCCCATTTACCATCACAGCAAAAATATTAAGATACCTAGGAATAAACTTAACCAAAGAAATAAAGAACCTTTTCGCAGAAAACTAAAGGTCATTGAAAAAAGAAATAGAGGAAGATGTTAAAAAGTGGAACCACATACCTTGTTCATGGATTGGAAGAATCAACATCATTAGAATGTCCATACTACCCAAAGCGATCTATAGTTTCCATGCAATCCCCATCAAAATACCAACAACATACTTCACAGAACTAGAACAAATACTTCAAAAGTTCATATGGAGCCCTGGCCGGTTTGGCTCAGCGGTTAGAGCGTCGGCCTGCGGTCTGGAGAGACCCTGGTTTGATTCCCGCTAAGGGCATGTACCTCGGTTGCAGTTTGTCCCCGGCCCTGGTTGGTCGTGCGGGTGGCAGCCACTCGATGTGTCCCTTTCACGTCGATGTTTCTCTCTCTCTCTCTCTCTCTTCCTCTCTCTCCCTCCCATTCTATCTGAACAAAAAATGGAAAAATGTCCTCGGGTGAGGATATAAAAAAAAAAAAAAAAAAAGTTCATATGGAACCAAAAAAGACCTCGAATAGCCACAGCAATCTTGAAAAACAAGAACAAAGTTGGAGGGATCACATTACCAGATTTCAGGTTATACTACAAAGCCACTGTAATCAAAACAGCCTGGTACTGGCACAAGAACAGGCATATAGACCAGTGGAACAGAACCCAGAACCCAGAAATGAACCCAAGGCAATATGTTCAGTTAATATTTGACAAAGGTGGCAAGAGCATACAGTGGAGTAAAGACAGCCTCTTTAATAAATGGCGTTGGGAAAATTCGACAGCTACATGCAGAAAAAATGAAACTAGACCATCAGCTTACACCATACACAAGAATAACCTCAAAATGGACAAAAGACTTATGTGACTCGTGAATCCATAAAAATCCTAGAAGAAAATGTAGGCAACAAAATTTATACGCAGCAGAATTTTCACTGATACATCACCTAAGGCAACGGAAACAAAGGAGAAAATGAACACATGGGACTACATCAAATTCAAAAGCTTCTGCACAGCAAAAGAAACAACCATCAAAACAAAAAAGCAACCCACTCTATGGGAGAACATCATTGCCAATGATACATCAGATAAGTGGTTAATTTCCAAAATATATAGAGTACTCATACAACTCAACAAAAGGAAGACAAAGAACCCAATTAAAAAATGGGCAGAGGGCCCTGGCTGGTTTGGCTCAGCGGTTAGAGCGTTGGCCTGTGGTCTGGAGAGACCCGGGTTCGGTTCCAGCTAAGGGCACGTGCCTCGGTTGCAGTTTGTCCCTGGCCCTGGTTGGTCGTGCGGGTGGCAGCCACTCGATGTGTCCCTTTCACGTCGATGTTTCTCTCTCTCTCTGTTCCTCTCTCTCCCTCCCACTCTACCTGAACAAAGGATGGAAAGGTGTCCTCAAGTGAGGATAAAAAAAAAAACAAGAAAAAATGGGCAGAGGAGCTGAATAGACACCTCTCCAAACAGGACATACAAATGACTAAGAGACATATGAAGAAATGCTCAACATCACTAATGATCAGAGAGATGCAAATTAAAACAACAATGAGGTATCGCCTCACACCTGTGAGAATGGCCGCCATCAACAAATCATCAAACAAGTGTTGGTGAGGGTGTGGAGAAAAGGAGACTCTAGTACACTGCTGGTGGGAATGCAGACTGGTGCAGCCAATATGGAAAACACTATGGTGTTACCTCAAAAACTTAAAAATTGAACTTCTATTTGACCCAGTGATCCCACTTCTAGGAATATACCCTAAGAAGCCTGAAACACCGATCGGAAAAAATATATGTACCCCCATGTTTGTAGCAGCACTATTTACAATAGCTAAGATCTGGAAACAGCCCAAGTGTCCATCAGTAGGCAAATGGATAAAAAAGCTGTGGTACATATACACAATGGAGTACTATGCACCTGTAAGAAAGAAAGATCTCTTATCCTTTGAGATGACATGGAGGGACCTGGAAAGTATCACCCTAAGTGAAACAAGCCAAACAGAAAGACAAATATCATATGATCTCACTTATTTGTGGAATATAATGAACATAACAATCTGAGGAACGGGGTAGTCCCAGAGACATCGAAATGGGGTGCAGGCTGACAATCCCCAGAAGAGGGGGTGGGGGGAGATAAACTACAGAACTTATATGCGTGTGTGCATGAACAATGGACATGGACAACAAAGGTGGGGACAGGGAGGGGAAGGTGGGGACAGGGAGGGGATATCAGTGGAGGCAAAAGGAGAAACATCTGTAACAAAAATAAGTTAATTTAAAAAAACATTAAGATCCAATTAGAAAGTGTGGCTTATCCTTCCATTATACTTAATGAATTCTGTCTAAAGATAGAATCTTGACGTTGAACTTTATAACATGGAGCAAAAAAATGTACTTTGAATTAAAAGGGACCCTAGAAAATAATTTTGTTCTATCCTTTTATTTAACCAGAGGTAAAAACAGTAATTGGTGGGGAAAAAAAAAAAGAATCTCAGCCCAGAGAAAGACAGCTTTTCTGCCAGGCAGGGGCAGATCAAGGGGGCGCTAGGACCCTGGGCACTCTGGGCTGGCCCCTCCACCCCCTCCAAGGAGGACAGAGCCCCAACCCGCTGGCTCCAGGGCCCTCCCCCTGCCACGCCCCCAGGAGGTGTCACTGTGTCAGTCACATCCAGCCCTGCCCATTCTCTCAGCTTTTCTCCCGCTTTGATTTCATTTTATGTTAAAATGTTTTTTTTTATTTTGGGGAGAGAGCGAGAGAAACATCCATGAGTCACCCGCGCCAGGCTCTCCTGCTTTTGGGGAGGCTCCCGCTCCAACTCCTCCCCCTGAAGGAAGGTGAGTGTCGAGGGACACAGCTTCTCCCAGCTCCGTGGCTGTTGGCGCCCTGGCACCCAGGACCTACCCCATTCCAGCACCCCTGACCTCCAGGCCCAGGTCAAGGACAGAATCAAGATAAATTCTAGGTACTGCAATTACGTATACAGATATTTTTTGGAAATCCTCATTCGAAGATATTTTTCCATTTATCTTCAGATAGAGTGTGTGTGTGTGGGGGGGGAGAGATGGATGTGAGAGAGACACATCGACTGGTTGCCTCCTGCAGGACCCCAACCAGGGCCGGGCACCTGACCACAGGGAGGTATGTGCCCTGGACCTGAATTGAATCCGCGACTCTTTGGTCTGTGGACCGACGGTCTAACTGCTCAGCCCAACCGGCCAGGACGGCAAATATATTTTTTTTAAAAATCAAATCGGGAAAGTGCCGCTGGCGTTTGTGAATAAAGGTTTTTTAACTTCTCACTCAAGAATATTTTTGCATTTATCTCATAGAGTCGGGAATGTCTGATAGCCTGGAAACTGACTCCCGGCAAACTGTTACCTGGCGTACACATCCTAGACTCCCACTGTTACAGGAACTGTTTGCCCCGGGACAACAGACTCACATTCCAGGGGCCCCCCTGGTAGCCCCGCAGGACCTAACCCTAACAACAAATTCCTGCTGCCATAGGCGCAGATATAAAATCACAAACCCCAGCATCGGATCGGGCGCGGCTTCCAGGACTCGACCCCCCGAGTCTGTGAACCCGCCCGGAGTGTACCCAATAAAGCCCGATTTCTGCTTATTTGGCTGTTTGGCTCTTCGGTTTCTTCCCACCTCCCACTGGCGGCGCCTGGCTACCTTACAGGAGGGAGGGACAGAGAGAAGCACCAATGTGAGAGGGACACATCGACTGGCTGCCTCCCGCACGACCTGGGCCAGGGGTGAACTGCAACCGAGGTACCTGCCCTTGGCTGGAATCGAACCAGCCACTCTGGTTCGTGGGCTGACGCTCCAACCGCTGAGCTAAACCGAGCCATGAATGAGGTTTTTTTGAAACCAGGTTTGGGATCTGGGGTGTGAATCCAGGGAGAGTCTGGCCAAGTTCAGGGCTGAATTCTGTCTTTACTTAGAAGGTCTCTACGTTTTCCAACGTGCATTCCGCATTGATTTTTCATTTTTAAATAATGCATCAAAATATTATCTTTGAGTTCTTATGGTGGCCCCGTGAATTTCATACCTGACGTGAGTACCCGACTCACCTCCTACAGTCACTCCCTTGCAGATGACCAAGGGTTCCCCATTTTCCCACCCATGGGCCACCTCTCACAACACCCCCATCCCAGAGGCTCCCCCAGCTCGGGGTGTCCCTGCTGGTGCCCACAGCGCCTGCTCCCCACCAGCCCCTTCACTGCTGTGCTAGGAAAGCCCTCAAGAACCGCCCACCAGACACCCACGCCCACTGGAGGTTGTGGAGCCCAGCTCGGCCCGTGAGGAAATCCTGGAGAGCTTGAGGGACACCAAGGACTCACGTGACCCATAATGTGCCACCCACCAGAAGTGGGCAGCCTGCCTCCCTGGGCAAGCCCTCCTTCCCACGTAGGAGGAGGGACGGTGGGAAGCCAGGCCGGCTAGGCGGCCGCCACCTGCTTGGAAAGGCTCTGGGGGGTGGGGCCTGGGAAGCCAGGGCCCGCCCAGGAGTGCCGGGCAGAGGCCTGTGCTCCTCGCCATGGCGGGCAGGCTGGTGCCTGAATGCAGGAGGTGCAGGGAGGGAGGATCTCCTGGCACTGAGCCCGGGGGAGAGCACAGTACTCTGAAGCCCTTCCCTGAGGGAGTGGAGACACACCCAGGTGCCCGGAAGGAAAGGTTCTGTAGATAAACATTCCAGCTGTACAACTTGAGGCCCTGCAGGCATCCCCAGCCTGGCTTTGCCACAGGGCACCAGTGCCAGGAAGGGAGCCGCTGACCGCCAGGCTGGAGGGCTGGGTAGAGGCAGGAGGGCCAGGTCTCCTGAAGTAGCCCAGGGAGCACAGCCCACGCAGGCTCTGCCCCCCCCAAACAGGCCCCTGGGCGCCGCTGCCATGTCTCAGGGGAAAGGCCACGCAGTCGGCAGACTGCCTTCTGGGAACTCGGCAGTGCCTCGGGTGGCCGGGCGTGGGCTTCCCTGGGCTCCTGGGCAAGTTGGGAGGAACCGAGTGCAGCCTGGGAGGCCTGACTGGGACCTGGGAGGTGCCAGAGGGAGAGAAACACTCTGCTTGCTGCGGGCCAGTGCTGTGCCAATATCCCCATGAGAACGATGGCGCTTGAGAAACAGGAAGCTCAGGCTGCTGGGGTGAGTCGCTGGAACAGCTCTGTGCACAGGAAGAGGCTGCAGGCGGGATAGCCAGCCAGGACACATGCTCAGGTGGTGCACTGGGCCAGCCTGCAGGAGGCAGCCAGTCGACGTCGCTCTCTCTCCCCCCCTCTCTCTAAGAAAGCGATGAAAAGATGTTAGCAATGTTCAGCAAATGGTGAAACAGAGTATCCATATGAAACCATTTCTGAGTGCCTGCTAGAGAGTAGGAAAAAACAATGATAAAAAAAAAGAAAGAAAAAAAAGAATCTTGCCCTGGCTGGAGGGCTCAGCGGTTAGAGCACCAGCCCCTGCACCCAAGTGTGTCAGGCTGATTCTTGTCAAGGGCATGAACCTGGGTGGCCGGTTTGTCCAGTCCAGGGGAGGCAACCAATGGATGTGCCTCACTTACTTTCTCTTCCCTTCCCCCTGCCTTCCTCTCTCTCTAAAAAGCAGTGGAAAAGCCACAGCAATTAGAAAAGAAGAACAGAAAAGGGATCCAAACCGGAAAGGAGGAAGGGACACTGTCATTATTCGCAGACAGAGGACCTGAATAGACACCTCTCCAAACAAGACATACAAATGGCCAGGGGACAGATGAAAAACTGCTCATCATCTCTAATCATCAGAGAGATGCAAATTAAAACAACAATGAGGTATCACCACACCTGTCAGAATGGCCGCCATCAACAAATCATCAAACAACAAGTGCTGGTGAGGGTGTGGAGAAAAGTGGACTCTAGGGCACTGCTGGTGGGAATGCAGACTGGTGTAGCCACTATGGGAAACACTATGGTGTTACCTACAAAAAAAAAAAAAAAATGGAACTGCCATTTGACCCAGTGATCCACTTCTAGGAATATACCCTAAGAAGCCTGAAACACCAATCAGAAAGAATATATGTACCCCCATGTTCATAGCAGCACTGTTTACAATAGCTAAGATCTGGAAACAGCCCAAATGTCCATCAGTAGAGGAATGGATAAAAAAAGCTGTGGTACATGTACACAATGGAGTACTATGCAGCTGTAAGAAAGAAAGATCTCTTATCCTTTGAGACGACATGTAAGGACACGGAGAGTACTATGCTAAGTGAAACAAGCCAATCAGAGAAAGACAAATATCACATGATCTCACTTATTTGTGGAACATAATGAACAAAATAAGCTGTTAACCACAAGAGATCCAAAGTCATGGAAGTAGGGAACAGACTGACAAATTTCAGAGGAATGTGGGGTAGAGAGGAGGGAAGAGATAAACCAAAAATCAGTGGAAAAATATCCTTGGGTGAGGATTAACACAAAAAAAATCTTTCCACCTTTGCTGAAGATGTGGGTTTCTGGGCTTGCAGATTCTTTGGCTTGGGGGAGACCCCCAACCCCATCCTGGGAGGACCCACCCTTGCACCCAGAGACATGCGCAGAGCAAGTCTGCCTCCCTCCCTCCCCCCGCCTCCCGCCTCCCGCCTCCCACCTCCCGCCTAACGCCTGCCGCCTGGCCTGCCCCAGTGCAGAGAACATTACGGGGATTTTTCAGGAAGTGGGGGTGGGGAGGATGTCCTGGGGTGGGAGGGGGGGGGCCGGTGGCTAGACTGGGGAGGTAAGGCCTGAAACTTAGCTAAATGTCCAGCTACCCTAAAAAATCTGGGGCGCCACCGCAGGCTCACCCCGCGTCTGCGTGTCGCCCATCAGGGTGCGCGCGCACCCCGCGGGCGCACGGGCAGCTGCAGCGCCGGCGCAAAGCCGACCGGGCGGGGCCTGGGCAGACAGGACCGCAGAGGGGTCAGGGCCCGGCGCCTGGTGCCAGTCCCGGAGGCCTCCCGCGCTCGCACCCAACTCCCGGCGCCCGTCTCCCTGGGCAGACAGGACCGAAGAGGGGTCAGGGCCCGGCGCCTGGTGCCAGTCCCGGAGGCCTCCCGCGCTCGCGCCCAACTTCCCGCGCCCCGGCCTCTCCCTGGGCCGACAGGACCGAAGAGGGGTCAGGGCCGGCGCCTGGTGCCAGTCCCGGAGGCCTCCCGCGATCCCGCCCAACTCCCGGCGCCTCCGGGAAAATGCCGGGGCGACTCCGGGCCTGCGTAAGCGGGGCAGGGGCGGACGCCCCCAGGAACCCCGGCTCCGGTCGCTCCGGCGTCCCCGCATTGTCCCCGGGCAGCTCCGGCGGGGGAGTGGGGGGGGTGACATTCCCGGCCGGACCGTTAGGTTTCCCCGGACGGACGCATCGCCCTCCGGGCGCCCTCGCCCCGGGCACCATCCTTACCTGGGCCTGGAGCAGAAGCAGCAGCACCAGCACCCACAGCATGGCTCGCCGCGCAATGAACGGACACGGCGCCGGGAGCCGGGAGCGCCGGCCGCGGTGGAACTCGCGTCTGATCAGCCGATTGCTGGTTCCGAAAGTGATAGGCAACGGGGTGAACTAAGTCTCCGCCCATGGACGGGGACGTCCCAGCTCGATTTCCGGTCCGGTCACGGTTGGGGGCTAAATCCCCCACGTGGGGATCGTTCAGGTGACAGCCAGTGAATTTCTCTCTCATCCATGTTTCTGTCTGTCTCTCCCTTCCTCTCTCTCTCTGGAAAATCAATAAAAACATATTTTAAAAAATAGTCCTTGCTCTGGCCTGTTCGGTTCAGCGATTAGAGTGGTGGGATCCATTCTGGTCAAGGTCAAGGGCAGGTGCATGGGTTACAGGTTCCATCCCAGCCCTAGTCGGGGTCCTTCCTAAAGCAACCAATTGAAGTCTTTCTGTCTCTCTCCCTCTCCCTCCCTCCTCCCTTCCACTCTATCTAAAAATCAATGGAAAAATATCCTAGGGTGAGGGTTAACAAACAAAAAGAAAGAAAAGAAATTGTCCCTATACTCGAAAGTGACAAGGCAGGCCACCAGGAGGGACCCTGCATATGTTCATTTTTAAGTAGGGTCTTTAGATTCTTTTTTATTATTGATCTTTAACAAACAGCATCTGCCCCACCCTCTGGAGATCCTCTTACACGGAACCCCTGAGGGAGTTTTTCATGCATTTGAGGGCTACAACCCAAGGCTCCTCAAGTAACTGAGACTAATAGCCTGCAGGCAAAAAGCTAGAGGCTACCTGAACCTTTCCTGGGCTTGCAAATCTACCCAGGAAAGCAAAACTTGACAGTGGCGTTCAATGTGGGTCCTCCCACACTCACCCAAACCAGCAGAGGGAGCCACAAACAGCAGAACAGCAACTCCCACTGGGAAAATTGGGCAGGCTGCAAACCCACTGAGATAGCCAAAGTGGTGAAACCAATGGACCCGCCAATAGTGTGGGGAAGGCAGGAGGGGGCTGGATTGGGGAGGAGGGGGTCAATGGGGAAAAAGGGGGGGACATATGTAAGTGATTCTGCATTCCTGGGGGTCCCTGTGCCCCGCTGGGCAGCCGCAGGTTTGTCTGCCCACAGATGCACCCGTGAGTTAGTGGAGTGGCAGACAGGGCCCAGGTTCACCCCACCCTGCCCCTCCAGGTTCCCACAGGACCCCCAGTGAGGGCTAAGCCTTAGGTCCTTGTTAGGCACCATGGACTCCCCATGTGCCCCCTGCTGGCCCTGCCGGGCCATCTGGTTGAGGAATCCACCCCCACGCCCTGCCCAGGCTGCTCTCTCCCCGTCCGGAGAAAGCAGTTCCCCTTTCTCCTGGAAGACCCCACCCCACGGTCCCCAGCTCTGCCAAGGCTTGTCAGTTCATCTGCAACAGAGACCCCAATTTGGGGTGCGGTGAGGGAGGAGCCTTTATTTTGTGCAAACAGCTCAGAGGGACTCAGCAAGGCCGAGGACCGGGCACCCCGTCAGGGCAGAGGAGGGACACAGAGCAGGGGCCGTGTGACGACCGGGGCAGAGACAGGAGCGTGTCCATCGGCCCAGGGTGCCCGCGGCCATCTGAAGCCTGAGGAAGGATCAGGCCTGGGCCCCCGGAGGGGGTGCAGCTCTGGGACACCTTGACCTTGGACTCCTGGCCCCGCTGTGGTAGAGTGGCTGTCTGCAGTCACCGTGGACAGGACCCCAGGAAGGCAGCACCCTCCCTCGGTCCCCCAGCCCCCACCCGGACGCTCCGGAGTTCTGCTGGGTGACGCCAGCGACCCCTGCAGTGGGAAGAGGCCAAGTGACCGCTGGTCCGGCTGGTCCAGGCTGGCCCTGCTGCTCCCCCGTGGTGGGCGGGGCCGGTACAGGGGCCTCTCTATACTCAGGGTCCTCAAGGGACTCGGGGCGCAGTCCCCTGAAGGGGTTGCTCCGATTGACTAACAGGACACTAGAACCCTGGCTGTTTAGCACAGCGGTCCAAGCATCAGCCTGCAGACTGAAGTGTCACGGGTCCGATTCCTGTCAAGGGCACGTACCTGGGCTGCAGGTTCGTCCCCGGGTACAGCTGGGATCGTGCAGGAGGCAACCAATCGATGTGCCTCTCTCAGCTCCATGTTTCTCTTTCTCTCCTTCCCTTTCACTTTATTTCAAACCAAGGGGAAAAAAGAGTTTTCTGCGCTGTGGGGATGGTGGAGGGAGAGGTAAACGGAGATTTCATTTTCCAGAGGGAAAGCCCTTCAGACTGAGCTGTGGTTCCCCAGCACCCCACAGGGCTGTGCCGGTCCAGCATCGCCCCCTGCAGGCGGTCCCGGAAAACCACCTGGGAGAAGGGTGTGGAGTGTCCCGTCATTCCTGTCAGCGTGGTCCCGCGTCTTCCAGCAGGGAAGGAAGGAACCACCAGAGCTCGGCAGAGGAAACAGCCTCTCAACAGAAGAAAACCGTCTGGAATTTCAAGGTAATTTGAAACACATGGACAGTGAATTTGAAGAAAGTTCCTATTTGAAAAATACCATTGCCCTGGCCGGTCTGGCTCAGCGGTTAGAGCGTCGGCCCGCGGACCAGCGAGTCCCGGGTTCGGTTCCCGCCAAGGGCATGCGCCTCGGTTGTGGCTTGTCCCTGGCCCTGGTTGGGGTCGTGTGGGTGGCAGCTAGTTGCTGTGTCCCTCTCATGTCGATGTTTCCTACTCTCTGTCTTCCTCTCTCCCTCCCACTCTATCTCAACAAAAAATGGAAAAATGTCCTTGGGTGAGGATGAAAAAAAACAAGTATCAGTGCAGGTGACTCTAAATCACTTGGTACAGCCCTGGCCGGTTTGGCTCAGCGGTTGGAGTGTCCGCCTGCGGTCCTGAGAGACCCGGGTTCGGTTCCCGCTAAGGGCATGTACCTGGGTTGCAGTTTGTCCCCGGCCCTGGTTGGTCGTGCGGGTGGCAACCACTCGATGTGTCCCTTTCACATCGATGTTTCCCTCTCTCTCCCTCCCACTCTATCTGTACAAAAAAAAAGGAAAAATGTCCTCGGGTGAGGATAAAAAAAAAAAAATCACCTGGTACAGGGTCTTGCAGTGATCTCCAGAAGGACTTTACGAGAATCTTCCCCAGAAAGGATTAAATGAGGAAAAGGCAAAGTAGGGGAAGCTGATTCAGGAAAGACCTTCTCGGGAGGCTGAAATGAGTAAGAGTGGAACAGAGCTAAGGGCTCCTCATGAGTTGCATCAGCTCTGAGGACAGGGAGCAGCCCTGCTCAGCTGACACACCCCTAGGGTTAGAGGAGAAATTACTGCGCTGTAACAGAAACAAAGAATGTATGGGTGTCGAATTCATAACTTTTTCTCCAGAACATCTTTGAGAACGACCACGTATGATACACATTTTAAAGGGAGCATTCAAACCATTAGGGCTTAAAGAAAGGTGTCTTGATGAACATCAATGTAGGGCACCCGATTAGATAAATACATAAGTTCTGAAATGAAACTGGAATGTTTTGGATACATTTGCCAAAGAAAATTTGACATTTAAAGAAATGTGGAAAAAAAATTTAAATCATTTAAAAAAATGATTTGGGCAGTTCTGGAAGTCAGTTATAATACATTGTTTTGTGTATTATAAAAATAAGTTATATTTCAAATGTTAAGAGAGCCCTCGGAGGAGGAGCGAAACGACGGCACCTACAACACACATGCGACGGCCATGTCACCCATCCTCAGGGTCAGACACTGCGGTCGGCCTGGTTCAGACGGGCAGGCGGTGGTGGCGGGGTGGGGCCCAGCCCTTCCCCTGCCGCAGGCTGCGGGCCCTGCACACCCGCTGGGCTCTCTGGGGTCCGGGGGAGCATCGGGGTCTCACAGGGCACATCCAAGCTGACGTCTCGGTTCCGGGGGCCCGGAGAGTCCGCACCCGGGTTCTCGTGCAATGACCTGAAGGGTGCCGAGCCTTCCGGCCTCTAACACAGAAGGAAATGTATTGAGTGGGGCATCCAGCACCCTTGTCTGAACCCCCCACCCCGAGATCAGCGGTCCGTGGATCCCAGGGCTCAGCGTGGTCAGCTTGGTCTCAGCTGGCTCGGCTGGCCTCGGTCAAGGCACCTCGAGGCCTGTGGCTGCCTCGGTTTCCTCAATGTGAATGGAACCCTCCAGAGTCGAAGGTCCTCTGGCTCTGGCCCTCAGCTCATGTCTGGCTGATACCCAGCAGTGAGGGGCGTCCTGGGGCTGACTCGGCCCTCCTAATGTGGGGCTGTCTGACCCTGGACGGGAGGCTGGGCTGGGACGGGCACTGTGCTCAGTGTACCCTGGCCGGTACTCACCACACTTTCTTGTCCGTCACGGTCACCTGTAAAGACAGACAGCACGCTGTGGTTAAGGGCAGGGTGCAGGAGGGACCCCTCTGAGATAGGAGGGCCGGGCCAGGGATCCCGCCAGGGAAGCTGCAGGAAGGGGCCTGGTGTGCCTCGTGTCCCCCAGCTGTGTGGTTCCCCAACGTCTGGGTTCCTCCAAGAGGGAAAGCTAACAACTAAAAGCAATCTGGGTCGCTGGGCTGCGGGCGGGGGCGGGGGGGTACGGGGATCTGCTGGGTGACCGCTGAGGTGTTCAGAGCCAGAGGTGGTGGAGCTCAGAGCCACGCGGCTGTTCCCCGTGAACCGGCTCATTTTCTACCCCATGATTTCACCTGCATAAAACACATACGAGAAGCAACGACACCAGCCCCTTACCTGGACCGGGCAGGCCGCACACGGTGTCTGCTGTGGCATTGCACGTCCGCAGGACGACCTTCCCTTTGGGACACCTGGGGAGGGAGATGCCCTCACTATTCCCGTTCCACTCTGCCCAGGCCCCCGGCACAGGGGTGGCGTTGGCACCACCAGGTGGGCTCTGGGCTGGCTCCAGAGGGAGCTTCCCCATCCCACTCACGGGGGCACCGTGTGCCGTGCCCGGACACCCCACAAGGGGCCCGGGGGCAGGGAGAGCCCCAGCTCTCACCCGGCACCACGCGCCCCCCACACCCTCCTAGCGGACAGGGATGGACCCCCCCCCAGGACGCCTCAAGCCCTCGTGTGTAGGCCCGTGGCCAGAGGGAAGGGACCGTCCAGCTGTGAACGCAGCTCAGCAATGAGGTACCCTTCCTAAGTGTTGCAAATGAGGGGCTTTCTGATGCCACAGGTAGGTTTGCTCAGACCCGGGACGAGCGGGTCACCTGCCAGCACCTCAGTGCTCACAGCTCTCCGCACACGGAAGGACGACCTGTAGGGACGTCTGAGTCCCCAGCCCACGCTTGCGGCCCTCACCGGCTCCCCACCTCCTTTCTGAGGGCATGAGGCTTGTTCCCAGACGCCAAACTCGGTCACGAGGGAAAAGCCACTGAGCACCTCCAGGTTGGACACCCTATGGGATCCGGAAGCCCGCCCAGCCTGCCACGTTGCTCTCTTTGGACTGAACCCAGCCTTGGAGGAGGCCGGACACGAAGGTGCTGTCGTGCCCTTGGTGTGAGGCATTGGGCAGCTGGTCAGGAACTCGGGTGCCAGAGGACATGGTGAGATGCCCCCAGAATTCTACACACAGACGATCAGTTGTCGAGAGGGAAGGACAGAGCGTCTGTAAAAGCCAAGGATCCGAAGTCCAGTTCGTCCCTCATCCTTTCCCGGGATGTGACATCGGGACCCCCTCCAGCACAACAAAGAGCCACCCAGAGAGGGGTGCGGTGGCAGAGCCGGGAGGGCGGGGTGGGAGGTCGCGCCCTGGCCACTGGGAGCGACCCTGAGAGCGGTGAGTAGCTGGGGACCCAGGGACACGAGCTCCGATGGACGGCGGACAGGATGACGGGCCCTCGGGGAACACGGGCCTTGAGAAAGGACGCCGTGCACGGAGCAGGGACAGCAACCAGACACGTTAGGAGGGAGGAAATCCCTGGGAAACAGGCCCTGTCCAGATGGGGAACGACCTGGACATCGACAGGAGCTCCGAGCTGGGGAGGGGAGGGGGGTCGGTCCAGGGCTCAGCCCAGAAGCCCAGCCCAGCCCGCTAGCCCGCCCGGGCTCGGCGCGGTCACCTACGAGCTGCACGGTGCGCAGAACTCATTGGAGTCGGGGTGGCGGTAGCGGCCCGTCTGGCACTGGCACTTGCGGTTGCTGGTGGGAGTGCACTCCGCCACCACTTCCTGGTCTGCAGGGCAGAACGAGGGGTCAGTCCCAGGGCCACGCCGTCCTCCTGTCCCCGCGGGTGCCTACGGGTGCCCCCACGTGGCCACGCGGGCTGGAAGCAGTGTGGCCGCAGGAAGGACCTCAGCCAGCCAAGCAGGTGCACCCGATGGTCCTGAGGGTGGTGGGAAACCCTGCTGGGGACGCCCCCCACCTCTGCACCCCTGTCTCCCCAGGGCCACCCGACAGGCGGGGTGCTGGCTCGGAAACTGAGTCCCACGGATCCGCTGGGCACCACGGTCTCAAAATGTCCCCAGGGGGGTCTCTCACTTACGAAGCTGACAGCCTGCCTCGCCCTGTTCGCCAGCCTCCTGGGTGCCTCCCAGAACACAGGGTGCTTCCTAGGGGCGCCCACTTTGTAACCGCGGTTACGGAACTCAGTGCCCCAGGGACCCAAGTTCTAGAAGTCACGCCAGTGTCCGTCTGAGGTTAGGTAACCGTCGTCAGATTTGGGACAGAAAACCCAAGTCATCTTAGCTAATCCCTTGGGGTCGGGGCTGCGGGCTGTGGGGTAGAGGTCTCTACTCCGTCCTCGCGGATGAACAATAAGGGGACATTTTAAAGAAAAACTGGGCCCTGGCCACTTTGGCTCAGCAGCTAGAGTGTCAGCTTGCAGACTGAAGAGTCACTGGTTCGATTCCTGGTCAAGGGCTTGTACCTTGGTTGCAGGTTTGGTCCCTGGTCCCGTTAGGGCCATGCTGGAGGCAACCAATGCATATGTCTCTCTCTCTCTCTCTCCCACTCAAAACAATAAAAATATATATAATAAAGAAACCTTGGGTGACAGAAAATCCGAGTTGCACTGGATGTTGGGGAACCCTCCTGATCCCCCTGGGTGGGTGATGGCCCTGGGTCTGTGCGGGAATGAGTGTGCTCCTAGGAAGTGTGGGCGGTGATAAAATAATGTCTGCAGCTGACTTTGAAGTGGTTCGCCCTGTGTAACACATGCATGCACACACATGAACGCACTCACCCACATGCACACACATGAATACACTCACCCACATGCACACACACACACACACACAGAAATGTGATCAAAACTACCAACTGTTTAGTCGTCTGTGCCTTATGTTCTGTTCTTTCAACTTTTCTACATGTTTAAAAAATTTGCAATTAACATTTTCTCATTAACTAGGGGCTATTATTTACCTATTTATACCGTGTGTGTGTGTTCCAAGTTTCCTAGATCAAATTTTCTAATTTCCAATTTAAATACAAAGATTCATAATGAAGAATGTGGCTGCAAACTCTGAACCAGGTGTCCCTGCGGGTCTTGTCACTGTCTCGCACAGTCACCACCCACGGGGACAACGTTCGTGCTGATCAACGTCCTCCAGCTCTTGGCAGCGGGGCGCCTGGGCTTTCGGGGGTGCTGTCCTTCCCTTCCCCAGAGGCTGGGGCACGGGCACCTGGCTTCGCAGTGTCCAGGGCTGACAGCGGACATCCTGTGCTCCATGGACAGGCCCGATGTCCGGGGCGTCTGGGGACGTAGTCCCAGCCCGGCCGCAGCGGGGTCCAGGGCTGCAGTGTCAAGGTCAGGCAAGGTGGGTGTGCTGAGACTCACCCTCGGAGCAGGAAGAACACAGCAAGCAGGACCGCAGGCCGTTGGGGAAGGCCGTGAACGTCCCTTCATCACACATCGCACACTCGCTCTGGGTGTGGGTGCTGCTGCAGGGCTCACGGACATACTGGCCTGTGCGACAGGTCGGGCAGGAGTCACACCCCCGCCAGGCACGCCTGGCGTCCCCGCTGTGAGGCCCGCACCCCAGTCCCTGGGGCTGGCCGCTCCAGGACAGCACAGAAATACGAACGTCTTGGACTTTTGCATCAGAATAACCTCTGGCCCTGGCTGGCGTGGCTCAGTGGTTACAGCATCGACCCACACACCGAAGGGTCCTGGGTTCAGTTTCCAGCCCCAGTTCAGGGCGTCTGTAGGAGGCAACCAGTCAATGTGTCTCTCTTACGTGGATGTTTCTCTCTCTCTCTCTCTCTTCCTCACCCTCTCCCACCGGCTCTATCTGAACTTACATGCAAAAATGTCCTTGGGTGAGGATAAAAAAATATATATTGTGTTAAAATTGATTTGAGAGAGAGAGAAACATCGACGAGAGAGAACACTGACTGGCTGCCTCCTGCTTGCCTCCCAGTCGGGATCTGGCCCACAACCCGGGCACGTGCCCTGACTGGGAAGCAAACCTGCGACCTCTTGGTGCAGGGTCGACGTTCAATCACTGAGCACACGGGTCGGGCTGGATGTGTCTTGGCTCCGGGGACCCGCCGGACAGAACGCGAACCGCCGGGACTCACCCGCAGGGCAGCGCCGGCAGCAGTTGCTGGCAGAGGGGTACTCGTCGAGCCCGCACGGACTCATCATGCTGCGGGGCTCCCAGCTCAGCTTGGAAATCAGCTTGGTCGAGGCGGCCACCGCCAGCTGCAGAAGGACAAGAGCGTGTCCTCGGTACTGGCCACCTCACGGGCCCTGTGCTGGGCTGGTCCCTCTGTCACATGCGGTGAATCCCAATGTCACCGGAAAGCAGCGGGCACTGTGACCCCGCGCCAGGTCTCCCCCGTGACCTTCTCACTGGAGAGTTGGGGCGCCTTCCTGCACACGCCCCAGCCCACGCGAACTCCACCGTGTCTGCTGCCTGGGCCACGGGCAGGTCAGGGGCTCACTGGAGCCTCCTGTGGGGTCAGAAAATGAGCCTCCTCATCTCATCCCCCAGGGTGGAACGTGTCACAATGTTCAGGTTTTCCAAGGAGAAGAATTTAGCAACAGTAACATCGACATCAGCTAGACAAACATAATCAGGGGTGGCCACACTTAAAAGTGGGACAGTGGCCACCCCATCAAGCCAGGGGGCACGAAGGAGCAGGTTCCCTGAAGGAGGAGGGGGTGGCCGGACAGGGGGAAACAAGAACAGGCTGAACTGTCCTGAGCCGCTCAGAGGGGCCCCTTCAGTAGGTCTGGGCCCCGCGACCCCCCTGCAGACAGAGCGCCAGGGTTGGGGCTGCTGACAGATGTGGGGAGGGCAGAAACAGTGACGTGACAGCATTGTTGGGGACAGCACTTGTGTGGGGCCTCTTCTGAGGCTCTGCTTGATTCCAGGAGAAAAAGCGAGAGGGGAGGGGGCCACAAGCACCTGGACCCCCAACCCGCAAAGTGGCAGAAGTAAGTCCCTCCTCAGTAGTAATAACTTTAAATGTAAATGCATCAAACTCTCCCATAGAAGACAGAGATGGACACAATGGATTAAAAAAATTACCCAACTACACACTGTCTACAAGAGACTCACTTCATGTCCAAATACACACAGAGGCTGGAAGAGACACGATGGCAAAGGGTATGAGGTGCACGGTCACCAAGGGGGGGGGCATGCAGATCAGACAAAATCCACGTTAGCTAAGATACTGTTACCAGAGACAAAGAAGGACATTATGTGTTGCTAAAAGGATCAATGTAGCAGGAAGGGATAACAATAACACACATTTATGCTTCTGATCCCAGGACCTCAAAACATGTGAAGCAAACCCGAGGGGCCTAAACAGGGGAAGAGAGTGCTGTGAGAAAAAAATATTGATTAGCTGCCTCCTGTCCCTTCCCCACCACCCCCCAGGGATTGAACCCACAACCCAGCTATGTGCCCTGACCAGAGATCAAACCTGAGACCCCTCTGTGCACAGGATGACACTCCAACCAACTAAGTCACACCCTGTTTTGTTTTCGTCGTTGTTAATCTTCAACCCAGGATATTTTTTCCACTGGTTTTTAGAGAAGGAAACGAAGGGAGGGAAGGGGAGAGACATAGAGAAGGAGGGAGAGAAGCATGATGTGAGAGGGACACGCTGATTGGTTGCCTCCCTCATGTGCCGAACCATGGCAGGGTATCGAACCCACTGCCCTTCGGTGTGCTAGCCAATGCTCTAACCACTGAGCACACCCTTTTAATGCAGTCATCTACATACCACGGATACCTGCTATTTTCTACCCAAAATCTTCAGGGTCCAGTTCAAGTCTTTTCCCAGACAAACAAACCTTCCCTACCTGAATCACAGAGATCTCCTAATTCCACTCAGAACTTAATTCTTCCCTGTTTCCGGGGCTAGCTCATGGAATCTACTCTAAGGGAGAAAGTCCTCCACTGTGCACACTGCTTAGTGAATATGCTGAGGCCCAGACTGGGTTATTTCTGGGCTGGAAACAGTGCCTGGGAGAAGGAAAGGGCCTCCTCTGAGGAGCCTCATGGACACTGGCCTGGCTCAGCTGTTAGATACACTGTTTGATCACACCTGTCTCCTCTCAGCTGTTAGATACACTGTGTCATGGCACCTGTCTCCTCTCAGCTGTTAGATACACTGTGTCATCGCACCTGTCTCCTCTCAGCTGTTAGAGACACTGTTTCATCGCACCTGTCTCCTCTCAGCTGTTAGAGACACTGTTTCATGGCACCTGTCTCCTCTCAGCTGTTAGAGAGACTGTATCATGGCACCTGTCTCCTCTCAGCTGTTAGATACACTGTGTCATGGCACCTGTCTCCTCTCAGCTGTTAGATACACTGTGTCATGGCACCTGTCTCCTCTCAGCTGTTAGATACACTGTGTCATCGCACCTGTCTCCTCTCAGCTGTTAGAGACACTGTTTCATCGCACCGGTCTCCTCTCAGCTGTTAGAGACACTGTTTCATGGCACCTGTCTCCTCTCAGCTGTTAGAGAGACTGTATCATGGCACCTGTCTCCTCTCAGCTGTTAGATACACTGTGTCATCGCACCTGTCTCCTCTCAGCTGTTAGATGCACTGTTTCATCGCACCGGTCTCCTCTCAGCTGTTAGATACACTGTGTCATGGCACCTGTCTCCTCTCAGCTGTTAGATACACTGTGTCATCGCACCTGTCTCCTCTCAGCTGTTAGAGACACTGTTTCATCGCACCTGTCTCCTCTCAGCTGTTAGAGACACTGTTTCATGGCACCTGTCTCCTCTCAGCTGTTAGAGAGACTGTATCATGGCACCTGTCTCCTCTCAGCTGTTAGATACACTGTGTCATGGCACCTGTCTCCTCTCAGCTGTTAGATACACTGTGTCATGGCACCTGTCTCCTCTCAGCTGTTAGATACACTGTGTCATCGCACCTGTCTCCTCTCAGCTGTTAGAGACACTGTTTCATCGCACCGGTCTCCTCTCAGCTGTTAGAGACACTGTTTCATGGCACCTGTCTCCTCTCAGCTGTTAGAGAGACTGTATCATGGCACCTGTCTCCTCTCAGCTGTTAGATACACTGTGTCATCGCACCTGTCTCCTCTCAGCTGTTAGATGCACTGTTTCATCGCACCGGTCTCCTCTCAGCTGTTAGAGACACTGTTTCATCGCACCTGTCTCCTCTCAGCTGTTAGAGAGACTGTATCATGGCACCTGTCTCCTCTCAGCTGTTAGAGACACTGTTTCATCGCACCTGTCTCTCTGTTTGACACTTCAGTGTTTTATTTATTTATTTATTTATTTTTATCCTCACCTAAGGACATTTTTCCATTCTTTGTTCAGATAGAGTGGTTAGGGAGAGAGAGAGAGAAACATCGATGTGAAAGAGACACCTTGAGTGGTTGCCACCCGCACGAGCCAACCAGGGCTGGGGACAAACCGCAACCGAGGTACATGCCCTTAGCGGGAACTGAACCCAGGTCTCTCTGGACTGCAGGTTGATGCTCTACCACTGAGCCAAATTGGCCAGGGCGACACTTCAGTGTTTTAAATAGCACTGAGGCCCTGGCTGGTTTGGCTCAGCAGTTAGAACAGCAGGCTGGGGAAACAATGAGTCCTGAGTTCGACTCTGATCAATGGCACATACCTGGTCTAGGTCTGTGGGAGGCAACCAGTAGTTGTGTTTCTCTCTCTCTCTCTCTCTCTCTCTCTCTCTCTCTCTCCCCCTGCCACTCTGTCTGAAGACGAATGGAAAAATATCCCCAGGTGAGGACAAAAAAATATATATTAAAGTGCCCCCCCCACACTAAAAACAGATAAATAAACCAGCCTGTCACCGGGCCGCTGGCATAGACCACAGCGGAGCATCACGTCTAAGCTCCTCCCCAGCTGCCCTCTCTGCCCAGCCCCCGGCCACGGGAGAGCACCGGGCAGGGGTGGCCTCGGGGGCATGCCCACCGTCTGCTCGCTCCGCAGGCTCCTCCTCCACTGAGGGGACTCGGAGCGCGCAGCCCGGCCTGCAGTGGGAGAATGTTCCATTTCTGGGCCGCTGGGGATCCGGGGGCTGGGGAGGGGGGAGGGGGGCGGGACGCTCTGTCTTTCCCTCCAGACTCCAGAACTCAGATTTTTGTCCGGGACTTGGTCCCACCCCGGGCTGGGCCCCCTCCAGGTTGTCGGTGTCTTCCCTCCCCAGAACCCCCGGCCGCGCACCCACCTGCGCCCCAAGGAGCAGAAGCAGGCTCAGCAGCGGCAGCAGCACAGAATCGGATCGCAGGGCCATGTTGCACGGGTACCGGACGCCGAGCCGCGGCCCTTATATAGGAACCGGTCCTTCCTTCCCCCCGCCCCCGCCGCTTACTCACCCGCCGCGTTTCTTATTGGCTGCGCGCCTCTCCGCTGCACCTCCTTCAGGGGACCCGCCTCTTTGGACCCGGCGCAGCAGCAGCCAGGGTTAGTCACCGGGCTTCGGGCTAGGCACCCCCAGGAGGACTTCCTCAACTCCAGTGTTTATCTGTTGCTTCCAAGAAGTGGAGGAGGGGCGGGTGTCCCGGGTTCCCACTCCTCACTGCCCCGCGCTTCCTCCCTGAGAGCAGGCTCTCTGTACTGGACCCCACAGCCCTGGCAAAGGAATGAGCTTGCGCCCCAATTCATTGTGACAGACGCACGGAGGGACAGAAGGACCCTGTGAGGACACAGGGAGAAGACCGTAAACACACACCGCGCAGAGAGGCCTCCGGCGAACGCAGAGGCAGTTCGACAGAAGTGATGAGCAAAGACAATGGGCCAGGTGCAGAAAGAAGGTCACCAGGGCAGAAAGGCCCTGCCGCCTAGCAAGGGGTAAACAGGGAAAACAAGCCCCCCCCCCAACATCAGCATGTCTCTGCTCACGGTTTGGACCTGCCAACCTTTCCTCCTGGAGGCCGCACTCAGTCCTCAGTTGTATTTCAGCTCCAGGCCCAGAAAAGCAGCCGCACCAGACACTCACCCCTGTGCTGGCCTCAGGACCAACTGCACTGAGTAATGACCCCACTGACCTGGGGCAGACCAGTCGCTGACACCAGGACCCTGAAAGAGGCCCCTGGAATTCTGCTCAGAGGAACTTCCGCGGGACAGGAACCAGCAGGGCCCTGGGTGTGCCTGGTGTCCAGTCTCTGAGTGCTGTTTGTTCCCAAGGTCGCGGTCACTGGGAGTGAGCATCTCCCAGACCTGTCAGGAGTTCCTCCTCCACACTCGTCCTCCCATTCCCGGTCACCTTCCCTAACTTGGCTCAGAACGTCGGGTCCCCTGTGATGACCTCGGGTGCACAGCTTCTCCTTTGCAGCTCGAAGGCGCGTGTGGCCATTCAGGGCACGGGCCTCATCTCTGAGGACCCCGGGTGGACGGAGCTCCTCCCCAGGCCTTGCCCTGCAGACCCGACACGCTTTGGTGGTCGTGTAGGAGGCAACTGGTCGATGTGTCCCTCTCACGTCGATGTTTCTCTCTCTCCCTCTCCCACTCTATCTGAAGATACTAGAAAAAGATTCTCGACTGAGGATTAAAAAAAACAAAACTACAGTCGGCGATTTCTTCATCTGCTGACCAGACCCTTCATCTGCACCCTGGGCGGAGGGTTTTCTCCCTGGAGCTTGGTGACTCAGACACCGTCTCAGCCACTTGCCGTCCTCCTAGGGACAAAGGTCGGATGCCTGGGGGTCTCCTGAAGTCCAGGCAGGTCCAGCCACCCACGGAACAATAGCTGTCCACATGCACTGATTACCACGCCTGTTGGCGAAGCTGGAGTCTCGGTCTCGGGCTTACAGTAATTCACTCCAGCCGGCTGTTCGAGAAGCGATGTTAGAAAACTGAATCATCTTTTCCCAGGAGAAATCATGTAAATGGAATTAATCCGTTCTACACCCCCCAATGATTCCCTGTTTTAACCTTTCTTATACACAGGGCGTGTCTAATGTGCTGTTTAATCTATAAACAAACACTTCTTTGCCAAATGTATCCAACCACCCCCGACCAGCCTTGGAGGAATCATTTCAGCTCGGCCCCAGGGGCGTCCTTCAGGGTCAGTACTCAGCATCTTGCTCACCTCCCACGGCCTCGGAGACGGGTCACTGGCTAAACGGGTCACTGGCTAAACGCTTGTCGTTGATCCAAACCAGCAGCAGCGCTTCTGCCTCGTCAATGGCCATAAACTCACAGGCAAATTGACTTACCGCTTTCGAGCAAGTATTTAAATTTAATAAAATTGTTTGACGTTCTAGTACTTATCAGCCTGACACAGAGAGACACGGAAGAACCTTGTTCCGATTTAGATCCTATTTTGAAAGACTGGGCTGCTTTCTACAGCTTTGCTAATGAATCTCTAGGAGGCAGCTCGTGGGTGGCCTGCGGCTGGGGGTGCGGGCAGGGGCACTTTGGGAGTGATGGCTGTGTCCACTCTCCTGCGGGGAGCCACGAGTGTGCACACAAGAAAACACCACACTGTGCACTTTGCAAATGTGTATCAGTTACACCTCAGTAAAGCTGATACAGTGCTTTAAAACAGAGAAATAGAGGGGCCTCTGTTGCGCGGCCGGCGTGGACCACAGCGCAGCATCACGTCCCAGCTGAGAGGAAGAAGAGCCTGGCCGTGTCCCCCGCGGCCGCCCACTCTGCCCAGCCGAGGGGTCACCGGAGAGCCACGGGCAGCGGTGGCCTCGGAGACTTGCCCGCCGCCCGCTCGCTCCGCGCGCTCTTCTTGGATTGAAGGGACGCGGGGCCCGGCCAGGCCTGGGGTGGGGGGATGTCCTGTCCTGAGCCGCTCGGGATCCCGGTGCTCAGAGTGCACCCGACTCCAGGATTCAGACTTTGTCCCGCCCCGGGCTCGGGCTCGAGCCCCTCCTGGCTGTCGGTGTGTTCCCTCCCCGGAGCCCCGGGCCGCGCACCCATCTGCGCCGGAGCAGCGGCGGCGGCAGGAGAGCGGGGTGCAGGGTCACGGCAGGTCGGCAGCCAGCCTAGGATGGGAGAGTTCACCAGGCAGAGCTGCCTCCTGGCTGGTTGAGTCTCCCTCCTGGGTCCTTACAACATTATCTCGGATCCCTCGAGGCCCCACCCCGGCCGCCCCCACCCCCTCCGCCACTGAGTCACCTGGTGTGTCTCTGATAGGGCACCCACTGTTCTGCTCCAGCTCTGAGCCACCCTCAGGTGACCAGGCCACTTCGTCCGGGATGTTTTTCCTCCCAGGCCAGGGCCACAGCCGGGGCCACATGCTGGGCTTTGGCTTGGCACCCCTCCCCAGCCTCAGAGTTTTCACTTGTGGCTTCCAGGGGGTGGAGGAGGGGAGGGTGTCCCCGACTTCCAACCCTCATCACCCAGCGCGCTTCCTCCGGGACAGCTTGGACTCAGGGTGTCTGCATCAACCTCACAGTCCAGGAGAGGGAGGGAGCTCGGCCATGATCCAATGATCCTTATAAACCGAGAAAATGAGGACACAGACACACGGGGGCAGAAGGACGACCATGTGCCAAGGAGAGAGGCCTCGGGAGGAGCCAACCCTGTGACCCCTGGATCCCCAACATCTAGCCTTTAGGGTGGGCAGTAAGTGTCTGCGGTTTCAGCTGCCCCGTCTGTGGGACTTTGTGGCCCCAGGACACTCAGAAGCCGCCCTGACTCTGAGCCAGGTGTGGCCGGGCTGCTGCAGAAGCTGCGGGCTGTTCTCTGGGCCCCCTGCCTTGTAGCTACCCTCCCTGGCTGCCCAGGCCTCTGGGCTCAGCTTTGCCATCTGGGCCCTCACCGGGGCTCCGCCCTTCTCCCAGCAGGGCCCTCCTGGGGTCCCACCATCTCAGTACTGACTCTGCTCTCCCTCCGCCAGCTCCTCCCTGCACGCCTGCATCTTCCTCCAGGAAGCCCTCCCTGACTGCGCAGACAGGCCAGAAGCCCTCCCTGACCACGCAGGTGGCATTCTCTCCCCGTTCTGTTCCCTTTCTCCTGGTACCGTGAAAAGTGGGTGAGCACTAGAGAAATCATAGTTGTAAAATGTTCTAATGCCGCCTGGAACCAGCCAGCGGCCAATCAGAGGGCCATCATGAGTAGTTTGTGTTTTTTTTTTATCCTCACCCGAGGACATTTTTCCATTTTTTTGTTCAGGTAGAGTGGGAGGGAGAGAGAGGAACAGAGAGAGAGAGAGAAACATCGATGTGAAAGGAACACATCGAGTGGCTGCCACCCGCACAACCGACCAGGGCCGGGGACAAACTGCAACCGAGGTACACGCCCTTAGCGGGAACCGAACCCGGGTCTCTCAGGACCGCAGGCCGACGCTCTAACTGCTGAGCCAAACCGGCCAGGGCATAGTTTTATTTATTTTCATTTTTTATGAGTTTTTATTTTATTTTTAACATTTTTTTTTCTTTATTAGTTTTAGAAAGAGAGGAAGAGAGAGAGAGAGAGAGAAACATTAATGAGAGAGAACATTGACTGGCCGCCTCCTGCATGCCCCCCACTGGGGATCTGGTCCACAACCTGGGCATGTGCCCTGACCGGGAATCCAACCAGCGACCTCTTGGTGCAGGATCGATGCTCAACCACTGAGCCACACTGGGATGAGTAGTTTTATTATCACAGATCCTGTGTCGTTACAATTATTACCTCCGTCTGCAGGGGTTACCCATGGATTATGACACATTAACCACGGTCTGGGCAGCCTGGGCCTTCAGAGGGAAGGGAGGAGGCTGGGAGGGGAGCTGGGGTCTGGGGAGCTCCCAGGACGGGCTCCCAGCTCGGATGCAGACGGCTCCCCGGGTACTTGCAGTCCCTGCACTTCGAGTGCCTTGAGGAAACAAAGTAGGTCACCTTTGCAGTGGTCATGCGTTTACATCTGGCTACCATTTTCAATGCCAAGTTCAGAAGAGAGACTCCCAAGTGGGGTGCCCAACTGGAGCGGCCCTGTTGGCAGCACTGTGCAGACACAGCACAGGAGAGCCGCCTTCTGGGGGCAGGAACGTCCTGAGCGTGGCCAGACCACCAGCTGAGAAAGCCCAGGGCTTCCTAAGGCACCTCCTGAAATCACAGGCCTGAGACCAGGGGACCCCCAGCAAAGGCAGGAAACTGTGCACATCCATGGACCGCAGCCCTGAGTGAAGCCACGGGCACCTTGCCTCTCCCTCCCTGGTCCTCCCACCTGCAGGGGGGCCTGTGCCAGCCCCGCCTTCAACCACCTGGGGCCCCTCCCCTCTGGCCCACCCCTCAGGTCCACTCAGCAGCACCGCCAGCTCTGGGAGGCGCCCTGGCAGTGCCCAGCTCTGCGGATTCCCCCTTCCTCAAAGGCTCCTCCAGGGGCCCTGCCCCTCCCTCTGCAGCCGCCCCTCCTCCTGGGCCCCCCCCCTTTCCTGGGGGATGCCCAGCCTGCCCAGGTGGCTCTCTGAAAGGGGGCTGGGAAAGGCTTCAGGAAGGCATCCCCAGAGAGGCGTGTGCACCCCTGCTCTCCACCAGCGGGAGGGGGCAATGCCGCCCCGGGGGGACCCCAGGACCTCCTCCCTAGGGATCCTCCTCCCAATGCCCCCTCTGGTCCCACCTCCCTCCTGAGCACCAGCCCCTAAGTCCAGTTATCACTTGTCCTTGGGGTGTCCCCAGGCATCATGTCTCACCCCCAAATCTGGGCACCTCCATCGCTTACTCCCTTACCGAACCCCACACCAAGCCCAGTCCTCCCAAGCCTGCCCATTGCTGCCGTGGGCCCAGGCCACCATGGCCTTGGGTCCTTCCTGGTCTGCTGGCCTCAGAGGCCTCTCCTCCCTCCATCCCCCACGAGGGGGAGGGGACAGGTGACCCTTCCAAACTCAAAGCAAGACCTCGATTCTGGAAATGTGCTCAAGGCCCTTGCACACCGGCCCCGAGGCTGACCTCAGCCTCCCCTCTGGCTCACACCTTCTGGAAAGCAATGCAGCCGGTCCTCAGACCTCAGTGCCCACTGCTCGCCGCCCGACCCCACTCCTGTTCCTCCTCCGGGCTCAGCCTGCCCCTGCCCCCGCCACCCACCGTTCCTCAAGGGCAGAGTGCTGGGCTCCCCAGACCCAGGTCTTCAGTCCCTGGTTCTGGCTCGGGGCTGGTTTTGGCCAGCAGGCCCACCGCCCCGCTGAGCCCTCGAGTGGCCCTCTCGGCCTCCTGCCGGGACGACCGCAGGCAAGGGTCCAGCGAGGTCCTGGCGGCCGGTGCAGCCCAGAGGGAGGCAGCCTGGTCTGAGCCACCTGGTGGGGCTCAGCAGCACCTGCCATGGGAGGTAGTGACAGGAGAGGAAGCCCTGTGACCCTTGAGGCTTTGGGGTTTCTGTTCCGCGGTCAGCCACCCTGACCCTCAGGCGGACGTACATCAGTCCTCACTGTCACGGCCCCGCCCCCGCTGACCTTGCTGTGGGGACTGTCCAGGCCGGCAGCGTGTGGCAGAGCCGGTGTTCGGCGCACACCTTCTGGGTAGGGAACCAGTTAAAGAGGCAGAACTACCTGAGTAACCACTTCCACCGCCAGTGACGCTGCCCCCTGAAGCCGTGGGCACGACGCTGCCCCTGGGCCTTTGATTCCCGGTGTCTCTCACACGCCTGTGGTTATCACAGTGTCAGTGTAAGAAAAGTCTAAACCTGTAAGAATTTGTATGAGTTTACATGAGCCAAAGTGATGACAGTTGCCGGGAAACAAAATTTCAACGGGTTGAGAAAGTGCTCCGGAAAAAGGCAGTTCTGCACCTTATTGTATGCATTACAGTCAGAGGAGGTACAAGGATGAAATTCTTTGGTGATAGTTAGGAAGGCCGGAGAAAGCGAAGCAGGCAAAGCTCAGACTGGATCAAGAGTAAAACAAAGAGACGGATACTTCTTGACTTGATGGGTACAGAATAGTTTACAATTAGCATTCACAGTACACGGAGTTGGTATGGAGCAAACAAGATAAAAATGAGGGATTCTGTGGTCTCTTGTTCCGGTGGGAGATTGTGCCCTGAGGGGTCTGGACAAAGAGATTTACTCTAACATTTCAAAGGCATGTTATCATAGAGGCAACAGGACAACAGACAGGCTCAGTTGAGGTAAAGATTGACCTTTGCCAAGGAAGATACCGGGCTAGGGTAGGACTACCTGTCATGACTTGCTTTTAGTTAAGTTTTCATGTCCGACCATCCTGTAAAGGACAAACACATGACCTTGCCCCCTGGATTTTAAGGGAATGGCAAGACCTATCTGCTAATAGATAACCACTGCATTGTATAGATAACCATTGCTTTGTGTACACAGAAACTGATTGTTCCCTCAGGCATAACAGCTAACTGCAAATCTCTGCTTCTGTACTGCTTGCTTGCTCACATACCCTTAATCCAAATTCCTTAACAGGGGCTAAGACAACTATATAAGCAACCCTCCCCCTGAGCTCGGGGCTGCTCTCTCCTCTGAGTAGGATGGGAGCGCGGCTAATAAAGCTCTCTTAATTTGAACTCAGTTCGGAGTATGAGTCTGGTCTGTCTCGTTGGTCTACAACAATCCTATGTGGTTACTTTTGGTCTCTGAGTTTGTAAGGCCACCATGCAGGCCTCCCCTGAGCTTGTCAGCTTAGTATGTGGCTCTTTTTTTGTCCACATGAATGTCTAGATTTCTTCACCATCTGCTGCTGATGACAAGTGGGTGATCCGATGGCATGCACATGGACCCTGGATGAGGCTTAATCTACACTCCAAGGGCACGATTTCCTATGACTCTTTTTTTTTTTTAATCCTCACCCGAGGACATTTTTCCATTTTTTGTTCAGGTAGAGTGGGAGGGAGAGAGAGGAACAGAGAGAGAGAGAGAAACATCGATGCGAAAGGAACACATCGAGTGGCTGCCACCCGCACAACCGACCAGGGCCGGGGACAAACTGCAACCGAGGTACATGCCCTTAGCGGGAACCGAACCCGGGTCTCTCAGGACCGCAGGCCGACGCTCTAACCGCTGAGCCAAACCGGCCAGGGCTCCTATGACTCTTAAAAAGAGTCCTGTAGCCTTGGCCAGGTATCAAGGTTGCTGGTTCGATCCCTGGTGAGAGCACATAGAAGAACCAACCAATGAAGGCATAAATAAGTGGAACAAGAAATCGATGTTTCTTTCTCTCTCTCTCCCTTCCTCGCTTTCTAAAATCAATCAATCAATTAAAAAAAAAAAAGTTAGTCCTGTAAACATGAGCTCACATGACTGGGAATCGAACCCAGACCCTTCGGTCCACGGGCTGACACTAACTGCTGAGCCAAACCATCCAGGGCAACCTTTGTTTTTCCTTGTTTTCGTAGGCATCCTTCGTATTAAACACCTGATTGTTTACAGAAATGTAGGGCTCACTTCGGAAGTCCATCCACGCTCTCCTTTCTGCAAAACTGCATACAATGGCCCTGGCCGGGTTGGCTCAGCGGTGGGAGAGTCAACCTGTGGACCAGAGAGCCCCGGGTTGTTCCCACTAGGGGCATGTACCAAAAAACAAACAAACAAAAACAAAAACACAAAAACAAAAAAAACCCTGCATACAATGAACTATTACGGGCAAACAAACAGCCCTGACCATGGCCTGTAGAATTTATTTCTACCCTTATTCCCCAATTCCCCAACATACTAACTTGGCCGAGGGAGAACCCTACACCCACAGACCAGCAGGAAGCAGTTACGGAAGAAAGAGAAGTCTGTCCTGCTTCCGTAAGAATAATGACCAACAAATAGGAAGAGGAGGGAAATGTTAGGACTTACATAGCAATCAATATATTTCCTAATGGCCATTTTGCAATCCTCTCTGCCACAGGAGCACAAAGACCAAACTTCCTGCATAGAACTGGCAGACCAGGAGACGCCGGGCACCAGGAATCAAACCATAGAAGGAACTGAAACTGCCAAAGCAGCACCTGATTGCACATCTGCATTCCTGTTGACCCACCCCCCTGCCCAAACCCACCAACCAGCACCCCAAAACCCACTGACAAAAGCTTCCACCAGTGGATGCATATAAGGACAAAACTCCAGCTCCTAGGTGCTGCTGTCATCCACTCAATGCCCCATGGCTTGGTCACGTGTAGCCCTTCCCTTTGGATAATCCCCTCCCCAACCACCTTTTAAAAATTAAATGCAATTTTTTTCTTTACACAACAAAAATTAAGTTTGGGCAGTTAGGGGAGGTCTTGAGGAGCATTTTAATAGAATATTCATCTGTTTCATGCTGATGTACCAAAAGGAGATGAATTCCCTTAATTTCATCTGTCCTTGGGTGTGGTTAGCAAGTGGCACTAACTGGATTTCTGTCTCCTGAGTAGGGCGATTTAAACTATTTATCCTCTGCCCAGCCAGTGTGGGTCAGTGGTTGAGCATTGACCCATGCACCAGGAGGTCGATGGTCCGATTCCTGGTCCGGGCACATGCCCAGGTTGTGAGCCTGATCCCCAGTGGGCGGTGGGTCAATGTTGTCTCTCATAGATGTCTCTCTCTCTCTCCCCCTCTCCCTTCCTTTCTCTCTAAAAGCAATAAATAAACAAACAAACAAATAAACAAACAAACAAACAAACAATCCTCTGGGTGGGGAGAAGTACAAACATTTGCTCTTAAGCGCCCTTGGTTCAGGAAGATAAGGGTTTATTAGGTGGCTGCAAACTCCGTGGCATCTAGACTTTCTGGGTGGCTGCAAACCACTGTTTAAGTATGTCTCAGTTTCCCTATTCTGCTTGTCCTGGCTCAGCAGCCTGCCTCAAGATGACCCGTCCTTGAGGTCTGCGTCCAAGGGGGGACTGCGGACCCCACCCGGCTCTCTGCAGGGCCTCGCCGGGCCGAGTCGCCTCCCCCACGTGACCCTGGCGCCGCTGCTCCCGGGCACCAGGGGCCAAGTCAGGACTACAACTCCCAGGATGCCCGGGAGGCGGAGGCGGCGTGGCGCGAGGACGGTTGCCTAGCGACCGTGGGTGTCCCGGAAAGCTAGCCAGGGCGGGGCGGGACTTCCGGGTCAGCAGTTGCATCAGATTCTGAGAAGCTGTGGCAGCGGGAGCGGTGGGGATTCCTAGGATGGCAGGTTCCTCGGGGGAGCAGGGTGAGTGCGCCCCCACAGGGCCGCGGGATGACCTGGGGCGAGGGGCGGGTGGGGGCCTGGCGGGAGACCCCGGGTCGCAGGGGGCTGGGTCCCCGGATGTGAGGGCGGGTGGGGGCCTGGCGGGAGACCCCGGGTCGCAGGGGGCTGGGTCCCCGGACGTGAGGGCGGGTGCGGGGCCTGGGAGGAGACCCCGGGTCGCAGGGGGCTGGGTCCCCGGATGTGAGGGGCGGGTGCAGGGGACCCCGGGTCGCAGGGGGCTGGGTTCCCGGACATAAGGGCCTGGCGGGGGTACCCTGGGTCTGAGCGGCTGGGTCCCCGGACGTGACGCTGGTGCGAGGCCTGGTGGGGGACCCCGGGTCTGAGCGGGCTGGGTCCCCGGACATAAGGGCCTGGCGGGGGTACCCTGGGTCTGAGCGGCTGGGTCCCCGGACGTGACGCTGGTGCGAGGCCTGGTGGGGGACCCCGGGTCTGAGCGGGCTGGTTTCCCGGACATAAGGGCCTGGCGGGGGTACCCTGGGTCTGAGCGGGCTGGGTCCCCGGACGTGAGGGCGGGTGGGGGCCTGGCGGGAGACCCCGGGTTGCAGGGGGCTGGGTCCCCGGATGTGAGGGGCGGGTGCAGGGGACCCCGGGTCGCAGGGGGCTGGGTTCCCGGACATAAGGGCCTGGCGGGGGTACCCTGGGTCTGAGCGGGCTGGTTTCCCGGACATAAGGGCCTGGCGGGGGTACCCTGGGTCTGAGCGGCTGGGTCCCCGGACGTGACGCTGGTGCGAGGCCTGGTGGGGGACCCCGGGTCTGAGCGGGCTGGTTTCCCGGACATAAGGGCCTGGCGGGGGTACCCTGGGTCTGAGCGGGCTGGGTCCCCGGACGTGACGCTGGTGCGAGGCCTGGTGGGGGACCCCGGGTCTGAGCAGGCTGGGTCCCCGGACATGACGGCGAGTGCTGGGCCTGGGGGGGACCCTAGGACAAGCCCCCCGCACCCTCACCCCCGCCAGCTCCGCCCCTATGGGCTGGCCGGGGTCCTCTTGCCCCTACTCTCCCTGCTGACCTCGCCCCTCAGCCCCCAGCTGGACTTCGGACCCGCCAAGCCAGGGTTGTTTGGATTCCAGGCCGGGCAGCATCCAGGGGTGGTTGGAGGGCACCCGAGGTTGGCACGTAGGAAAGTGGGGCTGTGGAAGCCAGGGGTACGCGACGCCACGAAATGGCTTGGGGTTTATGGACGCTTTCATCTCAGCTGGTAAACAGTGGCCTCTGGGATCCGCCCGGCCAGGGCATTATGGCCCACTTGATTGGCCCTGGGCGGTTCCCGGAGCAGCTGCGGCGCTGCCCATGGGTCACTGATGTCAGAGGGGCAGACAGGGGCTTCTGGAGGCTGACCCCCAGTGAGCCACCCTGTAGGTGCTGGAAGTCTGGAGCCGACGCTCCTCAGGAAAACGCCGTGCAGGATGTATTCTCTTGGCTGGCGGGCTTCGAGGCCAGTTCCCGGGGATACGGCCAGCCCTGCCCTCTTTTCAGGCTGTGCGGGCTCCCTCGGCCCCCTGTGGCCCCCTGCTCTCAGGGCACGCTGGGCTGCCAGGGGCGGAGCGCGCCGATGTGGGCGGTAACCAGACGGCAGGGCTGCTGAACCGCACTAGTACCCACCTTCCAGCGTGCCCATGCCGCCCACAGGTGCGCCTGGATTCCAGCACCTTCTCCACCCGCCCCAGAGCCTGACAGCACTCAGAAGTCCACCCACACTGCCCTGGTTCACAGCCCGACGCGAGCTGGCGGGCTGGGCTGGGGTCTCAGCTCTGCCCCTTCCTCAGGTCCAGTGGGGTAACACCTCCTCCCTCCCATGTGGGGGTGTGATTGGCAGTGGACATAAAGGCCAGGGGGCAAAAGTGCTGTCAGGGCAGAAAGTGCAGCTTGGCTCCGATTCTCTTGTAAATGAAAGTGTTTATTTTTTTTAACTGACCTTGTTTTTAGAGAGAGAAAGGAAGGGAGAAGGGAAGAGGAACATCAGTGTGAGAGCAGAACATTGATTGGGCTCCTGCTACGGCTACAGCTGGCAACCGGGCATGTGCCCTCGCCCGGAATCAAACCAGCAACCTTTTGGTGCAGGGGGTGATGCCCAATTAACTGAGCTACACCGGCCAGGGCAAAGTGTGTTCGTTTTGTAACCTAATGGAAATTGTTTTGCGTTTTGTTGCTCCCAAGCTTGAGAATTTGGAGCCTTGGTAAGAAGTGCCCCGCTTTGGAGAGGGCTGCCTAGGTTGGGGTCACCCACCCGATGTCTGCACCTGACAGATTTTCCTGGTCCGTGAGCTCAGGGCACCTCCCGGCTGGTGCTCAGCCAGGACACAGCCTCCGGCTCTCCCCTGCTGCCACCCACACGCCCTGTCCCCAGCTCCCCATCAGAGGAACTTCCGTGGGACAGGAACTAGCAGGGCCCTGGGTGTGCCTGGTGTCCAGTCTCTGAGTGCTGTTTGTTCCCAAGGTCGCGGTCATTGGGAGTGAGCATCTCCCAGACCTGTCAGGAGTTCCTCCTCCACACTCGTCCTCCCATTCCCGGTCACCTTCCCTAACTTGGCTCAGAACGTCGGGTCCCCTGTGATGACCTCGGGTGCACAGCTTCTTTGCAGCTCGAAGGCACGTGTGGCCATTCAGGGCACGGGCCTCATCTCTGAGGACCCCAGGTGGACGGAGCTCCTCCCCGAGGCCTTGCCCTGCAGATTGGTGAGGTCAGACCTACAGCTTGATTTCTCATACAGCTTAACTCAGAGGGTCTCCACGGCAACAGTGCGGCTGGCATGTTCCTCAGCGTGAGTGTGTCAGGCATGGGTCTGGGTGCTTGTCATGGCCTGGGACCCTCAGAGCAGCCCTTTGTGGCAGAATGTGCCCTCATTTCCCTGGACAGCCGACACGCCCAGGGTCCCAAGGAGCTCAGCGACTGGTGCAGCCTCAGAGGCGGAGGCAGGCTGCCATCTGGGCAGCTGATGCAGCAGGGGCCTGCGCCCTGTGCGGGCAGCCTTCAGCGGTCGGCTGCAGAGTGGCGGCAGGGTGCCTTGGAGCGGGGCAGACGGGGATGAAGCTGCCATCTGGGCAGCTGATGCAGCAGGGGCCTGCGCCCTGTGCGGGCAGCCTTCAGCGGTCGGCTGCAGAGTGGCGGCAGGGTGCCTTGGAGCCGGGCAGACGGGGATGAAGCTGCCATCTGGGCAGCTGATGCAGCAGGGGCCTGCGCCCTGTGCGGGCAGCCTTCAGCGGTCGGCTGCAGAGTGGCGGCAGGGTGCCTTGGAGCGGGGCAGACGGGGATGAAGCTGCCATCTGGGCAGCTGATGCAGCAGGGGCCTGCGCCCTGTGCGGGCAGCCTTCAGCGGTCGGCTGCAGAGTGGAGGCAGGGTGCCTTGGAGCTGGGCAGACGGGGATGAAGCTGCTGCGTGTGCAAGAAAAGGGACGTGCACGTGTCCAGAGTGCAGACGTGCTCATCCGTGAGCTCGTGCTTACGGGACTGACCTTTTCGTTCTCCTAGGAGCCCTGGCTCGTTGCTCAGCAGTTAGAGCATCGGCCCGAGGACCAGAGAGTCCCGGGTTTGATTCGGTTTAGGACATGTACCTCGGTTGTCGTTCAGTCCCCAGTCCTGGTCAGGGTCGTGTGGGAGGCAACCAGTCGATATGTCTCTCTGACATCAATGTCTCTCTCCCTCCCTCCCACTGGATCTCAGGATAAATGGGAAAATATCCTCAGGTGAGGATTTAAATAAAAACGAGTCAGGAGATCATGCCCTCGGGTGTAGATCAGCCCCTCCAGGGTCCATGCTGCTCCTCCCGGGGGCACGGGGGCCATCTGCTCACACCTTGTCAGCAGCAGCAGCTGTGAAGGCATCTGGACACTGTGATAACCACAGGCATGTGTGAGACACCGGAAATCAAAGGCCCAGGGGCAGCGTCACTGGCGGTGGAAGTGGTTACTCAGGTAGTTCTGCCTCTTTAACTGGTTCCCTACCCAGAAGGTGTGCGCCGAACACCAGCTCTGCCACACGCTGCCGGCCTGGACAGTCCCCACAGCAAGGTCAGCGGGGGCGGGGCCGTGACAGTGAGGACTGATGTACGTCCGCCTGAAGGTCAGGGTGGCTGACCGCGGAACAGAAACCCCAAAGCCTCAAGGGTCACAGGGCTTCCTCTCCTGTCACTACCTCCCATGGCAGGTGCTGCTGAGCCCCACCAGGTGGCTCAGACCAGGCTGCCTCCCTCTGGGCTGCACCGGCCGCCAGGACCTCGCTGGACCCTTGCCTGCCGGTCGTCCCGGCAGGAGGCCGAGAGGGCCACTCGGGGGCTCAGCGGGGCGGTGGGCCTGCTGGCCAAAACCAGCCCCGAGCCAGGACCAGGGACTGAGGACCTGGGTCTGGGGAGCCCAGCACTCTGCCCTTGAGGAACGGTGGGTGGCGGGGGCAGGGGCAGGCTGAGCCCGGAGGAGGAACAGGAGTGGGGTCGGGCGGCGAGCAGTGGGCACTGAGGTCTGAGGACCGGCTGCATTGCTTTCCAGAAGGTGTGAGCCAGAGGGGAGGCTGAGGTCAGCCTCGGGGCCGGTGTGCAAGGGCCTTGAGCACATTTCCAGAATCGAGGTCTTGCTTTGAGTTTGGAAGGGTCACCTGTCCCCTCCCCCTCGTGGGGGATGGAGGGAGGAGAGGCCTCTGAGGCCAGCAGACCAGGAAGGACCCAAGGCCATGGTGGCCTGGGCCCATGGCAGCAGGGGGCAGGCTTGGGAGGACTGGGCTTGGTGTGGGGTTCGGTAAGGGAGTAAGCGATGGAGGTGCCCAGATTTGGGGGTGAGACATGATGCCTGGGGACACCCCAAGGACAAGTGATAACTGGACTTAGGGGCTGGTGCTCAGGAGGGAGGTGGGACCAGAGGGGGCATTGGGAGGAGGATCCCTAGGGAGGAGGTCCTGGGGTCCCCCCGGGGCGGCATTGCCCCCTCCCGCTGGTGGAGAGCAGGGGTGCGCACGCCTCTCTGGGGATGCCTTCCTGAAGCCTTTCCCAGCCCCCTTTCAGAGAGCCACCTGGGCAGGCTGGGCATCCCCCAGGAAAGGGGGGGGCCCAGGAGGAGGGGCGGCTGCAGAGGGAGGGGCAGGATCCCTGGGGGAGCCTTTGAGGAAGGGGGAATCCGCAGAGCTGGGCACTGCCAGGGCGCCTCCCAGAGCTGGCGGTGCTGCTGAGTGGACCTGAGGGGTGGGGCAGAGGGGAGGGGGCCCAGGTGGTTGAAGGCGGGGCTGGCACAGGCCCCCCTGCTGGTGGGAGGACCAGGGAGGGAGAGGCAAGGTGCCTGTGGCTTCACTCAGGGCTGCGGTCCGTGGATGTGCACAGTTTCCTGCCTTTGCTGGGGGTCCCCTGGTCTCAGGCCTGTGATTTCAGGAGGGGCCTTAGGAAGCCCTGGGCTTTCTCAGCTGGTGGTCTGGCCAGGCTCAGGACGTTCCTGCCCCCAGAAGGCGGCTCTCCTGTGCTGTGTCTGCACAGTGCTGCCAGTTGGCTGACGGGGGATGTTCCCTCCAGCTGACGGGCAGGAGGCTCCAAGGAGGGGCCTCTGCACGGGAGCCTCTGGCCCCTGCATCGCGACCTAGTTTGCTCAATACGCGCTTGGTGCGGGGACTGCAATTACCTGCGGCCGTCCTGCAAGCCGAGGCTGTCCTAGGAGCTCCCCGGATGCCAGCCCCCCTCCCTGCCTCCTCCCTTCCCTCTGGAGGCCCAGGCTGCCCAGACCGTGGTTAATGGGTGTGTAACTCCTGCGGCGGATGTAATTATAGTTACCACAACAGTGATGATAATAAAAATACCCACTGATTGGGCTCTGGCGGCATGCCAGGCGGCCTTGAAACATTTACTACTGTGGTTTCGCCCGTGCCCGCCAGCTTTGCCAGTGTGCTGTCGGGAGCCTGCGCCTCCTGGAGGAGAGGACCACCTTCGCGGGCATCCCCGAGCAGCTTCCCAAACCACGGCCGTGCCACGGAGCTGTCGCGGTGCCCTCGCGAGAGGGCGGATGTGCTTAGTGTAGAAGCCGTGAGTGTAAATGACCGGGGACGTGAAGCTCCCTGTGCCCGCTGGTCCGGGACAGCGCGGCACCCCACCGAGGCCTTACCCTGCCCGCTATTGCTTGCATCTCCGATGGAATCGTGGGCGAGGACCGTCCTTGTTCTTTCCCGCTGACGCCTGCAAGCTCAGGAGGCTGCTCCGAGCGGGAAGGCGTGAGCCCGCCCCCCGACTCCTTCCCTTGGCCAGAGGGCCTGGTGCGGCCTGCTCCCTGCTTGGCAAGCCTGGGTCTGTGCCCCCCCAGCGCCTGGTCCCCATCCCCCACACCAGAGATGAACGCTGGCATCGAAGGGGTGAGAGCAGGTTTTATTCAGGGACTGGACGGTGGGGAAGGGCTGAGCTCTGTGTGCGCAGAGGGCTGGGGTGTGTCCGTGTCCTGCAGTCAGCGCCGCCTGCCCGCTGGTGGTTCTGAGGCTGGGACTCTGTCCTCCCCACGGGGATGGGCCTTTCCTTCCCGCTGGTTCCCTCCTAGGGCAGCGCCTTCCGGTCCCCGAGAGACCCTCGTGGGGGAAGAGAGCTGGGGCTCCCGGCCCCCTCACTGACTGCTCTGAGAAGGGGAGGGTCCCCTCTCGGGGCAGCGCTCGGACCTGGTCATTAGGACTGAGTTCTGCAGTCTCACCCTCCCCTCGCCGCTCAGGCTGCGGCGCCTGGCCGAGCGCTGCACCCCACACAGAGGGGTTTGCTTTTCCTTTAACTGAGGCGAATCCACGCGGCGTCACGTTACCCATTTGAACACGGACGATTCCATGGCTTTCAGTGCAGCCACTTTTGTGCGAGCAGCAACTCAAACGTTTTCAAACCCCAGCTGCAACCCGTGAGCAGTCACCCCCTCCCAGCCCAGGCGACCACCAGCGGGTCTGCGTTCTGTCTCTGGGCTTACCTGTCCTGGACAGCTGGTTACCCGCAAAGGGTGCCTGTCGGCCCGACTGACGCCGTGTGCCTCTGTCTTTGCAGCTCCTGACTACAGGTCCATCCTGAGCATTAGAGACGAGGCAGCCAGGGTGCGGGCCCTGGACGAGCACCTGAGCACGCGTAGCTACGTGCAGGGCTACTCCCTGTCCCGGGCAGACGTGGATGTGTTCAGGCAGCTCCCGGCCCCTCCTGCAGACACACGTCTCTTCCACGTGGCCCGCTGGTTCAGGCACGTAGAAGCCGTCCTGGGCAGCCCCCGCGGCGGAGGCCAGCCTGGTGGGCTCCAAGCAAGTGAGTAGCAGGGCGGGTCCCCAGCCGAGAACCTCTCCTGTCACGGGTCGCCTCCAAGGTCAGGGCCCTGATGCATGGCGCTGGTTGGCCACAGTGCCCAGAGGAGCCCAGGGGCTGGCTTCTGTCACCACGTGGAGCCAGCGGCCTGGTGGCCAGACAGTGCTCCCTGAGCCGGCTCTTGGAGACCAGGACCCCGTGGTCTTTCAGCCAAGACCTTGCCCGACTCGGCTCCCACCTGGTCGTTCCTCTTGTTCTTCCATAAGGAGGCAGTGTGTGTCCCGGGTCAGAATGGTTTGTCCCAAAGCACGAGTGACCGACAAATGTCAGACTTGCTCAGAACCAGGAGTCAGTCACCTGTGGCTTTGGGACAAACCGTCAGAGAGCACGGCCCCGCCCGCCAGTGCTGTCCCACGCAGCGTGGCCCCTCGCTTCGGGGCCCCAGTTCCCGTCTCGTCCTTTCCTCCGATGAATGCGCCCTACGCCCTTCGGCAGCTCGCCTGCTCCTCATCTTTCGGCACTCAACCCGCACCCCAGACTCCTGCGAGGGGCAGGCCACCTGCTGCCGCTCCTGGGCCTGCTGGGGTCTCCCAGACTCCTTGTGGTGTACCGGCCCACACACCCGCAGCGCGGCCTGGCCCCGGTGACAGGTGACCGCGGAGCCCCGGGCGGTTCTGGGTGACCCTGCGGCAAGCGCCCGGCTGCAGCATCGGGGCTGTTGCTGCGCAGGTCGTTTTTGTCCGTGTGTCAGCACAGTGACCCAGGTGACATCGGTGGTGTCAGGCTGTGCCCCTGGGCCTAGACTCCGCGGCATGGCTGGCACCGAGTTCCAGGAGCGATCTTGCTGAAAGAATGATGCCGATGTAGGCGTCATCCACACTGAGACGGACAGGTCTCTGCACCTGCGGGTGCCGGAAGGGAGGGCCACTCTGGCGGGTGTCGCCCGTGACCAGCGAGGCTGCTCCAGACCGACTCCGCGGCGAGGGTTATCCTGCCGCCTGCCAGCCTGCGAGCCGGGGCCTGGGCCCGTGTGGCTGCCTGTCCGCCTGTGGCCCCAGTGCGCCCGGCGCCCTGGGCAGGTCTTCGCCCGCGTCCCTGCGCCTCAGCAAGGGGCAGCTGCCGTCTCAGCTCCGACGTCCTGTCCTGGCTGGGCGGGCGTATCTTCCAGCCCTCGCTCCCAAGCACCCCGCCTTCCTTTCCCCAGTCCCTTCTCCCGCTGGGTCACCAGCAGCTAACGTCTTTGCTCGTCGCTGTCCTCCTGCTGGCCCTCCAGTCTGAGTTCCCACCTCTCATGCCGTCTCCCCAGGCCGGGGTCTCCAGCCTGAGGCGCCCTCTGTGCCGCCTCAGCCCCTTCCCGGGACTCAGCCCCCCCGCCCCCCCCCGCTGTGTTTGGGGGTCTGTGAAGCGTGGGGGAGCTCGGTTGTCTGGCTGTGGGGTGCTGTGTGAGGGCGGGACACCTGCTAATGAGTGTCCTTTAAAGCACAGGGACATGGCAGCTGGTGTAAGGGACTCTAATGAAAGGGGTCCCCTCTGAAATAAGGGGTCCTATATCACAGCCCCAACTGTCCCCTTGGCAAATAGGGGCTTGTATGTGCCAGGCTTCCTTGGACGTGGCAGAGCAGCCCTTTGGGGCCCAGCGTCGCTCCGGCTGGTGTCCCTGGGCACACCCTCAGCCGTATCCTGTTGCCAGTCGTCCTGAGTCGTCTCAGATGAGCCTCCAGCCCTGTGGACCGAGCCCTTCCTGCTTAGCAGGGTGCGTGCTGGTGGCCACGGGGTACACGGCAGTGCAGGGCAGCCCGGCCAGTCCCCGTCGTCCCAGCCGGCAGTGGCCCTTGTTCCAGGGTCAGGAGTCAGTGTGACGGGGGTGATGGAGTCATCAAGGGCAGAATGGCTGAGAGCTCCCTGTAGGGTGGCGGCATTGCGAGCTGGCAGGCTGGGTCCTGACTGCTGAGCGTTTGATCTGCGAGGATTTGGGCTCTTCCAGGCTCAAGTGGCCACCTGTCCGTTTGCTGGCACCTACCCAGCCGTCCGTCTGTCTGTCCTGCACCTGCTCGCCCCGTCTCTGTGCGTGCACACACCTGCCTTCCTCTCCCCTTCGCCTGGCACTGGTGTGCGTCCTCTGTGTGCTGATGTGACCTTCGGCGGATGTGGGGTCCCAGGCCCAGCTTCTCCGAGACTCGCATGGGAAGCAGCGTGTGGTGACCCCCGGGCTGCCTTCAGCATAGACTGGCCTGTGCGGGTGTCACTGTGGCAGGCTGGCCGCCCGAGAGAACCCTCTGCCAACACAGGCGAAGGCCGGGAGGGGACGGGAAGAGGGCAGCTGGGTGGCTGCAGGGCTGGTGGGGAAGACGGGGAGCAGGTGGCGCTGACTTCCGCAGGGGCCCATCCGGGCACCGCCTCGTGCAGGATGGAGCGCGGCACAGAGCGGGTTGTGGGCGAGGGCTGAGGGACCATCACCGATGCCCACGGGCTGCGAGTGACCACCTTAGCGTAGCTCCTGGGCCTGGGCCCAGCCTCAGCCCCCGAGGCTCAGACGCAGATGCGCGGGGCCCGGACCGCCTTCGCCCAGCTGGACGCGTGGGCCGGGCCTGGGCCGCAGGAAGGGCAGTGAGCACACAGCCTGGGCCAGGGCCCCGCTAAGGCGGGCAGAGGTGGAGAGTGGGCTGCCAGGAGAAGGTGACTGGGCGAGGTGCCACTCCACGAGCCCTGCCCGGCACAGGGACGCCCCGGCCTGTTTTCAAGGCGGTCAAGGACCCACGGAGCTGGAAGCCGCGGGTGCCTGGGTCAGCCCTGTTAGGACTCCCCTGCTTGCCGTGGGGTGTGGAGCCGGCTTCCTGCTTACCCACGTCTGACAGACAAGCGCTGGCAGCCGTTCTGACTGACTTCCTGTGGCCACGAGCCAGCAGCTGTATCTTTCCTGGCCTGCCTTCTCCTGCCCTGGCACTGGCCCCACGGGCATGCGCCAAAGGAGGTGCCCTGGACAGGGCACCCGAGTTGTATGTTGCACTGCAGACCGGCAGTGTGACTCATGTTTGCAGGGCCTGCACCTCCTCCTGACCCGTGAGCCGTGTCTGGTGCTGGCGCGTGTGAGCAGGGCACCTGTGAGAAGGGCAGTGGGGTGCATTGGGTCTCCCCGGCTCTGCTCGGGATTGGGGTGGCCGTGGGAATCACCGTGGCACAGATGGTGAGCACAGCTGAATGGAGAAGCAGTCGCGTTTGAGGTGGGCGGTGCTGGCAGGGTCGGTTATTCAACATTTATTCAACATTGTGTCGGGTTCATTGGAAACAGTGTCTCTGTTGCGAGAACACGTCTGGTGACTCAGCTGCTCTCTCTGCTCTGCAGGCAGAAGCCGGCGAGTGCAGCCCCCGTGGTCCCCCCCGGCGGGGTCCGAGCCCTGCGAGCTGCGCCTGTACAACAGCCTCACCCGCAATAAGGTCAGCAGGGTCACCCGGTGGGGGCGGGGCAGCTCTGCAGGAGTCCTGCGGCCCTGCCAACCCTGGAACTGTCCGCCTCTGGCGCTGGGCTCCGGGTTCCATGAGCCCAGGCGTGAGGCCCCCCTGCTCCGGTGAGGCCCGGGCAGGGCCACCCGCCTGTCGCCGTCGGCCTGGAGTCCGAGTCAGTCCCTGGCCCTGCCCGAGCGGGAATGTCCGCGGTCCTCGGGCCGAGCCAGGTGTTGGCCTGCTTTCGAAGAGGACCTAGGTGACGGCAGACACCGCGGTGTGCGCCAGGCAGAGCAGGCCAGGGTGTGGGCGTGTTCTGTTCTCCTTGGCTGGTGGCCCCAGTGTTTGGGCCGACAAGCTCCCTGGGGGATGTCGGAGGCCCCTGAACCGGGCGGAGGCGGTGGGCCATTCAGGGGTGGAGCAGTCCAGGGCTTCGTCCGAGCGGTCCCGCTTCCAGGCCGGCCTTCTAGGGGCGTGAGCCCTGGGCAAGTGCTTGGGGCTGGGGTCTTCACCCGTGGCAGGACGCCAGCCACGCCCGCCTCCCACCCTGCCTCCAGGAGCAAGTCCCGGCCCTGCCCAGCGCGCAGCGGCCTGGCCGCAGTGGGTGCCCGGCTCTGGTCGTGCCCTGCTAGGGCAGCGTGTCCAAGGAAACACGGGTGTTTGTGTCTTCTGCCTCCGGGCCGAGGAGAGTCCCGGGAGGAAGAGGCTCGACGACCAGGGCTTCTGGGTCCATGGGAAGTTGCCTCCAAGAGTCTAATTGGATTTTAAATCCTTACCCAAGGATATTTTTCCATTTTTCTTCAGATAGAGTGGGAGGGAGGGAGGAGGGGTTGGGGAGAAAGAGAAACATGATGTGAGAGGAACATATCAACTGGCTGCCTCCCGCATGACCCCGACTGGGGCTGGGGACAAACTGCAACCGAGGTGCGTGCCCTTGACAGGAATTGAACCCGCGACACGTTGGTCCGCCAGCCGATGCTCTAACTGCTGAGCCGAACCAGTCAGGGCTGCGATTGGACTCTTCACCAGCCCCGACTCTGTGACCTTTTCAAAGCAGACGGTCCCTGTTGAATTCTGTTGAAAGCCCACCAGCCGCAGCCTCTGTCCGTTGCTGGCCTGGGTGGTCCCCCACAGCCGCCTCTCTTGTGATCACCATTCCCTCCTTTTTCCCAAAGGACGTGTTTGTTCCTCAAAACGGGAGACGAGTGACGTGGTATTGCTGTGGGCCCACCGTCTACGACGCGTCTCACATGGGACATGCCAGGTGGGCGCTGCCGGGCGCTGGGCGGGCGGCTCACGGGACCCCCAGCCCTGCAGAGATCCGTCTGCTGCCGGAACCGGGCGTTCAGCGGAAATCAGCCCGACCTTTCCCTCTCGCTTTTAAGAGAAAAACGTTCTTTCCATGAGCAGTCCTCAGTCACTGGAGAGCAATTAGAGAATACTGGTGACCAAAAGCAGAACGCCCTCGGCCCGTCGGTCCCACTCGGACACGCCGGGACAGTTTCCCACCTACCTGGAGGCCCCCACCCGCAGCTCTGACGGGAGGGCCCAGCACCGAGTCCCTGGCTCTGAGGGGCCCGTGGCAGCGGCGGGCTGTGGCGCGCTCGGCACGGTGGGAAAACTCTGCCCCGTCTCCGCTGTAGGTCCTACATCTCCTTCGACATCTTGAGAAGGGTGCTGAGGGATTACTTCAAGTTCGACGTGTTTTATTGCATGAACATCACAGACATCGACGACAAGGTAAACGGTGTTCACGGTCACTTTGTAAAGAAATGACCTTGGGATAAATGAACACCGTGAGGTAGGCTTGAGCCAGCACAGCTCTCGACCTGGAGAATGTGATCGGAGTCCCTTCGAGGATCAGTGTCCCAGTCCATGCAAGTGACAGTGTCCCATGTTCAGATGTGTACATGCTGGTTGAAAGCCGCGTGTCCCGGACCAAGTGGGCACATGATCATGGGGGTCCCCGTGGGAGATGCTGGGGGTCCCAAGGACAGGCTTGGAGCCAGTGGTTGGGGCTGGGGGTGGCGTTTGGTTCTCTGATGGCGCTGGGGGCACAGTCGTCCTCACCCAGGGTGCTCCTGCTGCACCGAGTCAGACGCGGGCTCTGAACGTCACCCCCTTTGCCTTTGCTCCCAGATCATCAGAAGGGCCCGGCAGAGCTACCTGTTCGAGCAGTACCGGGGGAAGCAGCCCCGCCCGGCCCAGCTCCTGGAGGACGTGCGCGCCGCCCTGCAGGTGGGCCCTCGCTGTCTGCTCCTGCGTCCTGGTCACGGCACCTGGCTAGTCGTGGCTGTCCCTCAGGGTCACCCGGCTCTCGGTCACCTGACGGACATACAGACGGGGCGCGGCGTCGGTGACCGTCCCGCCACTTGTGGGGGATGCCGGGACTCGTCGGCATGCCGCTACCCCACTGGCGTGCGATGCTCCTGTGGTCGCCAGGCGTCCTGCTCGGCCCGGTCACAGCCGGTCAGGCCTGCTGCGCAGACAAGAGGCTGTGCCGAGTCGTAGCCCAGGAAATGCCCAGGCTGCTGAGGACGTGTTCTGCCAGCCTGGTGCTTTCGTTTGGGTAGACAGCGTTACAAGTTGTCGCACTACCCAGTGAGCTTAGCTTGAATCGTCTTACTCTCTTTAATGGTCACTATCTCTAGTAATCGCAGTAATAATTACTGGTGCATCTCATCTCTGGATTAAACAAATGGAATAAAACGACAGCTTAGCGATCTGGCCAACCAAGGGGAAGGCCCACGTGGCTGGGGGCCTCCTGAAGTCCTAGGTGACACCCCTGTGTCATCCCCGGCGCAGCCTCAGGAGGACTGTTCTTACACCCACTTCGCGTCAGAGCAGCAGGCAGGGGCGCGTGGCCGGGCCTGCCGGGGCCGGGCCTCGGTCTCCCAGTTACCGCCCTGCCTGCCACCTGGGGACAGCTGGGACACTTCACGACAGACTTTTTTTTTTTTTTAATGAAAAAAAATCGATTTTATTTTTTAGAACAGAAAAATGTACACATTTACAGAAAAACTGAGAAGCCAGTACAAAGAGTTCCCATGTAGCCCACACCCAGTTCCTTCCGTCATTAACATCTTACGTCACGATGGTGCATTGTTGAAACAAATGAGTTCATGGTGGTACATTATTATCATCTGACGTCCACAGTGTATTTAGATTCTTTTTAGTTTTTCCCTGACGTCCTTTTGCTGCCCCGAGCCCCATCCAGGGCACCACGGTGTGTCAGTTCTCACATCTGTAGGCTCCTCTTGGCTGTCAGACTTTGTTTTTAATGATCCCGACAGTTTTGATCGGATCCTTTGTTTTTGGTTTTCTTTATCCTCATCTGAGGACATTTTTGCATTTATTTTCAGATAGAGTGAGAGGGAGAGGGGGAGGGGGAGAGAGAGAAACATTGACGTGAGAGAGACACATCGAGTGGCTGCCACCCACACGACCCAACCAGGGCCGGGGACGAACCGCAACCGAGGTGTGTGCCCTTAACGGGAACCGAACCCGGGCCTCTGGTCCATGGGCCGACGCTCTAACCGCTGAACCAAACCTGCCAGGCTGATCAGATACTTTGTAGGATGCTCCACTGCTAGAATTTTCTGTGATTTTCTCGTGGGTGGCTCGGGGAGGACACAGACTTCGCGCTCGCCGCCAGCCGTGGCTGCGGGGCCTTGGCGGCGGGGTCTGGCTCACAGCCTCGCCCTCTCCTGTGGTTGCAGCCCTTCTCCGTGAAGCTCAGTGAGACCTCGGACCCCGACAAGAAGCAGATGCTGGAGCGCATCCAGCAGGCGGTGCAGCTCGCCGCGGAGCCGCTGGAGAAGGCCCTGCGGTCTGGCCTCCCCGCCGAGGATGTGGACCGCCACGCCCAGGTGAGAGCGCGGGCCGGCCCGCTGCAGGGCTCACCACGCCGCGTGGTCCTGTGCCCGAGCCCACGCCAGGTCGGCGCACCTCCATCCCACGGCCTCCTGCCCCTCTCGCTGCAGTGAGCCGTGGGGTCCCCACCACTTCCCTCAGATAATCAGGAGGTACACTTGGAGTGTGTGGGGAGCGGCCTTCCCTCAAAATGATCTCAAGGTTACCCAGTGGGCTCTCTGGGCACTCCCTGGACTTGGGCCCTCCGCGGGCTGGCTCTCCTGCCTCCCCGCACAGTGAGCTGCCCTGGGCCCCTTCCCGCTTTCCCAGCCTGAGCTGCTGGGGCCTGGCTGCCGCCTGTCACCTTCCCCTGCGGACATCAGGCTGGGCCATCTCCCTGCCAACAGCTGGCAGATCCGCCGAGGGCCCTTATCCTTTACACCAGTGCCCCCTGCTGGTCGCCCTCTTCAAACCCGGGAACTTCCTGAGGAGGGTCAGGCGCCCCAGCCGGGACCAGCGCTTCGCCACGGGAGTGCCCCTGAGATGGGACAGCGGCAGGCTGTCCTCACTGCTGTGGGGGCTGGGCCCAGCTCCTCAGCCCTCCTCCTGTGTCCTTGTTGACAGTGCCGCTGTGACTTTTCTCCCAGTTGTTTCACTAATATCGTTTTTTTTTTTCTTTATCCTCACCCAAGGACATTTTTCCATTTTTCTGTTCAGATAGAGTGGAGGGAGAGAGAGAGAGAAAATCAGTGTGAAAGGGACACATCGAGTGGCTGCCACCCGCACGACCCAACCAGGGCCGGGGACAAACTGCAACCGAGGTACATGCCCTTAGTGGGAACCAAACCCAGGTCCCTCTGGACCGCAGGCCAACGCTCTAACTGCTGAGCCAGACTGGCCAGGGCACTAATATATATATCTTTTAATTGTGGTAAAATACACAGAACACAAAATTTACCATCTTTTTATTTTTCATTATTTTGAAAAACACTTTAAAAATTGATGTAGGGGAGAGGAAGGGAGAGGGAGAGAGAGATAGAAACATGGATGAGAGAGAACATCGACTGGCCGCCTCCTGCACGCGCCCCACTGGGGATCGGGCCACAACCTGGGCCTGTGCCCGGACCGGGAATCCATCTGGCGACCTCCTGGTGCAGGGTCGACGCTCCAGCACCGAGCCGGGCTGGCCGGGCCAGTGCGCTGTTCTCCACGGCAGCACGGGGATTTGGTTCCGCGTCCTCGCCACACTCGCTCCTTTCTGCCCGTCCGATGGTGGCATCCCAGGGGGTGGCATCGCACTGCCATCTGGGTCCGGATGTCCCTTGGCGGTGTGTCTGGCGGTGGAGTTGCTGGGCTGTGGGGATGTATCTGGGCGACTGTCAGGGCCCCAACACCACCACCCTCACGGTCGCTGCTCCCCGAAAGGACATGTGGGACTCGGCGTGCGCTGTCCTCGCCCCCGAGGCTTGTTTATCCCAGGGGCGCCGCCACGGGAGAGGCTCGGGCGAGTCTGCAGGGGCGAGGGGCGCAGAGCGTGCTCCCCACCAGGAAACACGCAGCGCAGGCGTGGAGTGCTGACTCATCAGCACCTCCCCTGCACGCCCACCCCACCCCGCACCCCGGAGGAGAGCAGGTGTGTGTTCCCATCGGCCACACCTCGGCCCGGACACAGCCCGGGCACCCTGCCGGCAGGTTGTGCTGCCCCGCTGGCTTCCCAGTCCCGTGCATTCGTGTGCCCAGCGCGTCTGCTGCACGGTCTCCTCCTCGTGGGGGCTGCCGGCTGAGTGGTCAGGGACCGGCGTGGCTGCCGGAGGCTGCGTCTGCCGCCCGTCCACCGGCCTCGCTGCCTTTGTTCACTGGTCTGGAGCCCTCGGTGTCTGTGACGCTACCCTTTGTTATTTCAGTGTGTTGCAGACACTTCTTCCCAGTTTGTCGCTTTTCTTTTTACTTTTTAAGAACAAAAGGTCTTGCCCGGGCCGGTTTCGCTCAGTGGTTAGAGCGTTGGCCCACAGACCAGAGTCGTGGATTCGATTCTGGTCAAGGGCACGTACCTCGGTTGCGGTTCATCCTCGGCCCTGGTCGGGGTCGTGCAGGAGGCAGCCAGTGGATGTGTCTCTATCACATCAGTGTTTCTCTCTCTCTCATTCTCTCTCCCTCCCTCCCACTCTATCTGAAGATAAATAGAAAAATGTCCTCTGGTGAGGATTAAAAAAAAAGTCTTAATTGTAATACTATCAAATCTGTGTGTTTCCTTTTATACTTAGTATTTTTGTGTCTTAAGAAATGTTCCCTACCCTAAAACATAAAGATACACTCCAGTGTCCCTTCTAGAGATGTCTAAGTTGTACGGTCTGCATGTGTCTTCGATCCCCTAGAATTCGCTCCCACAGAGGCTGAGTGGGGATCATCAGTGCCCCTTTGGTACAAGTCAGCTGGGGGGTCTCAGCTTGGTCCACTGGTCATACAAGCCATGCTGCCTGCGTGCCAGGCGGCGGGCCCCCAGGTCTGGGGAGGGCAGAGGCCTGTTTGTCTTCAGGAGCGTTTTGAATTCTCAGCTTGTTGAGTCCACGCGAGGCTCTGCGGGATTTTGAGCGCGGTATCCAAGAATCACTGCAGCTCCACCTTCGCCCTGGTGTCCTCTCTTCTGTCTTTCTGCTTCATCGGTCTTTTAAAGAGCAGGTTTTCGGGGCAGTTTCAGGTTCACAGTAAAATTGAGGGAAGGGCCAGAGGTTTCCCAGGTGCCCCTGCACCCACACGCACAGCCTCCCAGGGGACCCAGCATCATCCCCCGAGTCCACGGTTGACATGAGAGTCCCTCCTGTGCTGTGCGCTCTGTGGGTTGGGACAGAAGTGTGATGCCCCGTGTCCTCCAGTACAGTCTCGTGGGGAGCCCTTCCACGGCCCCGGGCCCTCCCTGCGCTGTCCGCCGCCCCTCCCCCACCCCGCGGGCCTCGCCGCTCTGCCTTCTCCGAGTCTCGTGGCTGCAGGCCCGAGGAACGGGCGCTTCCGTTTCCTCCGTGTCCTTTGGTGACCCGATGGCTCACGTCTCTTGATGACGACTATCCCGCCGTCGGGATGGACCGCAGCTCCCCGGTCCCTGCCCTGCGGAGGGCGTCAGGGTCGCTGCCGGTCTGGCACTGAGGGATGAAGCTGCCGCCAACATCTGTGTGTGGACTTTTGTGGACATAAGCTTTCAACTCTCGGGGTAAACGAAGGAGTGTGATTGTGGATCGCGTGGTGACTGTATTCAGCTTTGTAAGAACCCGCCAAACCGCCTGGCAGGGCTGTCCGCACCTTCTGCAGCCCCACCGGCAGGGGGCCCGCTGCCCCATCCTCCCAGTACTAGGTGGTGGTCCTGCTCCTACTGGCTGTGCCCAGGTGTCTTGTTTTCTCGTGCCCGTGCCTGGTGACAGGCACTGAGGACACCTTTTCATGGGCCAGTTTGCCACCTGGGTATCCTCTCTGGTGAGGGGTTTGTTAGGTCTTTGGCCCATTTTTAAAAATCATGTTGTGTGTTTTCTTGTTGAGTTTTAAAACTTCTTTGTGTGTTTTGGGTAACAGCCCTTTATCAGATGTGTCTTTTGCAAATATTTTCTCCCAGGCTGTGGCTTGTCTTCTCATTCTCTCGACGTTGTCTTTCCAGAGCAGAAATTTTTCACGAAGTCTGGAGTTTATCTGTATTTTCCTTCCTGGGTTGTGCCTCTGGTATCGGATGTAAGGAGTCCTTGCCGAACCCAAGGCCACCTCGACCTTCTCCCGTGCTGTCTCCCAGGAGTCTCCCAGCCGTGCGCCGCACGTGGGGCCACGGTCCACTTCGAACTCATCTCGTGCCGGGTTTGGGTCTGTGCATCGGCTTCTGCACCTGCTGTCAGGTTGCTCCAGCACCGTCTATCGAGGAGACGGACGGTCTCTGCTCTTGTATCGCTTCGCTCCCTCGTCAGGGTTGGCCGACCACATCTCGGGGCTCTCTCGGGGCTCTGTGTCACGCTCCGTCGACCTGTGCGTCTGCCCTTCTGCCGACGCCCATGTCTGATCCCTGCAGCTGCAGCCAGCCGTGAGGTCGGGAGCGTCGGTCCTGCGGCCTTGCTGTCCCTCAGCGAGGAGCTGGCTCCTCTGGCCTCCCCATGTAAACGCAGACTCGGTCCGTCCATCCACTGAAGGACCCGCCGGGCTGATGGCAGTCGTGTTGCGTCTGCAGGTCAGCTTGGGAAGAGCTGCCCCTGAGGGCGTGGAGTCTGGCGTGCGCTCTGCCCGCTCGGTGGGCTGTGAGTCCTTCCGCCAGAGCCCTGAAGCCTCCTCCTCCACGTTGTCCTATACTTCCTATTTCTTTTTATTATTTTTTTGTCCTCACCCGAGGACATTTTTGCATTTATCTTGACGTAGAGCAGGAGAGAGAGAGGGAGGAAGAGAGAGAGAAACATCGATGTGAAAGGGACACATCGAGTGGCCACCACCCACACGACCCCAACTAGGGCCGGGGACAAACTGCAGCTGAGGTACGTGCCCTTAGCGGGAACTGAACCCGGGTCTCTCTGGACCGCAGGCCGACGCTCTAACCGCTGAGCAAACCGGCCAGGGCTTGCCCGGACTTTCTTAGAGCCGCACCGAAGCCTTCACCGTGGGTGCGTGTGTGCGGCTCTGGTTCTCCGTCCCATCCCGCTCACTGGTGGGTGTGTGGTTCGCGTCTCCCTTCCCGGTCAGTGCACCGCTCAGCTCCTTGTCCTGTCTCGTCGTGTGGGCGAGGACTGCAGCTCGGAGCTGACAAGGGGCGGTGAGAAGGACGTCCGTGCCCAGGCCTGACCCCGGCAGGAACCCTCGCTGCCCGCGCCGTGGGATGCGCGCTGTGGGTCCTGTGGGTGTTCTCCATCACGGCGAGGGGGTTCCCTCTGCGCCTAGCGCACCGAGGGTTTCATCACGGCGGGTTCGGGCTTGTCAGGTGCAGCCTGTGCCGATGGACTGCCGCGTTCCCCTGCTCTGGTCCTGGGCGCGATGGTTTACACTGATTCTGTAACGTTGAACTAGCGCGCCCTGGGCCAATCCCACCTGGTCATGGGTACAGTCCTTTCTCTATGTGGGTGCACGCAGTTTGCTGACGCTCCATGTGTGTTCATGTGACATGTCGGTGTCTAGTTTTCTTGTGACGTGTTTGTCTGGTTTGGGCTTTAGGGTGATGCTGGCCTTACAAGATGAAAAGGAAGTGTTCCTTCTGCGTCTGTCCCCCGAAAGAGACCGTAGAAAATTGGTGTAACTTCTTTCTTCAGTGTTTGAATTCACCAGGGAGCCTGGGCCTGGTGCTTCCTGACTCAAAAGGATTGATGATCAAGTTCATTTCTTTTTCTGTATTTTTTATTTTTACTTTTTTCTTTACTGATTTTGGAGAGGGAGCGAGAGATAGAAACATCGATGAGAGAGAACATCGATGGGCTGCCTCCTGCACGCCCCCCACTGGGGATCTGGCCCACAACCTGGGCCTGTGCCCTGACTGGGAATCGAACCGGTGACCTCTTGGTGCAGGGGCTGACGCTCCACCACTGAGCCCCACCAGCTGGGCGAGTCCATTTCTTTAATAGATGAGACTTATTCAGACTGTCAGAGATCTCTGTGGGAGATTTGCAGATTCTCTTTCAGAGAACGAGTGTGCTGACCTCGGCTGTCACCTTTTGGATGTGGAATCGTCTCATAATGTCCGTCACGGTCCGTCTGCTGTCCATGCGAGCTGGAGTGATGTCCCTCTTCGCTTTCTGATATAATACGTGTTTGTGTCCTCTCTCTTCCAGTTAGCCCGCTAGAGGCCTGTCAGTTTCATCGATCTTTCTAAAGAACCAGCTTTTGGCTTTGTGGACTTTTCTCTATTGATTTCCTGTATTCTGCTTTAATTTTTATCATCTATTTTCTTCTGCCTAGTTGGATTTAATTTGCTCTTCTTTTTCTAGTTTCCTAAGGTAGAAACTTGTAAGATGATTGAAACTTGTTAGCTGCTGTTTAGGTTTTTTGCTAATATATGTATCAATACTATGAATTTTTCTCTAAGCACTGATTTTGCTGCATCCCACAAAATTTGATAAGTTGTATGTTCATTTTTATTTAGTTCAAAATATTTTAAAGTGTTTTTTTTGAGATATCCAACTCGTGTTATTTAGAAGTGTGTTGTTTAATCTCTACAAGTTTTGGGATTTTCCAGTTATTTTTCTGTGGTTAGTTTCTAGTTTAATGGACTTGGTCTGATGGCAGAGACTTATGATGTCTGTTCTTTTGAGTTTGTTCTGTGTTTTGTGGCCCAGCCTGTGATTGGTCTTCCCGATTATTCCACGTGAGCCTGGGAAGAATGTGTGTTCTGCCCGTTGTTGGGTAGAGTGGTCTGTAGGTGTCTGCCACACCCCATGGATGACGGGGTGTTGCATTCCTGCTGCCGAGCTGTCCGTTTCCAAGGGAGGGGTGTCGAGATTGCCACCTGTGATCTACTTGTGGCTCTATCGGTCTTTGCCTCGCATGGTCGGATGTGCTGCTGTTGGGTGCGTACACCTAAGGACCGTTAGCTGCTGTTGGGTGCGTACACGTAAGGCCTGTTAGCTGCTGTTGGGTGCGTACACATAAGGCCCGTTAGCTGCTGTTGGGTGTTTACGTATTAAGGCCCGTTAGCTGCTGTTGGGTGCGTACATCTAAGGCCCGTTAGCTGCTGTTGGGTGCGTACACGTAAGGCCTGTTAGCTGCTGTTGGGTGCGTACATGTAAGGCCCGTTAGCTGCTATTGGGTGCGTACACGTAAGGCCTGTTAGCTGTTGTTAGGTGTGTACACGTAAGGCCTGTTAGCTGCTGTTAGGTGTGTACCCGTAAGGCCAGTTAGCTGCTGTTGGGTGTGTACGTATTAAGGCCCGTTAGCTGCTGTTAGGTGTGTACCCGTAAGGCCAGTTAGCTGCTGTTGGGTGTTTACGTATTAAGGCCCGTTAGCTGCTGTTGGGTGCGTACACGTAAGGCCCGTTAGCTGCTGTTGGGTGCGTACACGTAAGGCCCGTTAGCTGCTGTTGGGTGTGTACACGTAAGGCCTGTTAGCTGCTGTTGGGTGTGTACACGTAAGGCCCGTTAGCTGTTGTTAGGTGTGTACACGTAAGGCCTGTTAGCTGCTGTTGGGTGTGTACCCGTAAGGCCTGTGAGCTCTTTTTTTTATTTTTTATCCTCACCCGAGGACATTTTTTCCATTTTTTTGTTGAGGTAGAGTGGGAGGAAGAGAGAGAGAGAAACATCGATGTGAAAGGGACACATCGAGTGGCTGCCACCCGCACGACCAACCAGGGCCGGGGACAAACTGCAACCTAGGTACGTGCCCTTAGCGGGAACCGAACCCGGGTCTCTCGGGACCGCAGGCCGATGCTCTAACCGCTGAGCCAAACTGGCCAGGGCAAGGCCTGTGAGCTCTTGTTAGTGACTGACCTTGACCGTTGCATTGTTCTTCCTGTTCACGGGTCGATGTTGGTCACAGTGCTGACGTCAGCTGCGGGAGCCTTGGGCTCGGGAGACGGTGACCTCAGGGCTCCGGGCAGGGCTGGGTGCGCCTTCGACGGTGCAGACCACTCGCGGGAGGCGCTCCTGTGCGACCACACACGACCACACACGTGAGAATGCCCTGTCCCGTCCTCCCCAGGTGCTGTTGGAGGAAGCGAAGGATTTGCTCTCTGACTGGCTGGACTGCACCCTGGGCAGCGAGGTGACCAGCAATGCCATCTTCTCCGAGCTGCCGCAGTTCTGGGAGCGGGAGTTCCACAGAGACATGGAGGCCCTGAACGTGAGTGCTGCCGGGGCCTGTCCTCGCTGCGGGGCCAGGGCGCGGGCGTGACGAGGGACGACCAGGCTGTCTGCGCCCGCAGGTGCTCCCTCCTGACGTCCTCACCCGGGTCAGCGAGTACGTGCCGGAGATCGTGAGCTTCGTCCAGAAGATTGTGGACAACGGCTACGGGTGAGCGCAAGGCCCTCGGGCCCTTCCCTCCGCCTGGGGGTGGCGCACCGCTGTGGCTGCGGCGCTGCGAGGGAGCGGCCGGGGCGGCTGGAGTCCGAAGCCCGCGGTCAGGGTGTCGGCAGGGCTGGTCCTCGGGGACCCCGGGGGCTGTGCCGGGCTCCTCTCCTCGGCCTGCAGATGGCTGCGCCCTCGCCACATCCCCACACTGTTGCTCTGTGCATGTGTGCCCGGGGTCTCCTTTGGAGTCCCAGCCACCTCTCTCTGTAAGGACGCCATTCGTGGATTGGGGCCCACCCTCGCCGCCTCATTTACCTTCATGATCTCGTTAAAGAGCTAAACACAGGCAGTTCTGAGTTACTGGAGGTTAGGACCACACTATCCGGATTTGGGGACACAGCGAGCCTGCAGTTCCCTTTCACGCTCACCCTCGCGCTCACCCTCACGCCGTTGGTCAGGGGCCAGAGCCGCATGCTGGTGTGCGTGGGCACTGCGGTCTTCGTGGCGTCAACGTCATGGGCAGGCACTTGCACAGTGCGTGTCGCCTCCCGGGGCAGGGCTGTTTCTTGCGGTGCTCCGTGCCCGGGTGGGCTCCTGCTGCGTGCTGCTCCTAACCCTGCCCCTGCCGGCCACTGCCCTGCCCCCGGTGTGCCATTCTAGCACTTTCTGACTGCATGGAACTCCCTAAGCCTCCTGAGTTGGCGCGTTCAGAAGTAGCCAACAGTGCAAGCACAGACGTGAGCCGGGCATCTCTCTGCAGCTGGCACCTGCTCTGAGAGACATCCCCGCTCCCAGGGAAGAGGAGGCAGGCGGGCACTCCCAGCACGGGGCCCCGAGCAGTGCAGCTTCTCAAGATGACGCTTCCCCTCTGTCCCCCTGAGCACAGTCACTGCAGGGCAGCAGGAGAGTGTGCAGACGGAAGGACATGTGCCAGGCTGAGGTGAGGGAAGACAGGCATGCCAGGCGGGCCACACCGGTGGGCAGAATGTAGACAGAGGCAAAGTGTGTCACCCAGGAGGGTGCTGTCCCCAGGCAGGGCCAGGGAGGAGCTGCATGCGCACAGGACATGTAGCAGAGGTCTGCAGAGGGACACACTAAGGTCTGCAGAGGGACACGCTGTGTGCGCACAGGACACGCAGCAGAGGTCTGCAGAGGGACACACTAAGGTCTGCAGAGGGACACGCTGTGTGCACACAGGACGTGCAGCAGAGGTCTGCAGAGGGACACGCTGTGTGCACACAGGACACGCAGCAGAGGTCTGCAGAGGGACACTCTAAGGTCTGCAGAGGGACACGCTGTGTGCACACAGGACACGCAGCAGAGGTCTGCAGAGGGACACGCTAAGGTCTGCAGAGGGACACGCTGTGTGCACACAGGACGTGCAGCAGAGGTCTGCAGGGGGACACGCTGTGTGCACACAGGACACGCAGCAGAGGTCTGCAGAGGGACACGCTAAGGTCTGCAGAGGGAGCGCTGCGTGCTGGGTAGTGAGGGCTGTGCCTCTGCCCAGTGAAGTGTCCTCGTCGTGTCCCCGCTCAGCCCGCACGGCGCAGTGGATTGAAGACCGCGTCACAGAGCTGTGGGAGGAGCGAACCGGAGCCGAGGCTGGGCTGGCCGAAGCCAGCTAACCCTTCAGATGTCCGGTTGCCCCAAGTGGCTCTGGGCCGATGGATCTGCACTTTCCCCAACTTCCGCCTGTTTTCCAGCTACGTTTCGAACGGGTCCGTCTACTTCGATACGGTGAAGTTTGCCTCCAGCAAGGGACACTCCTACGGGAAGCTGGTGCCTGAGGCCGTGGGGGATCAGAAAGCCCTGCACGAGGGGGAAGGTGAGTGCGGCCGTGGAGATCGGGGAGGGTCAGATGGTCAAGGCCAGCACCGAGGTTTTAGGAATTCTCTACAGAGCCTATGAAATGAATTATTTTATCGATTGATTAGAGAGAGAGAGAGAAACATCGCTTTGTTATTCCACTTATTTATGCATTAATTGTTTGATTCTTATATGTGCCCTGACTGGGGATCGAACCCACAACCTTGGCATATCAGAACAATGCTCTAACCAACTGAGCTGACTGGCCAGGGTGAAACGTATATTTTGTTGTTGTTAATCCTCCACCGAGGAGATTTTTCCATTGATTTTTTAGAGAGAACGGAAAGGGAGGGAGAGAGAGAGAAGCATCTATGTGAGAGAGACACATCGATTGGGGTCCTCCAGCATGGCCCCGACTGGGGCTGGGGTCAACCTGCCACCCAGGTACATGCCCTGGACCAGAAATTGAACCCGTGACCCTCTGATCCGAGGGCCGATGCTCTAACCACTGAACCAAACTGGCCAGTGCAGACGTGTTAATTTTTAATAAGCAAGTAAATAAATTCAGTTTGCCCTTGAACAGCACGAATTTGCACCGCGCAGGCCCGCTTATACGCGGGTGTTTTCAGGGGCCCTGTGAACGCACTTCCCTCCCACGTGACATTCTCAACACCCTCGTCTTTCTGCCTTGCTTTCCGTAAGGATACAGCGCGTGCACGAGGTCTGCGGCACCTGGCTGCGCGGGTGGGGAGGCTCCCAGTCCTCAGCAGCTGTCAGCGGTTAGGTGTAGGGAGTCAGAGCTGCACCTGGACTTTCCGGGGGTTGGTGCGCCAACTGCTGCCTTGAGAAGCGCAGCACACTCGAGGCCGCGCTGGTCGGAGTGTGGGTGCCGAGAGCACCCCGGACAGGTGGGTGTGGGCCGCGCGCGACCGTTGGGAGCTTGGAGCCGGGTGTTGGGAACATGCAGCTCACAGCCTGAATGAGGAGGCACACGCCAGTCACGGGTGGGCGGGAGCCCCCCTAGCGTCTGAGCCCCACTTAGTGGGAGTGAAGGCCCAGGGCCCTGTTGGAGGCGAGGGAGTGGAGTCGTGGGTCTGGTCCCCACAGGTTCCGGACCGGCACCGCGGGCGGGGAGGGCAGCCAGTGACCCGGCTGGGCGGGATGGGCAGGAATGGGGGCAGGGCAAGGGTGCCTTTCCTGGGGCAGCTGGGGCGCCACCGACTGCCCGGGCGCCACTCGCCACTCGGAGTGCTTGTTTCACTGTATTTTACGTTTTTCTAAAAAAGAAAAACAAACCCTTGTGTCGAGGGCTGACTTTCAATAGATCGCAGCGAGGGAGCTGCTCTGCTACGTACTTATTTATTTTTTAAAGCATGCTTTTACATTTACTGATTTTAGAGAGAGAGATGGAAACATGGATGAGAGAGAACATCGACTGGCCGCCTCCTGCGCGCCCCCCACTGGGGATCAGGCCCACAACCTGGGCATGTGCCCTGACCGGGAATCAAACCGGCGACCTCTTGGTGCAGGGTCGACGCTCAACCACTGAGCCACACTGGCCGGACTAAAATGTTTATGCTTTTGATCAAGTAATTTCACCTTTAGGGCTCCGTGCTAAAGAAATATCAGAACCAAAAACAAAACGAGACAACACAGAAACGTTCAGAAAAGGTAGACCGAGTCAGTATGAGACCTCGTGGCATTTAAGGCTGAACACGCTCATCAGAGTAGAGGAGGCGAGTTCATGATGCCAAAGCCCCTGTCCCCCACGGGGACCATTCATACTCTGGACCAGACAGCAGGGTCTCCACGCCCCTGGTGCCTGGGAAGTAGACACCCCCACCCACAAGGGGTCGCTACACTTCCCAGAACTGGGCCGATCGCGCCCCGGGCCCACGAGGCCGGCACAGGGTTGACATACACATTCACGGCCGTGGGCTCACGTCAGAACGTCGTCCCCAGGAATTTAGGAACGTCCACGCCTTGAAGGACCACACAGCAGGCCCGAGGCCGGCACAGGGTTGACATACACATTCACGCCGTGGGCTCACGTCAGAACGTCGTCCCCAGGAATTTAGGAACGTCCACGCCTTGAAGGACCACACAGCAGGCCCGAGGCCGGCACAGGGTTGACATACACATTCACGGCCGTGGGCTCACGTCAGAACGTCGTCCCCAGGAATTTAGGAACGTCCACGCCTTGAAGGACCACACAGCAGGCCCGAGGCCGGCACAGGGTTGACATACACATTCACGGCCGAGGGCTCACGTCAGAACATCGTCCCCAGGAATTTAGGAACGTCCACGCCTTGAAGGACCACACAGCAGGCCACATAAAGGAGCCCCAGCCAACCCCGAAGGGTGGCTGCTCACGGGGCCAGACGCCGATCTCAGTGATTGGAGCACTGTCACCACGCGGGCACACGCAGACCTACCAGCCCGTGCTCTCCACGGAGATGGTGCGGACAGTGAAGAAGGAAACCGCGGCCCCAGAGGCCGGAGTCAGAGCAGGGCCTGGGGGCAAAGGAGGCAGTGCCACGGCCACAAGGAAATGTGCACGTCACCCACCTTCCGTCGGCCCTGAAGGCGGCCCAGGTGTCCTGGGAGCGGCACCCAGGAGAAACGGGCTGACCGGGTTCCCCACCTACCACGTCGCCCTCGCGTGAGACCGCGGACAGCGGGGCTCTGCGCTTGCTCTGGAGCTCCTGCCCAGAGCCCAGGCCGAGGCAGCGCCTGCTCGGCCTCCTGCAGGGAAGGCAGGCGCCTGCGTCACCTGACCGAGTCCAGCTGGCCGAGTCCGAACGGAGGAAGGACACCCGCACACACCCGCGTGAGCCCGCTCTCCTGAGTGCCTGCAGGAAGGGGACGTGGACAGGGCGATGTCCACACTGCGCCGCGGCGAGGGGCTGGGCCCAGGGACGGAAACAAAAGGAGGAAAATCAGGCCAGCGATGCGTCCGAAGCTGGAGAAGGAGCGACAGTGACGGGGACGGGAGCACAGAGCAGGGAGGGGCGGAGATGACAAGCTGGTCTCCAGTTCGTCACCAAGACCAGCAGACAAGCTGCAGCAGGCTGGCTAACGGGAGACGATGCGGGCGCGGAGGACGCGCGCCCCGGCCGAGGTGCAGCGCAGCTGCGGGCAGCCAGGCGCCTGTGCCGCGGACTCGGACTCCTGACACGGGCGCCCGTCTGGTCCCTCGGGCACTGACCTCTTTCTTTTTAATCCTCACCTGAGGCTATTTTTCTGTCTATCTTCAGGTAGAGTGGGAGAGAGAGAGAGAGAAACGTCGACGTGAGAGCGACACATTGACCGGCTGCCTCCTGCACGACCCCGACCGGGACCGGGGACGAAACGCAACCGAGGTACATGCCCTTGACCAGAATCGAACCCGCGACTCTGGTCTGCAGGCTGATGCTCTAACCACTGAGCCGAACTGGCCAGGGCGGCACTGACCTCTTTTCCTCACATTGCCAAGTGGAAAAATGACAACAGCCAGCCCTGGCCCGTCTGCTCAGTGGTTAGAGTTGGCCCAAGGACCGAAGGGTCTCAGGTTTGAGTCCCGGTCAAGGGCATGTGCCTGGGCTGCAGGTTCCATCCCCGGCCCCAACTGGGGTCCTGCAGGAGGCAACCAGTCGATGCGACGGTATTTCTCTCTGTGTGTCTCTCTGTCCCTCTCTCCCTCTCCCTTCTTCCCTTCTGTTCTCTCTAGAATATCGGGAAATATCTTAGGTGAGGATTAATAACAACACAATGACAATAGCCAACACAGCAACAACTCTTCCCTTTTTGGTCATGTCAGTAAAGATACAATGTGTTCAGTGTGTGTGGGGATTCGGTTGTCAGCTCACAGCCGTGAGGTGATGAAGGCGGAAACCACTGCTCCCGAGGACAGGAAGCGGGGCGTCAGGAGGGAAAGCCCGAGGGGCCAGCCCCGCCGCTGCGGGCTCGCGGGCAGGGGCTGTGTGCCAAGTCCCCTGCCTGCCCCGGCCAGCTGTCCCCTGAGACAGCGCGGTTCTCGGGCCTGTTCCTCCCGGGCGGGCTCGCGGGCTGGGGCTGTGTGCCGAGTCCCCTGCCTGCCCCGGCCGGCTGTTCCCTGAGACAGCACGGTGCTCGGGCCTGTTCCTCCCGGGCGGGCTGTTAGAGTCCGAGTGACGGTGAGCAGAGGAGCCCAGCAGCGAGCAGAGGGACAGGCCCGCTTCCCAGCTGTCGCTCGGCCCGATGACCCTCACTGCACGGAGCCCGGAAGTACCTTTCATCCAGCGCCGGGGCTGCAGCAGGGAAGGCCAGCCTGCGATTCTGAGAGCTGCCGGGCGCCAGTGGGGCCTCCTGACACTCCGCCGAGGGGGGCGCACAGGGAGCGGGCCGTGCGGCTTCGCTTCCTTTAAAAAATCTCGAGCAAATAATAGTGTCACCAAACAGGGACGTCTGGTGGCGGGAGGAGGGGTGTGCTGAGCAAGCTCCTCTCTGTCACAGAATTTTTCTGAATAGATTCTTAAAACCAGAAACGTTCGCGCGTCAAATTCCAAACCTAAGTGCACACCACCTGTCCAAGGGTGGCGGGACGCGTGCCACGTGCCACGCCTCGCCTCTGGTGAAGCACTCGTGGGCAGTGGGAGCCGGCGGAGCGGGGCAGTGTGTCCCGTGTGGGGCGTCTGTGCCGGGCCTGTGGGGCCTGAGGAACCCAGGCCTGCAGAGCAGCACAGCACGGTGGGGACTGGTCACGGCGAGCTCTGACCACGCCGTTTCCCCGCTTCTCCGTGCACCCGCCGAGGGTTCTGCCTGTGCTGCTCCGGGTCTTACGAAGGTGGAGACGCACATGCTTCCCCTCTGCTGGCTCTCAGGGCAGCGTGCCTGTGTCCTGACGGCGGGACACTGAGACTGTCCTTCCTGCCCTGGCCAGTGTGGCTCAGCGGTTAGAGCGTCGGCCTGTGGACCAATGAATCTCGGGCCCTATTTGGGGTCGTGTGGGAGGCAGCCGGTCGATGTGTCTCTCTCGTGTCGATGTTTCTCTCTCTCCCTCCCACTCTATGTGAACAAAAATGGAAAAATATCCTCGGGTGAGGATAAAAAAAAAAAAGAATGTCCCTCCTGTTCTGGAGTTTTCCGTGAGTGGGTGACAGCCCAGAAAGGGGCCTGGGTGCGGGCTGAGGGCCCTTGCTCGGCCCCTTCGCCCAGCTCCGTCCTGGGCACCAAGGATTCTCTGGGAAGGAAGGCCGGCCTCCGGGCGGCGTGCTTGTTCGCAGCGCTGTGTCCGGTGCGCTGCGTGGGGTTCCGTGAACAAGGCACGGCTACGCCGCAGTCTGGGCAGAGAGCCTGCAGGGTGCTCGACCGTGTGAATAACGGGAACTAGCCAGGGACCGAGCAGTGGGCGCAGACTGGCCTTGCGGTGAGACGCATCCAGGCCGGCGAGCGCCCCTCCTGTGTCTGCGCAGGCGACCTGAGCGTCTCGGCAGAACGCCTGAACGAGAAGCGGTCCCCCAACGACTTCGCCCTGTGGAAAGCCTCCAAGGCCGGGGAGCCCTCCTGGCCGTGCCCGTGGGGCAAGGTGAGCACCGGGAAGGCGCGGGCAGGTGGTGGGCCACCGTGGGCAGGCCCTTCCCCCGTGAGCAGACAGCGCCCCATCCCGGAGCTGGGGGCCACAGAGCCTGCGGGCCAGCTGGGGTGCAGCTGCCGGGCCGCCTCGGAGGCCCCTGCTCCTCACGGGCTCTGAGTATTACCAGCTCCCGGGACCAAGTCACTCCCTGACCGTCCCCGTGACAACACCCCACCCTGCGGGGAGGGCTGCTCCACTGCCCCCGGCCGAGTGCCGAGAGGTCTGGAGTGGCACGGCCTCAGCGGGAAGCCACGGGACCGTGCAGACCGCCCCAGGAAAGCTCAGGGTTTGAGGGTCAGAACACGGGTGAGGGAGGCCTGGAGCTCAGGCAGCCGGTCACGGGGTGGTCTGCTCCCTAGGGACGTCCGGGGTGGCACATCGAATGCTCTGCCATGGCGGGCACCCTCCTGGGAGCCTCGATGGATCTGCACGGAGGGGGCTTCGACCTCCGCTTCCCCCACCACGACAACGAGCTGGCGCAGTCGGAGGTAGGCGCGTCCTGCGCGGTGGGGCGGTCAGGGGCCGTCCGCAAGGGGCTGTCTGGGTAGAACCCGGCTTCCGCATCACGGTCTGTCAGTGGGAAACTGAGCCCCAATTATCTAGGCTGATTTCCCACATTAACCGCCTGGCCTTTGGCAATAGACAGGCCTAGATTCGAACCACTTGTTACCTCCTTGCTCATGGACCCAGGGCTGTCCCTCTGAGCTCCAGTTGCCCACCTAGAAAAGGCAGCACCTTCTCCCACCTGCGCCGTGTGAACCCAGGCGACCCCAGGCTTACAGTGGGGCCAGCACCCTCCCCGCAAGGAAAGGCGCCGGGGGACTCAGTGCCCTCGCTCCCCCGCGTGCAGGCCTACTTTGAAAACGACTGCTGGGTGCGATACTTCCTGCACACGGGCCACCTGACGATCTCGGGCTGCAAAATGTCCAAGTCGCTCAAAAACTTCATCACCATCAAAGACGCCTTAAAGAAGCACTCGGGTAAGCACTGGCCGCTCCCGGAGACCTTGGCCGCCGGGGGACGGCGACAGCGGCGCTCTCGGACGCTGAGGGGCCGTGCGCTGTTCCCTCCGCAGCGAGGCAGCTGCGCTTGGCCTTCCTCCTGCACTCGTGGAAGGACACGCTGGACTACTCGAGCAACACCATGGACTCGGCCCTGCAGTACGAGAAGTTCATGAACGTGAGTCCGCGAGGGTGGAGAACCAGCAGGCCGTTGTCCTTGAACAGCGTGTCTGAGCCCCCAGAGAGGAAGGAGCCTCATGTACTTGCTGTGCGTGTGGTTGCCCGGCTGTGTGTGTGGTTGCCCAGCTGTGCGTGTGGTTGCCTGGCTGTGCGTGTGGTTGCCCGGCTGTGCGTGTGGTTGCCAGTGCGTGTGGTTGCCCGGCTGTGTGTGTGGTTGCCAGTGCAGTTGGTTGCCCGGCTGTGCGTGTGGTTGCCCGACTGTGCGTGTGGTTGCCGGTGTGGTTGGTTGCCCGGCTGTGCGTGTGGTTGCCCGGCTGTGCGTGTGGTTGCCCGGCTGTGCGTGTGGTTGCCAGTGTGGTTGGTTGCCCGGCTGTGCGTGTGGTTGCCCGGCTGTGCGTGTGGTTGCCGGTGCGGTTGGTTGCCCGGCTGTGCGTGTGGTTGCCCGGCTGTGTGTGTGGTTGGTTGCCCGGCTGTGCATGTGGTTGCCCAGCTGTGCGTGTGGTTGCCGGTGTGGTTGGTTGCCCGGCTGTGCGTGTGGTTGCCCGGCTGTGCGTGTGGTTGGTTGCCCGGCTGTGCGTGTGGTTGCCCGGCTGTGCGTGTGGTTGCCGGTGCGGTTGGTTGCCCGGCTGTGCGTGTGGTTGCCGGTGTGGTTGGTTGCCCGGCTGTGCGTGTGGTTGCCGGTGTGGTTGGTCGCCCGGCTGTGCGTGTGGTTGCCCGGCTGTGCGTGTGGTTGCCGGTGCGGTTGGTTGCCCGGCTGTGCGTGTGGTTGCCCGGCTGTGTGTGTGGTTGGTTGCCCGGCTGTGCGTGTGGTTGCCCAGCTGTGCGTGTGGTTGCCGGTGCGGTTGGTTGCCCGGCTGTGCATGTGGTTGCCCAGCTGTGCGTGTGGTTGCCGGTGTGGTTGGTTGCCCGGCTGTGCGTGTGGTTGCCCGGCTGTGCGTGTGGTTGCCGGTGTGGTTGGTTGCCCGGCTGTGGTGTGGTTGTCGGGCTGTGCATCAGCACGGTGACACTTCACCAGCCAGCTCCTGGGCAGGAAAGCTGTCTGAACGCCACAAACGGACTCTCTAACTGTAGGAATTTTTCTTGAACGTGAAAGACATCCTTCGTTCTCCTGTTGATGTCACCGGCCAGTTCGAAAAGTGGGAGGAGGAGGAAATCGAGCTGAACGAGAGGTGAGGGGGCACCTGTTCTCCGGGCTCGTAGACGTGCCTGCGACCCGTGCTCCCCGACAGCGGGGCCAGCCGGGCCACGAGGCTGTGGTGGGCTGACGGCCCCATCCCTTCCTCCCTCGCTCAGTTTCTACGGCAGGAAGACAGCGGTGCACGAAGCCCTCTGTGACAGTGTGGACACGCGCACGGCCATGGAAGAGATGCGGGCCCTGGTCAGCCAGTGCAACCTGTACATGGCCAACCGGAAGTCTGCGCGGAGGAGGCCCAACCGCGCTCTGCTGGAGAGCATCGCTCGGTACCTCACCCACATGCTGAAGGTCAGGGCCTGCAGGCGCCGGGGCAGCGCTGAGCGGGGTGCGCTCTGCCCCTCAGTGCAGACCAGTGTGCAGCGGCCCTTCCTCTGAGCCAGCGCACCTGTGAGCCTCGTGCTGACGGGTCCGGGGTCTCTGCTGCAGGCAGGCGCTGAGGGTGACCTGCCGCCTCCCTCCCGTGTAGCAGTGCGTTTCGTGGGTGGGTCAGCGAGCGTCATCTCCCAGACCTCTTCCTCCCACACGTGTGTTTCTCTCCCTAGATTTTCGGGGCCATCGAGGAGGAAAGTTCCCTGGGGTTCCCTGTCGGAGGACCTGGAAGCAGCCTAAATGTGAGTACAGCCCCCTGGGCCCAGAGTCTCCCTGCTGGGCTGACCTCAGCCACCCGTCCCCTGGGAACTGCCCACTGCCAGGGGCCTCTCCTGCCTTCCACACCTGGCTCTTCCTCTTGCCTGTCCCCTGCTGGGTCACCCCTGTGGGCACTCGGAGGCCGGCACTCGGCCACGTCTCCACCTGGCTGGGGGAACTGAGTGCAGTTGGCTGCCCCTCTGTGCGGAAGGTCCTTCCTCACTGTCCGCCGGGCGGGAGGACCTGTGCCCGTCTGAGGTGGCGCCCGGAGGCCAGGCGCGAGGGCAGTCCCCTTGCTGAGGTCGCAGCCCCACGGCTGCAGGACCCTCACTCGCTCATCCCGAACCCGTGTCCCGATGTTCAGACGCCGCGTGGACCACTGCCTGGTGGTCTGTGCCCGGAGAGAGTTCACCGGGCAGACACTCGCTCCGCGGCCTGGCAACCGCACGGGACTAGTGCACGCCGAGGCGCTCTCGGGGAACGGCGCCCTCCCCGGCCAGGAGCGCCGACACGGTGACTGGGACGCGGGGCAGACACTCGCTCCGCGGCCTGGCAGCCGCACGGGACGAGCGCACGCCGAGGCGCTCTCGGGGAACGGCGCCCTCCCCGGCCAGGAGCGCCGACACGGCGACTGGGACGCACCCGTAAACACTTAAATGTAGCAACTGTTACTTCAAAGGAACAGGAGAAGTTTGTCGGATACAGCACAGAAGGCAGGAAGCCTGCAGATGGGGTTCAGAGATGTCCCCCAAGAAGCAGCTTCCAGAGCAGCTGTGCGTCCTTGGCAGCCCCGCCAGACCACGCCCACAGCGTCGTGGCTTGTCAGCCCTGGAGCAAGGTGCTGTGGCATTTCTGGACGTCACCACACAGGAACCCGGTGCTTAGAACACCACACAGCTTCTCTGTTCTCTTGTGCAAGTGACTCTAGATGTTTGTTTTTAAAAAAGCCTCGTTAGATGTCCCGGTGGTGATGTGGGGCCTCCAGCCAGCTGCGGATGCGGGTCCCAGGAGGGGTGCTGGGTGAGCCTGCCGGCCCACGGGTGCCACGCAGTGCACACATCAGAAGTTCATGGGCTCACTCCCAAACCTAGACCGTTTCGGGAGCAGGGGAGGCAGCTCGAGTCGTGAGCCAGCTGGGCACAGAGTGGCCCACTGCGCACTGCAGGTCAGCCGCACTGTGGCGAGGCGGGCAGCCAAGAAAGCCTCCGCCCCTCCCCCACCAGGGCTCCACCTGCACGGGTCAGAGAAGGACCTGGACCCTGGAGCCCAGCTCCTGCCTGCGGGCCTCGCCCTCCAGCCCAGGTCGAGCTTGGGCCCTCAGCCCCGCCAGCTTTGCATCTCATGCTTGTCTTGTCCCGGAGCTGCCGAGTGACGGAGGCAGGAGACCTGGCCCCAGGCTGGCTGGGGGAGAAGGCAAAGTGACACACAAGACCCCGGAAGCTGGCCCTGGCCGTGTGGCTCAGCGGTCAGAGCGTCGGCCTGCGGTCCAGAGAGACCCGGGTTCGGTTCCCGCTAAGGGCACATACCTCGGTTGCAGTTTGTCCCCGGCCCTGGTTGGGTCGTGCGGGAGGCAGCCACTCGATGTGCCCCTTTCACGTCGATGTTTCTCTCTCTCTCTCTCTCTCTTTCCCACTCTACCTGAACAAAGAAATGGAAAGATGTCCTCGGGTGAGGGGTGAGGATAAAAAAAAAAAGATTCTGAAAGCTGGCCCTGGCTGGTTTGGATCCACCCCTTCCCCGCGGTGCTCCCAGCAGGCTGTGGCTTCTGGGGCAGGTCCCGGTCCTGCCACTGGTTCCCAGCACAGTAGGGTGCACGCAGGCGGGTGCAGGTGGGTGGAGGGCATGGCTGTCTTCACGAGGCAGCTCAGGAGTGCCAGCCCAGCGCGGACAGCCAGGAGGGACGGGGTCGGGCCTGGCAGGGTCAGTGCCTCCCCGGGGGCGTGTGTGAGCAGCCAGGAGGGACGGGGTCGGGCCTGGCCCCTCCTGCCACGACCGGCACAGGCAGCTCCGTGTGTCTGCAGCCCACGCGCCGTGTCCCCGAGCTCCTGGCTGTGCCGCGCGTGTGCCGGACTCGGGTTTGTAAATCAGGGCTGAGCTCCTCTCTCAGTAAGGAACCCCCTCCACAGCTCGAGGGCACAGTCATGCCGTACCTCCAGGCGCTGTCGGAGTTCAGGGAAGGCGTGCGGAAGATCGCCCGCGACAAGAAAGGTGAGGCCGTGTGCCTGCAACCATGGGGCTGCCCTTCCCCACGGGGCTGCCCTTCCCCACGGGCCCGCCCTTCCCCACGGGCCCGCCCTTCCCCACGGGGCCGCCCTTCCCCACGGGGCCGCCCTTCCCCACGGGCTGCCCTTCCCCACGGGGCTGCCCTTCCCCACGGGGCTGCCCTTCCCCACGGGCTGCCCTTCCCCACGGGGCTGCGTGCCCTCGGTGGGCGGGCAGGCACTGCCGACCTTGGACCAGCCCTTCTCTTGTGGACGCCCTGGGTACTCTAGGGTGTCCCACAGCCTCGCTGAGCTGCTCGGCTCCCTCCAGAGGCTGGGGAGGGGGCCCACCCGCGGGTTCCAGACGCCCCCCCGCGGGTTCCAGACGCCCCTGAGTGGCTCTCTCTGCCCCCAGTCCCCGAGGTCCTGCAGCTGAGTGACGCCCTGCGGGACGACATCCTTCCTGAGCTCGGAGTGCGGCTCGAGGACCACGAGGGTGGGTTCCGCTCAGCTGTTTCTGGGGACTCGGTCCAAGGAGCTGCCACTGTGCTGGGCAGGGAGGTGGCAGGGACGCTGGGTGGGTGTCTGGAAAGAGCCACAGATGAGACCCTGGCCTGGGGCCTGAGGCCACCCTGTCTGTGCACAGCGAGCAGTTCCAGAGCCGTGGGTATCTGGCCGTGATCTCCTTGGGGTTCATGCCAGCGGGGTTCACAGCGGGTCTTTCGACTTCGCAGAGACAACCCTTAGGGTTCAAGGTTCCAATGACATGCCGATTTCGTGACTCGGGCTTCTGTCACGAGCAGTGAGGAAGGGGCCCACCTTGCTTTTCTCCGGGGTGGAGGGGGTGGTGAGTCAGGTGGGAGGCTGTGGGGGCGGCAGGACAGACGGACACCAGGCCTAGGCCTCAGTTTCCCTTGTGGACCGCTTGCTTGTCAGGACTGCCGACCGTGGTCAAGCTGGTGGACAGAGAAACCTTACTGAGAGAGAGAGAAGAGAAGAAAAGGGTGAGTGAACCGAACTGGCCCGCGGTGGGAGCTTGTGAAACGTGAAAACCGCTGGGTCCACACACTGACCTTCTCAGCTTCACACACGCGCCTCTCCCCGCGGGCCCTCGGGCTGGCCGGGTGGCCACGGAGGCGGGTCCTGACGGGCACAGGGCCCTTCGCACCCCAACCCTCGCGTCTCCAGGCCGCTCTGGCTCTTGTCAGCACAGCCCGTAGCCAGCACCCCTGCGAAGGCCCCCCAGCAGGCGAACACGCCCGGCTCCGAAGGGAGAGCAGCCCCGGCCCCTGCTGGCTTCCCGAGCTCTGCGCCAGCCCTCCGGGCAGCGTGCGCCGTCTCCGCCCCCAGCCGCTGCTCTTGCCAGGCTGCTGGGGCTCCCGGGCCTCACGCGTACCTGTGCCCAGACTCCTGTGTCCCGTCACCTGCCCGAGCGCCACCCAGCCGGGAAGCACCTGAAACCCAGGCTGTCCGAGAAGGAGCTTGTGATTTCACCTCCCAAACCTCTCCTTCCTGTCTGTTCCGTCCACGCGGGGCTGGTCCATACCCCGGGGGACAGAGGGGCTTTGCTTTGTCCCCCCCTCCCAGAGAGGGGCCTGGGGCCGACCTGCTCACGGGCTGTGCACTGCCCCCAGGTCGAGGAGGAGAGGAGGAGGAAGAGAGAGGAAGCTACCAGGAAAAGGCAGGAACAAGAGGTAAAGTTTGGAGGCGGGGCGGGGCTCCACCCTGTGGCCTCTGCTCTCTGTGCCGCCCTCAACCCGCCCTCAACCCGAGGCCCCCCAGGCCCGTCCCACCCCCCACGCACCCCCCAGGAGGCTGGAGGCCGGGCACAGCCCTGCAGCCCCACTGCTGACACAAGGGCACCGCTTCCATGTGCCGCTGTCCTCTCCCGTCCCCCATCCGGCCGGCTGGGCTTGGGGCTGGGCTGGGAGCGGCTGGGGCCCGGGAGTGAGCCGCATGGCCCGGGCCGTGACCGTGTGTCTGTCCCAGGCGGCCAGGCTGGCCAAGATGAAGGTGCCGCCCCGTGAGATGTTTTTATCGGAAAGCGACAAGTATTCCCGGTTTGATGAAAACGTAAGAATCCCACTTTTCTTTCCCGAGCTATTAGACCTACTGCATTGGGTGGCAGGAATCATCACCTTGGGGAGCAGATTTTCCTTCTGGGGTGCAGTTGGGAGGGAGGCGGGGTCCTCTGGCGCCTGTGGCCCGGGGCACCCAGGGCTGTGCTGAGCGTGACCGCCTGTGAATCTGCGGGGTCTGTCCCTCCCGGGCTGGACAGATGTCCTCGGCCCCAGGCTCCTCCGCATGGCCAGTCGCTTTACCTCGAGCCCTTGGCCCTCCCTGGTCCTGGTCCCTCACCACACACTTCTGAGCCTGTCAGACCACAGCCGCTGGGAGTGCTGCCCCAGCCCCACAAAGGAGGGGGCCAGCCCGGTCGCGCCCCAGCGGGGGGCCAGGCGTGCGAACCCGTGTGCTGAGCCCAGAGCGCTTGGGCAGCAGGCACCCGGCCCATGGCCGTCCCTTCAGGGGCGCGGCCCCGTGAGCCCCGGGCCGGGAGGGTCGGTGCCCCGCGGTGGCCTCAGCGCTCTCGCTGACCCAGGGCCTGCCCACCCACGACACGGAAGGCAAGGAGCTGAGCAAAGGACAAGCCAAGAAGCTGAAGAAGCTCTTCGAAGCCCAGGAGAAGCTGCACACGGAGTATCTGCAGATGGTCCAGAACGGAGGCGCCCAGTGACCGGGGCCCGCGTGCTCCTCCGGCCGCGGCTCTGCTTTCCCTGCGCCAGCCGCGGCGGTGCCCGCCCTGCGCCTGTGCACAGTGGCCCTCGGCCCGCGCGCTGTTCACGGGGCCAGGCCTCACCGGCCCCGAGGCGTCAGAAATAAAGTCTTCCCCACACAGTGAGGCACCGCGCTCCGCAGCTCCTGCCTGCCCTGGCTGCTCGCCCAGCAGGCCTCCCTGGGGGCCTGGTCAGCCGTGCGGCCCCTGCCCACCGAGGGTTCCCTGTGCAGACTGCTGTCGGCCCACCTCTGGCGTGGGCGCACCCGGAGGCTCGGCAGAGAAGAGGCAGCTTAGACGGCCGGACTCCCCACCCCCGGGCCCCACACACAGGCTGCCCAGTTGGCTCCGGCTCTGCTGAGCAGGCACGCTCGGCCGGCTACCGCCACCCTGCCTTGGCTGCCCCGGTGCACTTGGGGGGGTCACACAGCAGGGCAGCCGTCACCAGGCCCTCACCACCCTGCTCCACACTCGCGCTCACTGGGGCTAAGAATCACCCCCTGACCTCGAGCGGCACTCAGGAGCACTCGGTCACACGTGGGGCCTGGGGGTTGGGGGCAGTGGGACAGGCCAGGGAAACGGTGGGAACAGGGCGGGTAATAGTCCGCCTGACCTCTGAACCTTGTAAATGTTCGACATACCAGAAAATTAAACGAGTAAGAGGAAAAGGCCCCAAGACAGAGTGAGACAAACTGTCTGGTCATCCACAGGGCATGACAAGTCACCCGGACCAACGGGACCATGTTGCTGTCCACTCTGCGGTTCCGGGCCAGGGTCTCCCAGTATGGTCAGTGGGTAATGGTCTGCACACTGGCCCCTGGTCCTGGGGCCACCTGGGCGGTGTCCAGCCCTGCTGGCAGCTCCAGCGGTGCCCGTCCCGCGGGGGGCCCCTGGAGGGAGGGGTGCGGGGCTCCTGAGGAGGACCTGGAGACCCGCAGCTGCCCGCGCGGCCCGCCTCCACAAAGCCGCAAGCTCGCTGGGCCTTTCTAGGGTCTGTCGAGCGTAGAGGTGAAGTTAAGGGAAACCACCCAACCGCCAGATGTGAACTGGAAAGACGTGAACCAGCACTTGGTGGTTGGTTTGTTTGTTTTTATCCTCACCCGAGGACATTTTTCCATTTTTTGTTCAGATAAAGTGGGAGGGGGAGAGAGAGAGAAACATCGACATGAAAAGGACACATTGAGTGGCTGCCACCCGCATGACCCAACTAGGGCCGGGGACAAACTGCAACCAAGTTACTCGCCCTTAGCGGGAACCGATCCCGGGTCTCTCTGGACCTCAGGTCGATGCTCTATCCACTGAGCCAAACCTGCCAGGGCAGCACTTGGTGTTTACATAAGAGGATTTTCTGGCTGTGTAGATGGGGGGAGGGCACACTGCGACGGGACAGCCGGGTCATGACGAGCACCCGCAGAGCCAGGCTCCATGTGGCTGCTCGAGAGGTGGCCTTTTCCAGGCCCACAGCAGAAGCACAGGGACCCTAGACCATCAGGTGCCCAGAAGGGAAACTTCCCGACAGACGGGCTCACGTGAAGAGGCCACGGGACAGACTAGAGACACCTGACAGCCGGCTGGATCTGAAGGGCACTGTGCCGAGCGGGAGGGGCCGACCTCGGGTCACGTGCTGTGTGATTCCATTTAGGTGCCCACGGGAGGGCCCGGGGGACGCCAGGGTTGGGGCGGGCTCCACAGGGGCAGGGCAGGTCCTGGAGAGGGCGGGCGGGTTTCTGGTCTGAAGCTGAGGAGTGTTCCCTGGGTACGCAGCCTCTTCCCAGCCCCCAGGGCCGGATTTGTTTCCTCCTCCTCCCCACAGGGACATCTTTGGTGTTTTCCTCATAAGACGATCACAGAGCATTATTCGAAAGTCAAGTCATACAGAAAATTACTAGTACAGAGAATGTCCCTGAAAGGCCATCTCCGAGAGCCTGTCACAGTTTGGGGACATCCCCAACTCCTGAGGGTGAGAGGTTTGCACGGCGCTCCCTCCCCGCGTAGGTCTCTGGTCATTCCTGATCCCGCACACTAGAGCTCCCTCTGCCGGCTCCGGGGGTACTCTGAGCAGCAGCCCTCCGAGCCCAGGTTGATGTGGGTCCAGCCATCTCTAAATTAGGGGAGTTACCCGTCCTGTGACTCTATCTCAGGATGGGGACGATGACGTCTACCCAGAACACTGCTGGGCCAAGCTGGTGCCATCATTCAGTGACAGATGAGGCTTAGCTCCCTAGGGGGTGAGGAGGAAGACAGGGCATCCTCTTCGTGAGCTCAGTTTGGGGGCAGCAGTCGATTGGGCAGGCCAAGGAGCAGTAGCCAAGGGCAGGGTGGCCCCTGGCGGAGAACCACTGAGCTCCTGATGGCTGGAGGACACACACACTGGGGCTGTGATGGGTGTGCAGGAGCTCAGAGCTGGGTAGAGGCAAAACACAGAAGACCGAACACACGAGGTGGCCAGGGGCCTTGGGGACCCACCCCCTGGGCTCTGACCTCAGCACTGCCTGCACTTGGCATCGTCAGAGGGCTTCCCAGCAGGCTGGGTCTGCCCTGCCGCCCTGTTGTGAGCTCGCTGGGGGCAGGAGGGAGCTACAGAAGGGTGCTGAGCGGTGGAGCGGCGCGGTCAGAGCGCCTGCGTGCTGGTGGGCAGTGTGGGGGACGGGGGGGACGGCACCCTGGGGACCCCCAGGCAGGACTGGCTGTGACCAACCACGAAACAAGGGGCCTTAGGTGGTGAAAAGCAGGGACTCCTGGCTAAAGATCCCGCCCAGCGGAGGCCCACCTGCTGGTGCTCCTGCTGTCGGGATAATCAGAAAGGACTGTGTCCCCGGGGTGAGCAGAAGACGCCCAGCAAGACAAGGCCCTGGGCTCAGCGAAGCCTGGGCGTTTGGGAAAGGCCATGGGCAGGCCAGGACGCTGCTCCCGACGAGCCGGGGCCTGCCTTCCGGTGTCCGTGCGGCATGGAGACCACCTTCGTTGCCTGGGGCTCTGGGGAACCTCTCAGCGGACCCGTGAAGCTTGTGGTCCAGGGTGGGGTGTCACCCTCACACACAAGGCCCCAGATGCTGGGAGCCCATGTCTCCAGGTGGCCAGCGGGGCTGCTGCTGGGGGTGGGCATCTTGCCAGGTGTCTGGGAACTTCACCAGGGCCTAGGAGAGAAAAAGCTGGTCCCTGAGTGGGAGGCCCCCACCCCAGCGTTGGGCCAAGCCTCTAACACAGTGTGGAGGCCCTGGAGGACCGGGATGCTTGGGGCAGGCGTCCCGCCCAGAAGCTGGAGGAGACCCTCTGCAGTGGCCACGACCCGGATTTTCCAGAACAGCTTGGTACTGGGTGGAAGTGTCCTCCACCTGGAACTAACTCCGCAATGTGACCTTACTTGGAAATAGTGTCTTTGCAGCCTTGTTCAGGTGAAGATGAGGTCACACTGGAGTAGGGTGGGCCCTACATCCAACATGACTGGTGTCCTGACGGGACACATACACGTACACACACACACGTTGGCCATGTGACACAGAGGCAAAGGCTGGAGGGGTGCACCGCAGCCCTGCGATGCCTGGAGCCCCAGAAGCTGGAAGAGGCAGGCAGGACCCTCCCCTGGAGCACCCGGAGGGAGCTCGATCTTGGACCTGAACCGGCCACACTGGGAGAGAACACGCTTCTGCTGTCGAAGCCACCCAGTTAGTGGCATTTGGCGTGGCAGCCCCAGGAAACCCACATCCCTTTTTTATTTTTATTTTTGTTTTTTTATCCTCACCCGAGAACATTTTTTCCATTTTTTGTTCAGATAGAGTGGGGAGGAGAGACAGAAACATCGATGTGAAAGGGACACATTGAGTGGCTGCCACCCGCACAACCCAACCAGGGCCGGGGACAAACTTCAACCGAGGCACGTGCCCTTAGCGGGAACCGAACCCGGGTCTCTCCGGACCGCAGGCCGACGCTCTAACCGCTGAGCCAAACCGGCCAGGGCCCCACATCCCTCTAAATACACCTGTTCGTGGCTATCGTGGGGGACAGAAAGTCCAGTCACAATGCAGGTGGGTGAGGACTGCGGCCCAATTTCAGAAGAGAAGAATAGGACATTTTGCAGGTTCCGAAGAGCCACTCCGTACACAGCCCCTGCATGGGATACTTACTCCCCTGTTTGCCGGGGAATGTGGGACCCCGTGCCCGAGATCTGGGAAAGTGTCAGGCCCAGGTGGACTGCTTGGGATGGCAATGTTGGTGGTCTCCGTGCCTGGCGCCCCCCGTCACTCCCCCAACACCCAGGAAGCCAACCCCAGGCATCATGCCACCGCCCTGTCCCCCCAAATCTCTGCCATGCAAACTTGTGCCCGGGCACCCGTCCGGGCTTGCCTCCCGCGGGGCTCCCTGGCACTAACTTAGGGACACAAGCCATCGGTAGGCCCTGGAAGGCACTGTGCTGACCACCCCAGCCTCTGCATGAGCTCTGCTTCCTTTTGGTGGGGGGCCGGGGGCGAGGAGGGAGCGCCTCGGGAAAGCTGACGGTGGGTGCCTGGATGGAAATGGAGAAGCAGGGGGGTGGCAGCAAAGGTGGAGGGGTATTCAAGGAAGGCTTCTCAGAGGAAGTGACTGTCCAGCTGGACCAAAACGACAGGCAGGAGCCAAGGAGGGAAAACGTGGATGAGGACTTTGATCTCATTCACAACCCCCCAAAGGGGCCTTCTTCCGAACCCATCCCATCCCCAAAGGGGCAGGCCTGGCCTTTCTCCAGGCAGCATGGGGCACAAGTGGACCCAGGAGATAGCCCCTCTGGCCCAGAGCAGCCCTGGGCTCGGCACGCAGGCCCCGTGGTGGCTGCTCTGTCATCCTGAGCACCAGGACCTGGGGGGGACCAGATGTCACCTGGGCCAGGATGCAGGCTGAACTGCACACTGGACCGACTTCTGAGGAGAGCCTTGGGGAGGGGCAGGGACTCAAGGACCGGCCTGGGCTTCAGCTCTTAAGACCTCCCACCCCCTGACCTCTGTCCTCAGACACTTCGTCGCTTACCAGTGCTGGTGCGTAAGTCAGGACAGCCCACACCTGCACCAAGCTGGCCACTGGCCCAGTGCCGTTCCAACTTTCCCCCATTCCCGCTGAGCAGGCCCACAAGTGCCCCCAACTTACAGATGGGGATACGTACACAGGCTCTTGGCCAGAGACACCTCGCTAGAGTCGGGTAGAACAGGGCTCTGGCCCCAGGGGCCGGTCCAGGAAGACCTGTCCCTTTACCTGGTTCTCTGCTGCGTGGCCGGCTGGCCAGGACATTTGACCACCTTACTATCCTGGGGGCGGCCCCCAAGAGATAGGTCCAATCCTGACTCCTGGTACCTGTGTACTTAGCATTTGGGAACAGGGTCTTTGCAGATGTCATCATGTTCAGATGAGGCCACTAGGGTGCACGCTAATGCAGCGACTGCAGTGTCCTTAGAAGACTCTCGGGCAGAGGCCGTGTGAAGACAAAGGCTGAGACCGGGGTGATGCAGCCACAAGCAGAATCGCCTGGAGCCCAGAAGCCTGAAGTACCAGCAA